AATCTCATAATTTGCGCCTTATATAGGTAATACGAAAATTCAATTAGCATGGAAGATTAGTTTTTGCTATGAATGCATTTTTTTTTTTTTTAATCTCGTTATTATCGAGATATACCTACGTGTTTTAATTTAAAAGCCGGATCCAAAAATGCCAATTTGTATTCAATAAATCAAGGTTTTTTTTCTTTGTAATTTGGCTAATGTAAAAAATAATAATATGAAAAAGGTTTGAATTGTGTATAGGTACGAAAGTTAAATACTTAATCCCACTTAGGTTATTTATTAGGTATTTTCTACAAACGTAAGAAAACATTTAAATAGGTACAATAAAAGTAATACATAAATAGGTATAGATACTTATACTAATAAAGCTCTTACCTGTTCTGCGTGGTACTTGATAATAATTGTTGATAGCAATACGAATAAGAGAATTAACACTTTATAATTTAGGTGTAGATGATTTAAATTATTAACTGAACGTAAATTGTGGGTGATCAGGAAAGAGGCTCCGTCTCCGCCAGTCTGAGCCTGTGCTCGGAGAGAACTGTCAGTGTAGGTACATGGAAGATGTGTGTGTCCATTTCCGATAAACTAATGTTTATTAAGTAAATATTTCGTCATCTTTTATCTACTTAATAAGTCATAATAATATTTGTTCTAAATTATGAAAAATGTAATCTGTCCACAATAATTATTATTCGATCGCATTTTTAATGCCGTAAACCAATTTAACGGACTAACTTTAATAATCTCTTATTATAAACAACGCGTAAAAAAAAATAAAAATAAAAAACCGTATAACATTGACATAACTGACTGAGTATATAATAATAGGTACCTATACAAAATTATAATGTAAAATCTGGTATTCACATACTCGCATCTGGACGAAAACAGAACGACACTAATCAAAAAAAGGTCTTGGGGTCTACATAAAAACCCGGAATGTAAAAACTTGAACGGTACAAATCTAGAATATAAAATTTTGAAATCCGTAAAAATCTGAACGGTATATATCTGCACCAGTGGCGTACGCAGGATTTTTCAATGGGGAGGCGGGAAAAGGGCTTGAAAATGTATAATTAATCAGTTTTTTTGTCACTACTTTGAAAAATAAAGTAGGTCAGTATGTGCATCCTTAGTTCTGATTGATAATAAACATAAAATATACATAAAAGATGAAAAAAAAAACTTTAATGATTAGTTGGTAACTATAAAAATGTTGGGCAGTAAAACACAATTTTTAAACTAGTAGTGTAATAAAAAGACCAGAAATCGACCAAAATTAGAATATTGTGAATTGTGGATTGCATTGCTTACCCTTTTCTTTTTTTTCAAACTAAAAATCGAAAAAAATTCTATCCTTTTTCTGCCATAACGAACAATTAAATAGTTATTTTAGTGCGCGAAACTATGAGACACGTTTTATACGTTTTGAGTATAAGTATACAAAATATTATTGACACTCGAGAAATATAAACGAAAGCAAAATTATCTACACAATTGTTGTTCACTAATTAAAGGCTGATTTTTGATTATTATTACTACAATATCCGCGGGCTAACTTAACGATGCGTTAATATTGTTGCCTGTTGGTAACGTCAGTTCAGTGAGTTCAATACTGCGATCGTAGATATTATCTAAGGATGTGCGACACCTCGCGTATGCACGGTAACACCAACCGGCAAAGTTGTAATAATAACAAAACCGTTGTTTATAACGAGTGTCACCGCAGTTAGACGCGAACGATAATCGTATAAACCCAATAATACCGTATTCTGCGATAATATAGCAATACGATATTGGTGGCTAAATGAAATTATTTACTTACAAAAATGGTGTATTTTACGAAAAAAAGTCCTCGGTTACTAATCATTGGTTAGTAGCCCCGTAGCCTCCCCCTGCGTACGCCACTGATCTGTACCGCACAAAACTGGACCGTGAAAATCTGGACAGTGCAAATCTGAACGGCATACATTTGGAACTTCAAATTTTAAAAAAAAGTGCCGATATTCGACGCACCGTTGCTAACGAAAAAACGATTCAGAGCGAAGTTAGGTAAGACATATTTTGAAATGCCGTATGATTTCCGTTAAACTTTGGTTTTTTAATGTATTGTATAACATTTATAATGCCAACAAAAACTAATGTACGGCATTTCGATACACGTCTTAACAAACTTCGCTCTGCGTCGTTTTTCGTTAACAACGGTTTTATCGTTGCGTAGGTGGGTACAGAAACAAATTAAATTTAACTTTATGCAGCTGAACCTTTTCAACTTCCTAACTACGACAGTAGCTGCACCAGTTCCCAGTATCAGCTCGTTGTTTTTTTTCTTTTTCCTATCAAATATTGAATTCCATAATCGTATAGTCCAGACGTGCGCCGTCCAGGTTTTTACTCTCCGGGTTTTTACGCGCACCCATCAAAAGATAACAGTAATATTATCGAATCGATCGGCCGGGTCCGGGCGATTAGCCTTCGTCCGGCGAACGGACAATAACATTGAAATCATTACGTTGCGCGCGCGTGGGCAATTGGAAAAGTGCCTACCTACCTACCTACACTACCTGCCTCGTGGGTAATTGCCTGGGAAAAAATGCACTATAAATATTCACGATCAACAACGGTGATACCATCGCGATGCACCCGCGGGTGGGGGAATCGTCGAATCGGTATTCGTACGTTTCATCGAATGTCATATTGTTGTTGTTGTTGTTGTTACGATTACCGCGGCCGTTTGGTTCAGTGACCACGGCATTTCGGTGACCGGTATTCGCTACACGCGCGATCGCACGACTACGCCCGTTGTTTGTCGGCACGGCCAGATTTCGAACCGGGAACGAACCGACGAATAAACCGCGTGCGCCATTATTACCGCCGCGTCCCGCTGGCTGCAACTGGGTTTCCGCGGTGTTCAAGAATAGAAAAACGACCTGTTCGACCGCCGGCCCGACGTCTCGCGGTGTAAACGTTATGGACCTAGTGTTTATGGTACGTACTATGTTGCAATATCGTCGCCGTCGCGTTTTGAAATGATAATAATTAGTCGACAACATCGAAACGTTTGGACCGTTCGTACGGCATTACAGACCGTGTCGCCCGAACGAAATACATCCCGTCGAAAATTTTCATTTAAATTCACTCAACGTTATCGTTTGTGGTTTTTTTTTTTGTCATCCGAATGATAAAACGGCGCAGCGCCACCGTGATAGTTGTTTAATTTTTACCGTTTGCCTACCTACCCGTTAAGCGCAACGGAAATGTCGAAAATTACGAAAAAACGTGCCACTCGGCCATACTATTTCGGAAAAGTCAGTATACTTACTTACTTACTTAACCACTTTTATATTTGTTTATTATTATTACTGAAACGGGTGGCCGCGCCCGCATTCACTGCCCCCGGCTAATCCCACGCCAACGGGCGACGTAGCGAAATAATTACCTACCGATTTCGAACGCAAATTGTGGTGTCGTTTGTTGGTGAAACTTGAGTTTCGAACAAACGCACAAAATTTAAAGAGCACGGTATTTCCGAGGGCTATACGTACGTTTTTCCTAAATACATGCGTACAAATTAGTTTATAGCTATTTTAAGAAAACAAAAATTTAACGTGGTTGCATTAAGACTTTTTGAAAGAAAAAAAATCACGCACAGACCGCGTCAATATTCTTCTCTTTAAATCGTACCGTTTGTGTTTAATCTCCGATTTCAACCTTAACGTCACATTCCACATTTTAAGTAAACCGATTCTGCCACGTCGCTCGTTAATTAAATCGAGACAGTAAGAATGTGCACGGTGTCCTCTTAAGAGACCCACATGTACTTTTGCCCGTCGGTGCTTTACAAACGTACGGCATGGCAATAAATGTTTGTTCTGTAAGAACAATTTTGTGCAGTTATTTTTCACCTATTATCAATCTTAAAACCATAGGAATATTAGTTATCTGTGCAACCGTTTAGGCATTTTTCGATATTTTTTAATTTTCATTACAAACAAGGTGAAGTATCTCATTTTAAAAATTGTTAATATTATATTATTTTTAACATTTTCTAATGAACAAGATGTTTCCACTAGGTACCTAGTTTACACAGAAGGTAAATCACTATAAAAATAAATAAATAAAATCTGTGTATAAATTAGGGGTGTCCCAGTGCATTATTTATTTACAAACCGGGTACTGAGTATTAGATGAGTAATAACTACAAATGCAAATGTCCGGTACCGAGTAATCGTTGGGCATAGAATATGACATCAGCTACCCTGAACATCTCTAATAATTATATTTTTAAGATTGTAATATTATAAATGTAAGTTTTTTGATAAATGGTATACCTATATTTACCCATTTACAGTGGTTAAAGTGGGGGGGGGATGAAAAGGAAAAGGTCTCCTTTGTTTTAAAGTCTAGGGTAACTGTATGGTCGTGTAAACGTTTGCGTTTCAAATAGTCGTCGGGTACAGAATATAATATTGGGTACCCAATTAGAACTTGATGGTCAGGTACCTGGAACATCTCTATTACAAATGTTTGTTAACAACAGAAATCATTGGTAATCATATAGAAATTTTTGGTAATCATTGGGGAAATCACTATATTTTGGAACTTGCATTCAACATTCATCAGTGAATTACCTATAAATTTGTTTTTATGGACAAAATATGAATAACTTGTTAATATTATTCTTCAACTGGTAAACTGAAACGTTCTACAGTCTGTGTTGAATTACTAAAACTTTTTATTTAATTTCAAATAATGAAAGAAAAAATGAAGAAAGAAAGTAATTTCTATGGTCTATTAAAAATGTATATTTTTGAAAGGTACCTATGTAATACACTTTACTTAAGATCTGTACCTACTACTCATCCATTATTACATTTTACATGGTAAAATTAAAAAATGTTAATTTTATTGATCCATTTACCGCGTTTTATATATGAGAAGTCAGCAAAATGTTTAATGATCAATGACCTGAATCTTCAATTTTAATTAGTAGTCTTTTTTTTAAATTTATTTCATATGGCAATCGGATACAAAATCTATAGAAATATTATAAAATAGTAAAAATTGGTTAGTAACAATATCAATAAAAACATTAAATAATAACAGAAATAGTATAGTGGTAACATAGATAGTCAATAATTGGGGTTAAAAACAAAGTCATTTTGTTTAACGATTAATTAAGTGAGGGTCTAAATGTTGGTTCATAAGCGTGGATCTAGATATTTTAGCCATTCTATAGCTTTTTCCCCCGGCTTCATGAAGTCCGTCAATGCCTCTTTCAAATCGTGACAGTAGGTATTCTTGTGTGACGTGTCTCACTGTCTGCGCCTGACCACAAGCGCAGTCTGGAGAGTTCACCATACCCAATTTCTGCATAAGGTAATTGCATTTACCCTGCTCTAACCTCACTCTAATTTAGTATAGTCCATTCTGTCCTTGAGAGATCAAAGCCAGGGACTCTGTAGGTAGGATCTGCTATTAGATGTTGGTTGCGTTCTCTATTGTCTGCCTATTTCTTCTTCCATTTATCCTCCACTGACTCCGAAAAGTCCAAGTTTGTTCAAATAGGGTGTCTGGATTTAAGTCTTTCGTTGCGTGTCTGGAACACATCCTTGTGGACAGGCAGATGGGGGAGTTTTTGATTCGTAACACTATGTAGGTGAGGACCGGCAGCCATTGTATGTTGATGGATTTAATGGTTTCTGTTATGATCCTCATTATTTGTGTGATTGATCTGCGAGTCTACAGATTTACAGTGCGTGCTTCTTCCCCACATAGGAGCTCAGTACTCGGCGATGCTGTATACTAAGTAGTCTTTAAAAAGGTGTTTCTTTAAACCTGATTTCATTTAAAAATTTCTTACATAATTTTCAACATGAACAAACTTTTTAAAAAGTTTTACTATATCGACCATCTAACTTGATAAAGTTATGTATTTAAATTTAATGAAATTACTTATTTGGTTGTAATATTGTGCAAAATACTATCTGACTATATAATATAATAATTTACTTAAAATTCAATAGACAATAATATTTTAATATTATAATTATAATAATATTTTTAATTATTTGATTTTATATTTAACATTTGGTTGGTATATAAACTTATAAATATTATACCATAAGTTTTTTTTTCTTTAGATAGAGATTAGAACCAAGAACTATTAGTTCTAATCTCCATGTGATCGAGTAACTACTAATTTTTTACATTAACATTATATTGTTACTTTCAGCCATTTTCAACTAATTCAACATGTTGAATGTGTATTCTTGATTTTATTCCAATGCGAAAAGAAATTTGTTTAGGTAGTACCACGAGTGGATAAAAATGTAAAAGTTCTGCAACAAATAGATATATTAGCCATTAGGTATATAGAGGATGTTTACTATATAGTGTTTATACAGAGTGATTCAAAAAGTGTGGTGCTCACTCCAGTTTTTTGGTTAAATTTTGAGTGTATTAAAATTTTGACTGTTAGAATTTATAAGTGTAGTTGAAGCCGATATTTTTGAATACTTAAATTTTTCACAACATTTGGGTATACAGTAGCGATACCAATTTTGGTTTTTCAAATGAGAATTTGTTAATACATGCAAAATTTAACCAAAACAATGGAGTGAGCATGATTAGTAAATCACAGTATATACAGTGAAAACTCTATATAACTGTACAATTTTCTTAATAATGGTTTATTTGCTTTATAACCCATACATTAGTTCTTTAACCTTCTATATTACGAAAACTACATAATGAAAGTAATCTCTTGATCCATTAAGATTCCTTAAAAAGAGTTTTCACATTATGTGTACATACTGCATCTATTTCACATTATTGTCCAGGTTTTGAAATGGATAATGTTTGTATCCATTTCATGAAATTGAACTATTATTTCTCTACTTAGTATAATTACACAAAATAGCTAAATTTTCATGAAATTGAAAGATACTTAAACAACTATACACAATAAAACTTGTTCCATTATTTAGATGTCCATATAGTAACAATAAACTCTACCTTTTTCTTAAACAAATTTTAACTAATATGTTATTATAACTAAGAATACAATTTTTAAGAATTTAAAATTACTTTAAAAAAATATATATATTTATTATTATTATTTCTTAAAAGATAATATTGAAGCCTATTTTTTATTTCTAATAATTCAAATATTTAAAGTTTATTAGTTACATATAGGTAGAACAAAAAAAAAAATTGTTATTATTAATGAAAAAACCTACTTATTTAATTTAACTTGTACTAAAAACTAAATTTTAAATCTAATTTTTAATTTTGTTGGAGCTGTATGATGTTTTCATATTTTTTGTCAACATTTTTAATAATAATAATACATTAGTCAAATTAATTCAATTTTGAAAAACAAAATTCATTAAAAAAAAAAATGATTAACAGTTTTATTAACTACATTAGTATTTATATTTTAAGGTGCTGAAGTATCTATCTCAGTTGTCTTTAACTAACATACACCCAACATAGCGAAACAAATTTGTGAGTTAAATAAAATTTAAATAAAATATTTGTTACTTTAATTATTGCATTATAAAAACATGTATAGGAAATATTATTAGTGAAATAACCGAAAACATAATACATGTTCTCTATGTGGCCAATATTATTAGGATTTTCTAAAATGATAAAATGTTAATTTATTTAAATTTATGTAATTACTGTATCAAGTTATATTAAAAAAAATTTAGTGCAATACTCCATTTTTTAAATACTTTAAATGATAGTAAATTAAGTTTTGATTTAATATACCAGGTGATTCATTTAAGTAGGTACACTCAATATCTCTGAAAGTATTAACTTTTTTTGGAATTTATCTTTTAGAACATTTAAGAAACAAACAGCTCTAAAATTGTATGTTTATGCTATTTTTTGTCACCCTTATTTTGGGGGTAAAACCACTACCTACTTTTGATTTTCAAATAGCAAACTATATTAAAAATTACAATAATAGATAGAGTATTAGTTAAAATAAATTTCAGTATTAAAAATTTTTATTTCTGTCAAGTCATTGATGATATATTCGGCTTTTAAGTTTGGGTTGGAGGAGAGTAGTAGTGCATTAATAACATACTGCACACAAATGACATTCCACTACTCTCCTCCAACCCAAACTTAAAAGCCAAATATATCATCAATGACTTGACAGAAATAAAAATTTTTAATACTGAAATTTATTTTAACTAATACTCCATCTATTATTGTAAGTTTTATATAGTTTGCTATTTGAAAATCAAAAGTAGGTAGTAGTTTTACCCCCAAACATAAGGGTGATGAAAAAAAAACATAAATATAAAATTGAAGAGCAACTTGTTTCTTAAATATTCTGTAACAAATTCTGAAATAATTAATTCTTTTCAAGATAATGATTGTACACACTTAAATGAATCACTGGGTACAGAAATGTTAATAAGATATTACAAAATTACCATAAAAAAAAAAAATAATAATAATAATAAAACAAATTATATTATAGAATATATTAAGAAATATTTTGACTATTTGATTGATATATTCATAATATAGAAAAATAATTTTTTCTAGTAACTTATATATATAGTCTGTTAGTTGGACTGGTAGCAAAATCTACCTTACACAGACTGCATAGAACTTAGTTAATTTTAGTTTTAGAATTAAACTAAGAGGATAATATTCAGGAGGGTATGATTATGTGTTTTTCTTATTATTCTAATTATTATACTGGATATAACATTCTATATAGTGTTTACAAATTAAGACTAAATTATTGTTTTTAAATTACTGTAATATTTTAAAAATTAATTTAAAAAAAAAAAAATGCACTGTCTTACCCTCCAGAATATTTCTGTTCTGTTTTAACTTTTTTAACTTTTACATTTTTTACTCTAAAACCAAAATTAAGTGAGTTCTACGCAGTCTGTGAGAGGCAGGTTTTGCTATATTGTTCATTAGTTGGACTGAGATAGTACATGCAGGTATAGCATCCTCTTGGCATATTATGGTCTTTTTTTTTGTGTACAAGTATTAAGCTAACCTAATTAGCCAAACCCAGGACCAAAATGGTTTTAATTGTGTTATTGGTATTGTCTGAACTACATAGCTTCTTGAACAGTGTATCAAACAGTATTGTGACAGCCAGTCGCTGATAAGATATTATTAATTACAAAATATTGTATTCCTTTAATGTTTCACTTCATTAAATCTATTTTAAATGGTGATTAATTAATTTTTTATGATGAACAAATGAAAAAATGCTTTTTAAAAATGACCAGAAAACAAGAAATAATAACGAATCCAGCTGTTTATTCGATTTTCATTTGGGCAGCAGTCAAATTAACCAATTCTGTTATCAGAGATCACTTTGGCTGTGACTTAACACACCTTTTGATTATGTCAATAAACTTACATGGGCAACCATTGAATTGGCTCCTTTTAATATTTTCAACAAATATATTTCAAAATAGAAAAAGTACCTATTTATTACCTAATTTTTTTTCAACACAATGCCGGATTATTACTAAAAATTATTGGATAAGCGTATTACAATTTAACTATATTAGGTATTTCTATATTAAGTTACTGAGTGCTTAAAATTAATTGGATCTGATATTGTACAATACAGTTTTAATTATTGAGTATTCAATCAAAAACACAAAAAGTGAATAAGGAAAATAAATTCATGTGAATCTTTAAATTCTAAGTTTAATTCTTAAGTTTATTCACCAAACTCAAATATTTACAATTTCTTTAATGTTTTACATAGTGTTCAAACAATACTGAAATTAGTATAAAAATTTGGTGTAATATCCAGATTTAAATATATATATATATATATACATTATACAAGCACTAGCTAACAAATTTAGGCCTACTAAATAATATTTATATATTAAATTGTTTATAATAATATTTTATGTAATTTAATATTTATATTTTAAATTATTTATTATTTATTTAATGTTTTGAACATTTTTGATAACCAATGTATTTATGAAATAAATGTCAAAGAAGCCAATTCAATAACCCCGCTTATATGAATTCCAAAATTGTCTGGAAATATTAGTATTCCTTATTTCGTAAGAATCTTTTTTTATTAAATTTGTTTGGTTTTTTAACTTTTAAAATAACTACAATAGTATCTAAATAATAAAATATAACAAGAAATATAGAGTATATATTATATTCAAATTCAGTGACAAAAGTTACATTTAAAAGTAGTTCAAGGATTTTAGGATGATTTTTTTATTTTATATCAACAATTATCTCGAGAGTTTTTCAAGTTAATTTGATTTCTGTTTTTTCTACTCATAATGGAATCCTTTAAGCTTCATTTTAAAACCATTTTTAATAATTTTTTACTGGCACTATATACCTTAAATATGTACATACTTTTGATTTTCAAATAGATACCCGGAGGAGTAAGGAAGAGTTATAGATAGGTAATTTATTACCCTTCTTTACTCCTCCAAAGGTCTTCCTTTGGTCTAAACTTTTAACTGTTATAACTCATAAATGGTAACTCTAATATTAGTATTATGCATATTAAAATACCTAGAAAAATATTCTCTATTCTCTACTCTTAATCTAATAATTAGACTAAGTCAAATGGCTTCAGTCGTTTGAGTCGGTCTGATGTCCCGCGAGTTGCCGAGGAGTTGTATGGCAGCTGTATTAGTGTGTAGCTCCAGTCTTCTTGCATGTTTGCGAGCAAACCCGGTGATTTCATCCTGCGGGGATGATATTTTCAAATTGCGGTATTTTATAATTTGAACAACTTTAGATGAATAAGAATGTCAGTTATCAAACTTTTCAATACTTACCTATAGAATTGTTAAATATAATTTCATAATAATGCTTCAATTTTATTGCCACTTTTATATTTTCTGAAGAATAGTGTACACTTGACCTTTCTAAATAATAATAATGTACCTATACAAATAAATAAATAAATTATAAAAATTAAATGTTTAAATGTTCATTCACAATACTGACACTGTTCTTGAAATTACCTCTAGTAATGAATACAGTCCACTAACTTCATTACCAAATGTGGTGGCTTTGATTTCGCTGAACATATCAATTAGATGTACAGAAAATGTTTCCCAACCACTTATAGGTTATTATTTTTGGTTTTTACTGAACATATGCTCTAATTGAACAATAACTATAAAAAATTTAAAAAATTGTACTACTATAGAAATGTAAATTATTAGATAATACTAAAATATATTATATTGACTTTGATGTATGGACAATTGTTGAAGTATTGTATTTCCATCAGAACAACACATAGGTACCATTGATTTCATCTAAAAAAAATAGTTTGAAAGAAAAAGTTGTTAAATATTTGACACATATTTACTCACTTCTATATTTCAATACTTCACAGTAATTACAGAATTTATATTTTCAATAATTAGATTTTGAATTGTATTTAAACACTGAATTTGTCATCACCCAATTGAAGTATTCATCTATCATAAGTATTCAATTATCAGTTATAATAGTTAAATAATACTTAGTAATTAGGAAATTAAAAAGTATCAAAATTTGTTTACCAAAAATTGTAGGCACTAAAATAAAACACATTCTATTTGTGTTAACTTAGTTTTGTTAATCTTGAAATTAACTAACCATTGTATTAGCAATTAATCAGCCATTCAGTTTTTCTGTAAAATATTTAAAATATTAAATATTAAAAATAAATTATTAATCAGGTTACCTGTCTATTTTTTTAAAGCCCAGTCTTTAAAAATATGTTTAACAGTGTATATATTTTGGAAGTTGATGAAGTCATATTTCTAATGAAGTGGCTCTTAATCCAAATTCTTTAACTAAGTTGTTTAGTCTCAGACACTTCATAGATCTAATGTCCTTAAAGTTATCTAATAATTGGATTGGCATGGTGATTTAGCCTTGTTTGGTGTTTGTATGCAAAAATTAGAATTTTGTATGCTTTTATAGGCAGCATCATATTGACGTGTAGAGTGATGGTACGAAGAACCATGATGTTTTGACAGCATTATATTATATGAATGTAAAACTTACTAGCACAACCCCATAGTTAAATATAGGTCAAAATATGTTTTATAACACGTCCAGATTCTATATTATAATAGACATTTGTTTTCTATAGTAAACTCGGAATGAGTTTCAACTAACCAATAGATTCAGCATTTTTATTTTAATCTGTATTATTTTCTGATGGATGTTTTGTTTTCAGTTAAATCAATAGTCAAAGTGCATTTCTAAATCGGTTGCTGTAGGTAGGTATATTCAATAATTTAATGTTTGATGTTCTGTAAATTTTATTTTTACAATTTGACGCACAGCACTACGCGTTACATAATTTAATTTAATTTTAACATAGATAAGTATTTTGAATACTTAGCATACAACAAACACAATACTATATGTAAGACATTTTAAATTCGGAGATGCATATTATAAATATTATTATAGTATTGATATTATGTTACTATGACACTATCATTCCTAAGCACGACCTTATTTGAATTTTACCTTATCAGAAATACTGTCACACAGACTTGAGAATTATTTAAGCATTGTTGAATTGGTCACACTATTAGACCATGCAGATATTCTAAAGAATAAACCTTAATATGATGTTATCACTAATATTATTAGTTATTATTAGTTATTTACACTAATATTATTAGTGAGGACGTAACGGAGTATAATAATAATGACAACGGTTCCAAACAAAACTTTATCACGGTTTAGTCCATAAGAAATACATGGATATGAAATTATAATTTTTTTTTTTTTAAGTTTATTTCTTAACTTTGTTATTATTAAAAATATAGTTTTTACATGTTTTTATTTATATTTGTAGAAAAATATTATATTTAAATGACGTTTTGATATGCTTTTTTCGCTCTAATTTTTCTTATCATATCAGCTTTACAGTTCAGTTATTAGCCCATAAGAAATAACTTGGAAAATAATTTGGTATTTTTTATGTCTTGGTTTCATGTTACAATAAAAATTAAATAATACCTTTTGTTATACTATCTATTTTTTCCCCTAAGAATTAACTTTAAATACATTTCATGTGTTCGCCTTTGCATTTTATTTTAATAAAAATTATAACAATATCTAAGATATAGGTACTCATTCTTAAAATGGTTCAATTCTGTGCACGTTTATGTAAGTAGTCATTATTTTGAAAGGAACCCTTGTATATTATTTCGGCTTCCAACAAACTATAAAGAAAGAACGGTTTAGGCTAAATCCATAAGGTATAAAATATTTATTATTTAACAGTTAACACTTAATAGGTAACATTTCTTTTAAAAATAATATCCTCTAAAAACAATTTTTGAGTCTCTGTTGTAGGAGATAATAACCATATGAATCCTACAACTTGCTTATTTTCTTTAACATTTTGACAGAATAATAAATGTCTTCGAATCGCCATAATTATTTTCTTGGTTATTTATTAATACCGTAGAATTATCTGGATAAAGATCATCAATAGATTTAGTTTCTTCTTCCTTAATACCTTATTGAACAGTAAACCTGATGTGATAAGAAAAATTGGAGTGATAAAACCATATTAAAACAGCATTTATGAGTAATATTTTTATAGAAATATAAATAAAAACATGTAAAAAATATATTTCTAATAGTTGTAAAGTTAAGAAATAAACTTAAATACAAACAAAATTGTAATTTCATGCCCGTGTATTTCTTCTTAAGCCCGGTTCACACGATCAAATATTTTATCCAATTTTTCGCGTACTATTTGATTACTAGATTGATAACAAATTGTTATCATACGATGGTATGTCGTGATTATGAAACATTATTTGCACATTTTTTTACAAAGGCATCGCCATTTGTAGTCCAAATCGTAGTGTTAGCTAAAAATCAAATTAGTTTTCAATGACGCCGAAGCGAGTAAAAGTGTTGCTCTACTGTTTTGTATAATCGCTGGACCGAACACCGAACAGATAGATCCGTAGGTAGGTACTACCAAAAGCTGATGGTCAGTGGTACTGGGGCGTTCTGTTTTTTGTACATTTTATTCGTACACGAACGCGATTTGGTGTTTTGTATAACCACACGAAACTTGGACACGCGAATCATCGGCCGTACGGATGTCTTTCGTACTGCATTTTCGTGTTCATGCGTTTGACGTCATTATCTGATGACGTTTATCCGTATTTCAATTTCGAACCTGTGCGAACAACATTCTAAAATACGTATACCTACCCGACACGTGTCCCGCATCCTACATGATCTATAGTCGTCCGTATATATATAAACGAACAATGGGCGGTATTCTAACCCGCTATAGGAACACGAATTTAACATATTTTTATAAATAAAAAACATTGTATTGTTTACATTTAGATTTTTATCCGAAACCGACACTGAAAATATATACGTGCCTAATACTCATTGTCGTTGAATTCTGAAATTATAATTTCTTATACGATTCAAAAATTGCATAATTATAGTATCGCGATCGATCACTGTATAACGGTTTTAACCTGTGACAAAACTGAATTGAATAGTTTATGGTTAAAATATAACAAGTTTCGAAGCGCATTGATTATTAATATTATGTTGTAATGGTTATTTCCCGTGCAGTCGTACTCGTGTTATCCTAGTGGCGTGCGCGATTATTTTTCAGCTTGTTTTCGTTTGTCTTTAAATCGAAATGCCGTTAGAAAGGAAAAAAAAAAATTAAATCCGGCCCGGCGACCAAAAACAAACCGCTATAGATTTTACGGAGACGCATACTCACCCCGCCAAATGTAAATTTTTGTCCCTCGTCTTGCCGATAATTGAGATGATATTTATTTTGTTGTAATATACGAAAACCAGCAACTTTCACATGCCCTACACCGGTACATCATACGTTTCAATCACATTGTAAAACCGGTCCGTATTTCGTCGGATTTCGTCGTACGAATATAGTTACGAAATACCGCTAAACGCGCGTTAATGCGCGCGGACAAAGTACAAAATACCATTTTCGCGAACCATACGAAAAATGTACGTACGAACAATAGTCGATCGTACGTGCGATAACCCAATGGGGGGGGTTTCACGCGAAAAATGACCGATTTTCATGTACGAACTGCATTCGTATGGCGTACAAAGTAGAACCCCGGGGCCACGAACGATTCACATTTTATGAATTCGGGTTTTCGGGTTCTCGGGAGAATAAATTATTATGTTTTACAATATTATGCGGACGACGAAATTGCACGGAAACGTCTTCAATTGGCTTAAAATTGATTTAAAACACTACGTTCCGAGTCCAATACTTACGAAATACACACTAATGCACACTATATAGAAAGTAAAAAGGAACTCGCGTCGTGTGTGCTGTCCACACGAACGTTGATCGCGGTGTGTGGTATCTACGGGGCTCGGACGACAAATGTTGGTCGGACGTTGACGGTGCGCTTTTGTCGTAGGTATAGTTATGTACATGATACCGGCCAGACCCGATTTCTGGATGTACATTGATTGTGCGGCCTAACCAGAAACCGATACAGAACATTAAATTTACTCCATTTACACCAAATGTTTATCGGCATAACATAAAATTTGTTTACGCACTATGGGCAAATTTAAATATCTACTAGTTTTTTTTTTTTTTTTAATCTAAAGATTTATTTAAATGTTGAAGGCTGTTTAAACCAAATAACACACTAGATTTTAATGAATTATTATTTATTTTTATATCAATTATAAACACTAAAATAAGTAATTAAACAAATACAGATTGCGAACTTTCAATTTAAACCGTGAAAAATTAAAACAATTGTTTAACATTTTAAATTGTTCCCAAATCTTGGATAAGAACATTGTGATATCAAAAGAATATAAAATAAGGAAAGCTGATATTATGATAGCATTTGAAAGGTTGATGGTGGTTACGGATATGAATCACCAAGTTTCAAGTTCCAGTGATTTTTTTAAAGTGATTTATTGTTTTATATATGGAATATTTAAGCGTAGTAAAAGACGATATTTTCGAATATTTATATTTTAAAATATTATTTTAATGCAAATTGTCAATCGGGTGATTTTTCTGAAAATGTTGATGATTTTAATCTAAATTTAAACGAATAACGTCCGAGTTATTCTACTTTAAATACTAAAGAATAATAAACTCACGGTTCAAAACAAGAAATTATCTATAAATTGCAGTTAGTATTCCAATACCTGTAAAAAACTATTATCCTTAATATTTAAATCAGTATAACTCGGAAACATTTCGTTCAAATTCCGTTTATAATATGTCGAAAATTTTTTAAAAACAAATCATTAATTTACATCAAAATAATGTGTAGGTTCTCATTTGAAAAACCAATGTTGTTTTCACCACAGGATACTCCTTAAATAACTCCACAATATTTAATGTCTTGAAAAATCTTAAGTGTGCCAAAATATGGTCGTTCACTTAAAAATTCCCAAAAAAAAAAAAAAAAACAGAATTTGTACGCATGCATAATTCGACCGTACAAATGGAGTGAACTGCACGTGAGTGTGGTTAAAAATAACGCTGCCCCATTATCGTATTATATTATAACTTTGTTGATGTACAAAAAGGTTGTGTAAATAATAATAGTTTTTAAAAATCCGTATCCTTATCTCCTCTTCATCATGAAAAATCGTTTGACCGCCACAGTTCCATTGTAATTACAAGCGAATATTCCTAATAATTTGCTAACCAATCCGCTAAATTGGCAAATAGACTTAGGAACATACACAATGTACAAGCCGTTTTTAAACAGAGTACCGTATATTAATTATGCGATAATAATTTGTATGATGGTGTTTCAGCATTTGCGCACGGTCCGGTGCTCAAAGTGTTTGCGCGTGTTCTGTTGCGTCAAACACCGAGTGGAACACGAACGCCGCGTGCACGTCGTCGCCCCGCCGATTCCGGTGATGGTGCCGGTGATCAAACGTCGATTTCGATTGGCGACGCCCGATAGCCGTCCGTTAGCCAACTGCATGATGAACAATCGGAAAAGACAGCGGGCGAACGCGCTGGAGGCGGCCGCCAAGGCTTCCCGGTTCGGGGGCCACGCTCGACAGCCGGCCGCGGAGGAGACGCCCGCCCGGACCATACTGAAGGCCCGTCGGTGCAGCCTGTCGTCCGTTAAACTCCGGTCCGTGGCCGAGAGCAGTGCAGCGCCGCCGGAGTCGGAGACAGACCAGCAAACACACGTGGCCGACGATGTTGCGGCCTCTACGCCCATCGGCACGGGGGCCGCCAGCTCCCCTAGTTTTTACCAGACGCCGATGCTGCAGATGACACTGCCGCCGCTGTCCGCCACTTTAGACGCCGCCGTTCCGCGCACAAACACGGATAACGAGAATAAGACACCACATCCGGATCGCGATGTGAACGTTGACACGCCGAAACGAAATTTGTTCGCGGCACACGACGTCGCGCAAAAAGGTACGTGTTTAGTTTGTTCTGAGAGAGGTTAAGTTAGGTTAGGTTAGATGTTTTTCGGTCTAACAACAATCTGCAATCACATTGTTTACTATACAACGTTATTATTGTGAATTTTCAAGTTTTATTGTCTGCGAAATACATTTTATTTTTACGTCCGGGACATTTGCGAAATTCAATATTAATTGGAGGGGATCGTTAAAACATAAATATTATATTATATACTTTAAATGCTTATTTAGCAGTAAATTTCGTTGTCAGAATCTTGTTGAGAAATGCTCAACACAGAAAGCTATACACGATATGTGCGTAGGAAAAATCACGGGAAAAACGGAAAAATCAGTACAATATTAAACAAATATTATTAAAGGAAATATATAATGCTTATTTAATTTCACCATAACATGCCATATATATATATTGTTGACAAAGCATCACTATCAAGTGAGCACCACTCAGAATCGTTTTTTCGTTAGCAATAGTTTATCGTTACAAACATACATTAAATTCTCTTCTGTATCCTACCTTTCCAACTTGCACGGCCGCACCCGCGTACGAAGTATGTCAGGCTTTTTTCCAGTTATTTTAGCCAAGTAGTTTTCGAAGGTGAAAATTTCACGAAACAATTTTCCACCTTTTTAAAAATTTCTCCTACTCTGATCCATACGTAATTTACGTAACTACGTACAACTTCCCTTTCCAGGCAATCGATCACTTTAGGAATCGAGGTTTTATTTTATTTTTTAATTTATTCCATTTATCTGATCGACACGAAAAGCCAGCAGTGGCGATTCCTTAGAATGTTATACGAATGAATCCAATGCTTCCTTCGTTGACTACATTCTACCAACTTACAATTTGTACTACGTATTATAGTACAACTGTTTTTGCTTTTCACTCGACGAACTCATCATTTAAAAACAACATAAAACTGATCTTAAACGACTGCACAAATTTCGACAGTAAACTACTGATAATAATCTCGCGACAGTCCTATGCGAGCGGAGTGTTTGAGAATACCACCGATACATTCCTCGCACGCTCATCGTCTAAATACTCGTTTCTAATAACTAGGGTGTATATTTTTTTTTTTTTTTTCAATAGCCTGAAGCAATGCTTTCCAAGCACAAAGTTCGTTTCATATGTCAAAGAATTAAAATATGCAACTTTTATTTTGCGTTTTTTGATATTTCATGTGTATTTTTAGGTTTTTAAGGTATTTTAAGACAAACTTCATAGTGTTATCAGAAAATGTTATACAATTTATTTTGATTTTTCCCCTAAAGAAAAAAATTCATATTTATATTTTTAAAATACATTAGGTACATAGATACATAGATTTACCGATTGTACCAAATAAATAGGATGCCAACTGCAATAAAGAAAACGATAAACTATTTATCGAGTTATTGTAATGTAGTTGTATTGCACTATTTGCACTTTTGTGTTTAGTAAATTTATATAACTAATAAAAAACTTTATTTCAACGTTCAAAATAATTTTTAGAGCATTTTTTAACCTTTTTAGGAGTGAAGTGAAGAAGCTTATGGCTTGGCAAAGATGTTTATTTTTTTTCTATGGACAACTTTTCTACCAGAAATCTTGTTTTGATTTTTGATCATTTTCTGAAAGGAAATTGGTGTGGGGAGGTACTTTAAAGAGATCATTTTTCGTTTTTCTCATCGAATTTAAAAAATGGAAAAAAAAAACGGGAAAATATCTGAACGATGTATAATAATGTAGATGTTAGTTAAAATATATTACTTTAAGAAGGTTATTTTCGATTCTCCCAGAAGTTTTCCCAACGAATGGAAAAAACTGGAAAAAATCGAGAAAAAACGGGAAAATGTACGAAATGTATTAGTACATTATTAAGGTTTTTTTTTCTGTGGACAACTTTTCTATTAACAATTTTGCTCCGATTTACAATGATAGTACTTTTTCTAAAAGGAAATCTGACTGTGAAGGTACACTCGGGAGGTTATTTTTTGATTTTCCCATGAGTTTTCCCACTAAACAGGAAAAACGGGAAGGTTCAATGTTAAACAAATATTATCAAAGAAAATGTATAATGCCTATGTAATTATTTTACCATAATATGGCATGCATATTGTTGACAAAGCATCACTATCAACTGAACTCCGCTCAGAATCGTTTTTACGTTAGGAACGGTTTATCGTTGCTCACAGATACTTATAGATTATTGACTATATTTTAGGATTTTTCTGGGCGAACATGGCTCGCCGTTTCCGGTTAGCTCTATTACCCGCTAAATCCGCCCCCATCACGACACTGGGCGACGGAGTTTCGCCGCCCGGAACACACGTGCAGGATGTGGCTCAGTACTACGGTAACATACAACCGAGAAGACCTATCAACAGTGACGCACCGCTGTCCGTCTACGCTAGGCCGTCGCTGAAAGACATCCGAAAGGCGCACGAAAGAGCCAGCGGTACTATCGTGGATGTAGACACGAGCGGTTGTAGTGAGTAAAACCAAAATTTTTAATTTTTTTTTTTTTTATTTACAGTTACATTGTAACTGTAAATAATAATTTACAATAATTTTTTTTATATATAAATACAGATATTATTTTTTTTTTCAAATTTCAATTTTTAACATTATTATTATTACTTATGTATTTTTATTAGTTTGTTAAATGCATCTATCATTTTATATTAACGAATACATTGTTGAAAGTATATAACTCGATTGTAATTATTATAGTAGAATATATTTTTTTAAATTCAAACCTAAATGCATCTAGGCTTATTTTAAAGTGCTGTAGCTTTTAATTGGTTACACGGTTTTTGTGATGTAAATGTAAATTTATAAATTAATTTTTTCCATTTAAAATAAAAAATTTTTTTAGTACTCATAACATTTGTTTGTTTTTTATTATTATTATTATAATTATACGAAATCAAAAGCTAGTGTCAAGTTACTCGACATTTCTTATTCAATAAAGTCAAGTTAGTTGACAAAAACCATATTGAATATCAGGTATTTAAATTTACATAATTTAGAATTGGGCCACCAAAGAAGTTATTCTGCGAAAATAGTAACATGAGTCATGAAAAAATCATTAGAAATATTAATATTTGATTTAATTTTTTTAATTTATAATAATAGGAAATTAAATCCTAAATTATTGAAATTGATTTTAGCTGATTTGGGTAAAAAATATCTTGGTTTTACTATGATCTGTTTTTTTATTTTTTTGTAATTATGAATCACTTTTCTACCACATTGCACCAATCAAAAGATTACAAGAGACCTTTAACCCTTTCATTACCACTGTCCATTTCAATGGACTTTTTAGTCATTACTGTGGTTCTATATCTTGATTAAATAATTGATTGTTTAATTAAATGATATTAATTGATTTTAATTATTTAGTTGAGTAATGAAAACGTTAAGTAAGAAAGTTTTTATTTTCCAATCATCATCATATAGCTTCATAATTCTGGGAGAGTTTTACCTGTCACTGTTAGAGCTCTCCAACTTCCACGGTTCTGGATCATTTTCTCCCAAACCTCATCTAACCTTGTCATATGCCATCTATTCTCTGTTTCTTTGATATTCCTCATGACCTCGTTTCTACTGGTTCGTATTCAATAGTTGCTCTAGCTTTGTTACCTTCCTTTCGGTTTATCTGTCCACACCATTTTAATATTTTACTCTTCGCATAAATAATAATTAAGATGAATTATAGAAAAGCTATAAACAAAAAACTGACAAATCTACGTCATTAAATTTGTTTTTTTTTTTAAATTTTTGTTTTTTATTAGAAATATTGATCCACATTTTAAGAGTAGCAACTTTTTTGAAAGACAATTTTGCATTATGTTTAAGAAGATATTATACCCCTATGTGCTGTTTCAGTCCAACTAACAGGCAATATACCAAAATCTATCTTATGCAGGCTGCGTAGAACTCTTTCAATTTTGGTTTTAGAGTAAAAGCACCTATGAAAAAATTAAAAGAGGACAATATTCTGGAGAATAAAATGGTGCGTTTCTTTTAGATACGGAATGAAGCGAAAAAGCTTTTGGTTTTACAAAGATGTTTATTATTTTTTTTTTTTTTTATTATTCAGTGGACAACTTTTCTACCGGAGATATTGCTCCGATTTTTATGTCTAGCACTTTTTCTGAAAATAAATCGTTTTGGAGAGGTAATTTTTTGATTTCCTTAAGAGTTTTCTCATCAAATGCGAAAAACCGAAAAAAATAAAACTGAGGAAAAACGAAAAAATCGGTACAACATTAAACAAATATTATTAAGAAAATACAAAAGCTTATTTGATTATGTTACTATAATATAGCATATATATTGTTGACAAAACATCAGTGATTAACTGAACTTCACTCAGTCGTTTTTTTTGTAAGCAATGTTTCATCGTTGCTCACAAGTATACATTAAATTACCTATAACAGTGGCTGCATCCGTCCCCATTATCCTAGGGCGTCTTTTTAAAAATTAATTTTATGCAATTTTACAGTTATTTAAAAACGATTCATTAGTTTTTATTTCTATACGGTGTGTTGAATGTTATATCTGGAATAATGATTAGAATAATAGAAAAACGAATCGTCTTTCCCTTTTGAATATTATCCTCTTTTAATTGTATATTTGATTTTACCATAAGTAAAAGTACCAGTACGACATTTACAGTAAACAATATTTTGGAGGAAATCTGACAGGTATTTTATGAATTATGAACTGTTAAAAATTTTCCCAATTATTTCGAAAACTTCTTGAAAAACTATGGTTGATAAGACTGATGGCGTAAAATCTAAAAGGTATTAAAGAATTCATTTTTAATAAAACAAGTCGAGTAACTCACTTTAACAACTGGCTTTATATATACAGATTGGTTTACTTACACCGTATCTGAATTATTACATTTATATTTTATAATACGATAATAACATAGTATAGAGTAGGTACGTATATGTATGTACGTATTACAGAATATGCATGATGACGTTTCAACGAGGCAAGCGAAACTATGTACAATATACTTAAATAACAAATATAATAATAACTCTGCACATGGTTGGGTCAATTGTTTGAGTATATCGTTTCCTTCTTGCACGTCCCGTCCGTGCTTAAAAATAGAAAAATTATGCTCAACACGGAAAACGCGAAAACGCAGATGTGCAGCCAATATCGGTCTATAATAATTAATAATAAAGATACATAATATTGTTATATGATGTCATAAGTGGTAAACGCACCAAAATAATATCATGATATCAAGTATATAATATAGGGCCCGGATTACGAGTTCAAAAGTCCCGTATAAATGATTTAAACACGAAAAAAAAATTGTGTATTATCACAAATTAAAAAACAGAGGATACGGAACGACAGATTCTTATCACACCAATATTTAAGACGAATAATTTTTCTCAATTTAAAATAAAACAACCAGCGCCTCCATGATTCTAACCAACTGTTAGATAGATATTCGAGATTTGACTATAGATCTATGTATTCGACCACCATTATCTAAATTGCACCAACAGACCATTATGACCCTGTAAAATGATACTGAGTGAACAATCTACCTTAAAACACTCATTATCTTCGAAAGTATTAACTTTTTTCGGAATTTGTTTTACAGAATATATAAGAAACAAGTAGACTTACAATTTTACTTTAACGTTATTTTTGTCAACCTTATTTTTGTGATTAAAACCACTATAGGTACCTTTTGAGGTATTTTTGATTTTCAAATGGCAACCTATATTAAAAATAGGTCAGAAGAGAGTAGTGGTGCATTATTAAAACACCACGCGCAATGCTGCTTAACGAATGATGCTCCGCTACTCTTCCCCCGACCCAAACTTAAAAGTAGAATATCTTGTCAACGGATTGACGGAAATTAAACATTTCAAAACTAAAATTTATTTTAACTTATAATCTATCTAAAATCTGTTTCACGAGATAAAGGCACCGTTTCGCGTAAGTTGACCGGAGTCCCAAACCACAACCATCGAATCCCCTCGTACGTCGCTTGCTTAAGTGTACCGGGTAGAAGTGAGGTCTAAACGAGGAGCGGCGTGGGGGGATACGCGTCACTGATCGGTTTTCATTAAAACGCGGTAATTTTCTTTCGTGAGACTGAGTATTTTTGTCGAACTTTTATTATGGGTTGCCATTTGAAAATCAAGTAGATAGTTCTTTCACCTCTAAAAAAAAGAGTAACAAAAAATAACAAGTATAAAATTGTAGATCAGCTTGTTTTTTAAATGTTCTAGAAAACAAATTCCGGAAAAAGTTAATACTTTCCAAGATAATGAGTGTACCCGCTTAAATGATCATCTGCTATATGTATTATGTATACATTGTCCTTAACAATCATATAACCACATATTAAGATGTTGTGCGTATTATATAGTTTTGCTGTCCAAAATCGATCATGACCATTGTGCGGTAGGAATTTAATTTAACAATATAAAAGTGTATGCAACACTTTTGTCATTGATTGATAATCTGTTGCTCAGATTCCTGTATCTGTATTTAAATTTACGTGTATATTATTGGGTTTTGCATAAAAATCCGGGCACTTTTAAAAAAAAAGTAATCGTGGGTCCGACGAATTCTCCCCGGAATTCAAATAGAATCGATAATAAAAGGACAAGATTACCGAAACTTGGGAAAAAAAAAATCACTCCGTACACAAAATCCACGAACAAGTTGTTCAACAGGGTCATGTAGCCGGCCACGAAGCTCTCGGGCAACGGATACATGAGCTGGGCACCCATTTCGTACAAAAGACTCTGACTGCACCAGCCGTATGGAAATGCCATCAGTACCACGCACACCAGGGTCGCTGAAACAGCAACGAATTTGTAAGTATATTGTTCTTCTAGTGCAACAAGCAGTATCTCCAAAAACTCAATTGTTGGGAAAATATTTTCGATTTCTTTGTTTTTCACCGTGAACTTATTATTTTGACTCGCTTCTTTTTACATTAATTATTAGTTTTTAGACATCTTTAATTATTTTGAAAGTTTTTTATGTACTTAGTTTATTATTTTAGTTTTTCATTTTTAAGAAAATACTGCATTTTTCTCTAGTATAGGTACCCAATACAAACATTTTTTTTTTTTACAGAATATAGTATCTCTATAAAGCTAGATTTTGTCAGTTTACTGACACGTTTAAGTGAATTTAAATTTATAGATTGTATACATTTAATATAAATGTTTGTACACAATGTTATTGTATTTGTTATATTATTCTTTTGTATAAACTGAAAATTAAATTTAAAACTGTTAGGTATCTGGTTTAAAGTACAATGCACTTATTGAAATATTGTAAATACATTTGTATAAAAATGCTGTAGTTACTGATAGTAATAATTGATAACAAAATATTGGTAGAATGGTAACAAGTAGTATAACACATAATGGTAATAATAGTACCAAGGTATCTGATAAATGTCGTGTTTGATAAGTACGATCATTCATAACTAAAAGAAAAAGTATGCATACTATAAAACCGTTTTTTCTAAGACTACTAGAAAAATATGCAGTATACGCATTGAGACATCAGTTTTTCTAAGAAAATATGCAATATTTCTATTGTACATACTGTTTTACTTTTTAGAATATGCTACATACTGTGTTTTTCCCTAGTATTGGACAATATTTTGGTCGATACGACATTTTATAATGCTTTTTAAAAAACATTTCTAGTGGAGTTACTGCGTTTCACCTACGGAAAAAAACACCGAATTATCAAATCATCCGTAAAATGGAATAAACTTAATTTTTAAAATTTGGCATTTATTGTTTGTTGCACTAGGGGGGTAGTATACGCCTGCAGCGATCGCGGATCTCCAGAATCGGCCTGCATACCCGAATACTTACTGGTCGTCATTCTGGCGCCAAAGTTCAACATGAGCATCAACCAAAACAGGAAAACCAACGAGATGAGCCGGCTGAACAAGGTAAACTCCTTGCTATAACCGGGCGCCCGATATGCAAACGTGCTTATAGTTAGGCTCAAAAAAAAAGTGTGAATGATCATGTAAAAACCCATATTAGAGCTGAGTTCCTAAAAGAAAAAATTACACAAATGCACTAAGTATTGTTTCACTATACGTACAAAAAATGTCAAATATGTATATTTGTTTTTCTCGTTACGGGTGGCACGTGAAGTTTAGAGAACGTAGATGGTAACAGACCCGTCCAAGGGGCCAACATGGTGTTGGACAGAGCGAATGCCAGTACCAAACACCACACGTCAAAATCCCTATAATATTATAATTAAATTTGATAAAACTAAAGAAACTTATTTAAAAGCCTGCAAAAACGCAGTGTGATCATTATGGAAATTACACACAAGAAGAGGATTTTCAGCGAGCAATACACTTTGGCGGACTGGTGTGAGGCCATCGCCTGTTTGGACACATGACTCATTGGCTGCGTATGCGACGGAAATATCAGATAAACCAAAAGCGTAACTAATACGTTTAGACCAAAACCTGCAGTGGAGAAAACAAAAAAAAAAAAAAACAGTAAAATTAGTATAACATAATATTATATTATGTTCCATGAAGTCAAGTCAGGTCATTCCCCAGACTGTTAGAATGCGGTAATGGACTTCACTGAGGCCGTTATAACGGAAAAGAAGCAGGTGGAGCACCTGTGGTAAAACCGCGGTGGCGATGGTGACGACGACTGGCTGTCCCGGGTAGTCCGGGTAGTCCCGGGTACGCAAAAAAAAGTATTACCGATAATATTAAAAAAAAAAAAAGTCAGGTCAGTATCGTNCTAACACGTGATAAGATGTGAGCCCGCCCCGCTGTAGGGGAAAACGGGATTTTAGAAGAAACAAAAAATTGTTATATTTGATATTTTTACTAAACGATGGTGGGCTGTGTATCCGACGTAATACTTCGCAATAGTCCCGGGTACGCAAAAAAAAGTATTACCGATAATATTAAAAAAAAAAAAAGTCAGGTCAGTATCGTGCAAACGTACACGTGTATAGTAAGCTCATGATCCGGATTCTGAGAACAATCGGGTTTAGAGATCCTTCGGAATCTGTGGACACTATCATGGAACCAACAATGTACGTGGCTGCCGATCCCAACATTCCCATCGCCGAACCGAAACCTTTGTCGAACATATAACAACTTATCAGTATAAAGAATTTTATCACTATATTATCTCTACCGACCAGTGGCCATGGTCCTCTCATTTTTCGGGAACCATTGCGCTGACACGGTTATTATCAGCGGCGTCATGGCCACGCCACCCGCAGCCAGACATATGGATGATAAGTGTATAAACCTGTAAGTTGGAGGGGAAAAAAGATAAGCATGTAAGGGTGATTTATTATAATATATAATTCATGACAATAAACCAGAAACGATTTCGAGTAATGGAGCTAAGGTGAAAATTTGTTTACCGAAAATATTGTAAAAACAAGGGGGGGAAATTAGAAATCAATAAAATGTTTCTTTTAAATGTACAAAATTCAAGTGATGTGAACGGGATGAAACTTTTGGACTTAATAGGAAAACGTTCCAAATCAATAAACAACAATACTCCTGGATGGAGAGTCCGGGAGAGGGTACATCTTAGTATAAACTAAACAGGATGTCTTACGGTGTAACCCGTCGGCTAATAACTGTCAATATTCATTTTTTTTTAACTTGTTTTTTACAATCGGGTTTTGTTTAAGAGGGGTACATATAAAGAGAAAGATACAATTTTTATTTTCATCCCTTAATCACTGGAAAAATAACTATATTTCATCACTTTTTAAAATTTTCAAAATTACTATTTTGTATAAGATATTATTCTAAACATTTGAATGTATCATAAATTCATATTCGATCAATAGTCTCTTAGTTATATCGCCTTTAATTTATAGAAAATAGGCGTGAAAACAATTAATATTCCATAGAAGAATAAGAATTACCTTGCTGATAGTGATTCATTATCGGGTACCTCACGTATTATTCTATTGAAAATTAATTTATTTCACACCTATTTTGTAGAAGTTAAAATGAATATTACTAAGAAAATATTGATCGAATATTTAAGTATGGTATACATTAAATTGTTTAAAATAATATATTTTAAAAATTGGCTATTTTGGAAATTTTAAAAATTGAAAGAATACAAATTTTTTTTCAGTGATTAAGGAATGAAAACAAAAATTTTATTTTTCTCTACTTATGTGTTTGTCTCTCTTTCATAAACCCGATAGAAAAACAGAACGGACATACTTCGCACGTAGGTGCAGCCACTTTTGTAGGTGGAGAGTGAGGAAGGTTTTATACAGATGGAAATTCAATATATATCTGTTATTTGTAAGCAACGATAAACCATTGCTAACGAAAAAATGATTCTGAGCTGAGTTCAGTTGATAGTGTTGCTTTGTCAACAATATGTATGTCATATTATGGTAAAATGATAAAATGACAATAATGATTGTTAAAAAAAGTTTTAAAATAATAAAAACTTAATAATAATAAATAAATAAAAACGGTTGCCAATGATAACCTTATTTTTCAATCTTTCAATCTTTTTTAACCTAAAGAACCAGGTTTTCCTCATTATCTGGAATATCAATGAAAATTTCAAAAAATAACCTATTTAAAGTACTGCCCAGAGAACATTTCCTTTTATAAAAGGTGCTGTACTTGATAATTGGATTATACTTTCTAATAGAAAAAGTTTCACATACAAAAAAAAATAAAAAAATAAACATCTATGTAAAACTAATACATTCCTCGTTCCACTCAGAATTTAAAAAATGAATATTGCCAGTGGTATTAGGCGACGGATAATACTGTAGAACATTCTATATAATAGCTTCCTCATTGCACCCAGAATCTAAACTACAGCATACTACACACACGGTGTTCGTTTTCAACGAAAGAATTATTGTTTTGTTCGTGATGCAAAAAATAGCAAAAAATATACGTATTATTGATGTATTTTTAGGAATAACTCACATAGTAGATGAATATACGGATGGTAAACATCGGACGGCCGAGCCCAACGTCAAAAAACAACATGACCATAACAAACTCAATTTTAATCCTGAGGCAGAAACACACTACGGGTAAGTACGTAGGTACCTGTATAAAAACATCTGAGCTAGGTTCATAATATGTATCGACATACCGTATTTATTGATGGTTAGACACGCCGGAAACACCAACACTGCAGTCATTATGCTGCCCCATATGGGCAATAGGGCCAACGATCTGCTGGACCAGTTCGGGAAAGCCGCGAGCGCCGGTTCGTATATGGCGCTCCATATGCACTGAGAAAATATCTAAAACAGATTGTCAGTTGAAATGCCGCACTCGAATTTGATCATGGTCATCGTTGGGTAGGTGTACTTACTTGGAGGAAAGACGCAGTAGATGCTATAATAATGACGAGAAATCTCTTCTTGGTCGGCCCAAATTTTTCGATACCGAAACTGCTCAATTCCTTTTCTAAGTTATATAAAGGTAATGCCGTCGATGGTAAAAGTTTCAATGTTTCGTCGTAGTGAATCTAATTATAACTTGTTCTTAGAATACGATATATGACATTTTACTAGAATTTTAGGGAGCAAAAATTTGTTAGGAATTGCTAGAATTTGATTGACATTTTAGGATGGAATTTCGGGAACATTTTTTTTTTTATAAAAATATAAGGAGTTTCCAAGAATTTTCAATGGAAGTGGATGTAGAACCACGGATATATTGTAAAATCATCTCCTCTACCCAACTCAACTACGGGGAATTAAATGTTTGATCCATAAAAGCCGATTTTTAATCATTAAATTAAGATTAATATAAACATAAATTATTGTTAAATTTCGAATGTGAGACTTTTGGATCTCGAGTGGAGTGTCATCGAGAAGTTTTTATATGGTTTCATAAATCTTATGTTATAAAGGTTGTAAAAACATAACTCGTAGAGTCATTACATGTATTTTGTCAGAGCTTAACAGTTCTGTTTTCAATAGAATACTTTGTATACTAGTCTCCCTGTTGAATAACTCCACATCCGGCTCCAAGTAATCATCCGACGCTTCATCCTCATTCTTTATGTCGAGTGACCCCATTTTCACTATTATTATCAGAGTCCAAATTATTTTAAAATTTATATATCATATTTTTTAAGGGAACAAGAAAAAAAAATAACGAATCATTTTTCATAGTAATCGATTGTTTATATATTTGTTGACTATAACGACGGTAAAATCAACACTACAATAGTATTATACATATCCTATTCCCGGAGATTATAAATATTAATAAGTAATATGGACTACATAATTTATATTCAGTATAATTTACTTTTCTTCCAAAAACATTGTAAGCATATGAATATCTATGCAGGGTTTATAAAATTGTCCATAAAATACTTAAGTATATTATAAGTTAAGTATTTTATGTTATAAGAATATTATAAGTTATAACATTTTAGAATATATGATTTCAAAAATTTGCAAGAAAGTACTTTTTTGAAAAAATTAATATTTCATCGAAAATTTGAAATTTGATAAACTCTGATTTGTACTCAAAATAAAGTATTAAGTATAATTGTTATTTTGGTATATAATATTAGCATAATCTGTCATCAAATTTTTTATTAATTCATTATTATTCATGTATTAATCATTTAATGATATTTTGTTAGTGATTTTTTATCTATTGTTTACAGATAAAAATGTATGGATTTTAACTTTCAAATTTTCCATTTAAAACAGTGGTGCACCAATTTCAAATGTATCAGTTCTTTTATTTTATTAATTTAACCCTTTAGTTTACGATTATTGAGCTTTAAGTATTAAGAGACCTCCATACATAATTTTTTATGTAAGGTTATCAACATTTCCTTTTTCACCTTCATTTCAGTTGTAGGTTTATCAAAATACTAAAAACAAATATTTGGGTTTCAATCAGCAGTGGATTAAACATGAACATTCCCCCCCCCTCAATATTAAAATTTGACATCTTTCTTGGGCCCATTCGTTAGTATTCTGTTAATATTTGATAGAAGAACAAAAATCATCGTTAGTAGATATTTGGATTAAGTGATTTTCTGCTAATGTATACATATAAATAATTAGTTAAATGATAGAAAAAAAGTTTTTTTTAAAAGTTAAATTAATTATTATGTTAGTCAAAAAGTGCATGTACACATCCTCTTTACGTATTCAATCGTTTGATTGGTTTGCTGCAGATCTCCAACCGTCCCTATCGTTACTTAGTTCCCTCAATACCTTGTAGTTATTCTTCCCCGTGTTAATACAAAGTTCTTTAAAGTAATCCAAACAATTAAAAATGAAAAAAAATTTACCTCTAAATATGGGTTAATATAACTTTATACTTATTATCAATTTATTATTATTTCAAAATTATCTGCATAAATACCTCTTTAATGTAATATGTAAATATTAAAATAAAATTCCATGAAAAATGATTTTTTTTTTTATTTTTGGCAAGCAGGCCTGAATTTTACAAATGAAAAGTTGACAACCCAAGTTTTGTTTTTGTGCAACTCAAAAATGTTTTAGGCATTTTACCACGTATAGGAAATCTATTATTTTGTGAACATTTTTTTAGGTGTAAAATTAGGTAGGTGTACACGATTAATATAAAAAAAAATTCGAAAATAATTTGAAACCATTATAATATCGTAAACTTTCCTGTTTTTTCTACGTTCATTCCCGGTTTTTCATAATTTTTTAATAAACTCCAAGGAAAATCAAAAAATGATTTACTTACGCACCAATTAAATACAGTTTTCAATATTTCCGGCTGAGAAACAAAATCGAAAATTATAAAACATAAAATTGTTCGGTTTTTACACTATTATTATGAAAACTAGGCGCTTGGATAATCAACAAAGTGACACGTTCAATTCCGTGCCAACCAGATGAAAAATGCTACGAAAAAACTCTTTTATATCATTTTTTGATTCGAACAAGATTTCTGGTAGACAAGTTTTAAAAAGACGAAAAGAAAAAAAAGAATTTGCTCACGTCGTAGTGAAACCTACACATTCCTCATATCGCTCAGAATCTATAGAGAACGCAATGTTATATTATATCATTTACCTCGGCCATCGCCCTGTATATTTGGGTGTATACATATATAAATACAAATAATTTAACAATAGTAAACACATTGTTAATAAATTATTAATAAATTATTACATTGTTCTGTGTGGAGTGGTGTGTGCGTAACGTTTCTCGTTATTCGGGCTCGCATGTCATTGCGGCAGGTCGAAAGTCGTGACTTTTTATCTACTACCCGCCGTCGCGACTGGTCGAGTGTTAAGAAAACACTACAATATATAATAAAAAAAAAAATTATGTCGGAGTGTCAAAGAAGAACAGTATACTCGTGTAATATAATTGACAATGATCGAAACCAAAACGGCTGAGTCGGCGTTTTTCAATTGAAATGTAAAACGTAAACAATATAAAAATAATAAATAAAAAAACAGAAATGCGATTATTTGCCTGGAAAACGAAGTCAAGGTTTTCGTGATGTGTGATGTGCTGTCGCGTGTGTATATAACCACCACTGCAGACTAGGTCAAACGTCTTCAAGTCTTTTTCTATTTTCACCATTAAATGTCATGCCTAATATTATACAACTCATCACTACTTGTCATTGTATAGCATTTATATCGTCATTAAATCAAAATCTAATTTTATTGATTGAATTCTTGTTGTATGAAAATGTACGTTATAACATGCTCGGTCAGAGGTGTGTGAGCGCATTTTATTAGAACATGCTATAAAAACCTTAAATAAATTCGCGAATACCATTTTGACCGTTTCGTTTAATACGAATTTATAAACGACGAAATAAATGATTCATTAAGTTATTATTACTAACTTCTTATTTCGTAGTGGTTAATAAATGATGATCAGTTTAGTTAGAGACAACGGCCACTGCCGAATTTCAAACATGCAAATAACGTTTCAAACGCGATAACACTATCTATGAAAACGTTTATTGTCCGCCAATTTGCTCCTCGTGTCGAAAAATCGTTTTAACCGCAATAAATATGATTAAGAGTAAAAAGACCCAGGATTGGGTAAGATACTAAAAACAGAGTATTTTTGATTCTTAATACGTAATATACAAGCCTAAATAAAATACATTCAATTTTTAGATTCTTAGCGTAGCAAGAATTGTATTAGCTTTACTATAATAACTCTTTTAGAATTTTGTGTTTTTGTATATTTTGAATCCATAAGCAACTTTTCAAATAGAAAACTTGATCTGACATTTTGATGCATTAGGTATAGCACATTTCTAAAAGGAAATGTTATCTAGTTGATTCTTTCAGAAGGCCATTTTTTGAATTTCCTAGGGGTTTTAAAAATAATTGGGAAAAACCAAAAAATTAAAACTGAAAAATTTACGTTTTCATTATTTTAAATTTTTATGCTTTACGTTTCGATCAGGAATATTTCTCCAATCGAAAAATGACAAAAGGCCGCTTTTGTTGAATTTTGGATCTAGTTTGTGCATTAAGGAGTTAATTTTTTGATTTTAAAAGGAGTTATCAAAATAATTGGGGACATTAAATAAAATTCGTTTATATGATTTTGCGTGTAGTTTTTTTACCATAAGTCGAAATTACCAAAACAATTTTAGATTCTTAGTGGAGCGAGGAATTTATTGATTTTACAGTGATGTTTATTTTGTATTTATTATTTTTTTTTTTATTTGAACACTTATGCTTTCTCCAATTTACAAATGTAGCGCTTTTTCTAAAAGAAAATATTTTCTGGTTGGAACTTTAGAGAGGTCATTTTTTAAAATTCTCATTAATATTTAAGATAGTGAGAAAATCTGGTTAAAAAAGATTGAAAGATTAAAAAACAAGTTTCATTGGCCACCGTTTATATTTATTTTTTGTTATTATTAAGTTTTTATTATTTTAATATTTTTTAAACAAGCATTATTATCAATTGTCATAAAAACACATATGGTTGTAATCATTTTACCATAGTATAAAATAATATATTGTTGACAAAGCAACACTACCTGAACTGAACTCCACTCAGAATCGCTTATTCGTCAGCAATGACGAACCTTCCCACTTACAACAGAGGCTGCACCCACGTGCGAAGTATGCCCGTTCTTAAAATGTATTTTTTGTTTAAACATTTTAAATTCTGAGTAGAGCGAAGAATGTATTCATTTTACAAAAATGTCTTTTTTAAAAAATTTTTTTTATGTTAACTCTTTTTCTACCAGAAAGTTTACTCCGATGTATAAAATGTAGACCCTTTTCTGAAAGTAAATTTTCTTGGAGTGGTAATTTTCCGATTTTCTCATCAAATATGAAAAACCGAAAAATAAATGAAAAAAAAAACGGAAAGATGTACTGAATAAATTAGTAAAATATAATTTTTTTTTCTGTGGACAACTTTTAAACCAGCAATATTGCTCCAATTTATAATAATTCGTAATAATTACGCAGAACCATTTTTCTTCAGTTGTGATCGTTGCTTACAGATATAAATTAAAGAACTTTATGTATCCTAACTTCTTAACCTCATACCTATAACATTAGCATACCTGTTTCCAGTAACAGCTCATTTTATTTTTTTTTGTGTTTATTAAAAAGTAAATAATAGATTACGACAAGTTAAGTAGGTACAATAGTTTTCATATGTTCGTGTTTATGACGTTAAAACATAGATTATAACCTACTTTGTGTACGGTTAATAAAGATCAAATATATTTCTCCAATATCAGCTTTAAAGTTTTTGGTATAACGTAGAAAATTAATCATCAAACAAAAATAATATGATTTAGGACGTAGTAAACAATGTACGATATTTAGTAAATGTAGTTGAGATAAAATTATTAAATTAAATATAATTATAGTCTAATATCTTAAATCATTGTGAATTACGTTTCGTTGGTAACCGTATAACTTATTTACTTTGTTGAAAAGTAAAAATTCTACCTTTTTAATATATACATTTGTTATAAATTATAGATAATTATACAAGATAAATACTCGATACTAGATAAATTATACAAGTAATTGGTATACCTTCTAATGATTTGCGGAACTCGCGTAAAACCTTTACCGGTTGTCGAGAAAAAGTGGAAACCCTCAAAAGGATGCAACAGAACGAAATTGCTCACCCTCCGACATCCGACGTACATATCAAAGTTAAAAAAGTCTATACCGCGACCGGATATTAGACCAATAAAAAGTGCATTGCCGTTATGGGAAGAAATAAATCTGAATGAAAAAATAAGCCCGTTCCACGGGAGCACTCCGACGGGTCCGTTAGTCTTTCATAAAGGACTTATGGGATCTAATCCATTGCAAACTAAGTCTAAGTTAGATTTTTATTTAAACGACCCACATAATCATGAAGTAGCATACAGATACCACCCGTTACACGATCCGCATCTAAAACACTGGGTGAACTCGAAACACAACAGAAAATTTCTGTACAAACAAGGACTCCTTACCGACGATATGGAAGTAATATGCACTTTAAAAGAATATAATGAATACAGGCGGTATTTATGGCGTAAACATAATAATGAACTGGTAAAACTTCTACATTTTAAAGACCAACAAAAAATAGAACAACGAAAAATAAATAACGCAAATAACAATCATAAAAAAGAAATAGCGAAAAAATTGAAACAATTAAATTCTTGTATGTCAAAAGGGAAACCTCGAAATGTAAGTTCACTAGCACTATTTCATTAATCTATATCGATTAACAACAAACATGTATTTTTAATATTATTGTAGGCACCTAGTATCATTTGTAGGTACCTATTGCATAAAAATGAAATATTTTTAAATATATATTAATTTTTTTTTTTGCTTATTCTAGGCTATTTAGGCCTATTTCCGCTTCCGAAATCTCACCTAAGTTTCTCTATGTGCTGCTAGCTCCTCTCCGTTCTACACTCGATCATCCTATAGTTGTCTAGGTCTTCTTCTCGGTTAACTTTTATTAGGTGTCAGTTTTGTGACTATAAATTTGCCTCTACTCTCCATCCGTGTCTGACCCACCTTAATATTTGGCTTTTGTAATGGTTACTATAGTGGAATGATTAAATAGAATTATAATTTCTCTATTTAATCTTAGTTTGTAACAGCCTTCATTATTTTTCTTCGGTCCAAATATTCTTCGCAAGATTTCCCTTTAAAATATCATTAATTTGTTTTCATCAGACTTAGTAGAGGTCCAGGCTCCACAGGCATAACATATAATCGGTCTAACAAGGGATTTTATAATTTTAGTTTTGTTTTTTTCAATAGATTTTGGATTTAAATAATTGAACTAATTATAATAACATTTGTTTCTATCTATGATTCTTCTATGTATTTCTTCGTGGTTATTCGCTTGTGAGTTTATATCTACCCCTAAGTAGGTATTTAAAGTTACAGATTCTTTCAAATGATGGGTCTTTTATTGTTATTGCGTTCTAAGGATACTATCTTCTGGATAAAATCATAAATTTGGTTTTGTTTTCGTTGATGATAAAACCCATCTTTTTTGCTGTACCAATTACATTTTCAGTTGTTCTTTTGAGACTATCCCCCGTATCTGCTATCATAAATACACTATTTTCGATAGTTTCTATTCTAAATTTCTTCCACATTTCAAATATATTTTAACCTAACCTTTTTGTATTTATTTTATGTAAAGTACCTAAGTACCTATAACTTATATTTTACAATATCATACTTATATATAAAAAAAAAATCAATTTTTTTAGTTATGATTTCTACTTTCAGATACTATATAATTAATTTTATTATAACTGGAATATCTTTCCATATAAATAAATAAAAATAAATAATAACTAAACTAATTAAGGCAAAAATATATGTATTTTTTTTCAGGTATTGAATAACGAAAAATATCTCAATACAAAATGTGAACATCCGAATAAAAGACAATTAAAGCCAAACTTAAAACTTAAGAAAATCGAAACTTACACTGTATATGGCTTGGGCAAGGGTGGTGTAGTGGATACCAATAAATATCGAGGTACCTTTATAAAAGGATCTCCGGATGATTTTCACCTATTAGGGTACTTTAATGAATTATTCAATGAACTGAAGATAGGAACCCGCGTCACTTACTCTTCCACAAGCTTCTGACACAAAAAATATATTTATATTGGTTTTAATTTCTTGCTCTTTGTCCCTAAAAGATGTGTAGTAGAATAAAAAAGCGGATATTTATATAAGGGTATTTGGTGTGAAATGATATTGTTACTACGTAGTATGTATAGTACGGATACGCGGCGGTTTGTTCGTCGGTGAATGTGTATGTATCGTCTTATATGTGTGTACAAACATATGTGTTTAAACATGTTTATTATACGATCATCGTCGCGACACATATACATACATACTAATCTAAAGACTTATTATGTTTGATGTTGACCGGCAGCTATCTACCGCACGAGATTATTTTCTTTATTCATTTATTAACATCTACCTAATTTGTTTATTTAATGTTCTACTACGAGCATATGGAAATATTCCCCTATCTCGGTACACTACAAGAAGTTCAAAAGAAGTTAGTTCATTGCTCAAAATACAAGAAGTAGGTGTAAGGATGTGTAAGTTTCGATAAATTGTTACAATAAACACAAGTAGGTTTTCTAACGTTTTTGCCACCAGGTCAATCACGTTAATAGATATTTATGTGACTATACCCAGACGTCGGGTCGCTAATAAGTTCCGTTTAGTGTAACGAATCGCTAGCCGTCGTATTATTATGTAACCATTTTGCTTAAAAGTATTTACTACAATATAAATGTAAAGGCAATTGTTTATCTTGAGTGATGACCACCAACCCGGTATGTTAGGTCGATGCTCGAGTCAGCCAAGTGTAATATATTGTGGATGTGTGTGTTTGTTTGTATTGCATTGTATAAGAAAAATAATAGACACGTTTAATGTATGATATAAAATAAGGTGACAATATGTACAACTATCAGGTTTAAGGAGATGTGGATTAACCAAATACAGCAACCTGCCTATCGTATCTGCAACTGCTATATCGGTCTGGGAAGAAATAGGTAGTGAGGATTTTAAGTGAGAAAAAAATGAGTGCTTCCACTGGGAGAAACCAGAGAAGTGAGGATTCATTAATATCTCTTTATTTCTAGTTACCGTTACTTATTTTATTATTACTCTCTTCTTCTTCTAATCTTAGAAATTTCTTACGACTTTTTATAAATAAATCATTCCATTTTACCACTCTATAGTTTTTTAAATATTTTTATTAAACATGATCTCAAAGGTAATATATTTATAATCACACCTTCACTCCATATTTTACTTTTTACATTTTGTATCCATACTTTATCTCCTGCCTTATACTGTGTTTCTTTGATACTTATTCTATTATTAAACCAATAATAGTTAAAAGTCAAGTAAATAGAAAATGTAAAGTTAAAATCAACCGGATATTTTATGAATGCAATTATCGTTAAGGCCTTTGTCAACCCCAAATATCTGGGACAAAAGCGTAAGAAAAACAGGAGAACGATAGTTCTCATTAATGCCTTGTAGTGCCTTATTGCCACTCCTTGTAAATACTATAATAGTTAATTTAAACTAAATAGTTAATTTTTCATCATTTTCTAATATTGTTTTAAATGCTACTAATCACTTTTGGTTTTACGTTTTCTACTTTAAAATTATTTTATACCTAAGCACTCTACTCAATAATTGCGATGGTGGTTACCGAATTTACTATGTACTATTTAACCAAGTATAAATAATTGATGAATTATTATTTTAATGATTAACTAAACCAAGTTTTTTTATAAGTTTTTTTTTTATTCGTACAAATTATTCAATTTTGAATCTAGATATCTTACGTTTTTTTTTATTTATTAGGTTTAAAAGGGTATAAATTATTATTTATCTCTTGTTACAATTTTTTACCGTTTACATAAATTATAGTAAAACTTTCGAGTTCATATCCATAAGCAAAGTTTGCGGAAATTTTCGGATAAACCGGAAATTTTAGTTTTTATAAAATAATATACTCTTAAATATATACAGCGTTGTTTTATATTTTTATTTTGTCTACATTATATTGTAGTATTATTATTTTTAGATTCCGAGCGTAACTAGGGAGCTTTTAGTTTTACAATACTGTTTATTTCTTCTTCTTTGTTCTAGTCTGTGGACACGTTTTTTTCCTGGTGAACTTACTCTGGTTTTGCGTGTAGCAACTTTTCTAAAAGCTCAAGTTGTCTAGATTGTATTTTAGAGAAATAATGTTTTAAATAAAAGCACTTGAGTGGAAAAAACTTAAGAAAACGTACAATATCACGATTTCATTATTTTATAAAAAGACTGACGGCGTTTTCTACCAGAAAATATGATTTAATTGGAAAATTACAACACACCTTTTTTTTGCCTTTTTTAATTTACTTTCATAGGATATCATTGCCAACATTTTTGAGCCGCTTTTAAGCTTTTAAGGAATTTTTATTTTTGGGAGTTTATTTGCTGTAATTTGGTTACAAATACACGTAAAAACTTGAAACATAGTAATAATATTTATATTGGACTTTCCTAGACGTAAAATTTCCAAAATGATCAGATGACTTTTTTAAATTTTTACAATGGTACTTTTTTTTTTTTATCTGTTGACCACTTTTATCTAAGAAAACTTGCTCCAACGTATAAATATAGTACCTTTTCTGAAAGTCAATTTTATCTTCTTGGTAAATACATAGGTCATATTTTGATCATAACGGTATTAAAAATGAAAACAACCGGGGAAAAAATAAGATTTTTTCACAATTTCGTTATTTTAAATAAGTACCTACCACGTTTTATAGCACAAATATGGCTCCAATTGAAAAACGACAAAGACCATACATTTTTTTTTTTAATCAGCGTTTTGAAATCAAATTTAAACGAAAATAGCAAAAAAAAATTACGGCACTTCAAATTATTTATTACCGAACTGCGCTTGGAATTGTCTTTCGTCAGCAATGGTCTATCGTTGCTTACAGATATAAATGAAATAACATTATGTATCCTATAGTCCCAACTTGAAACTCCCTACCTACATTAGTGACTGCATCCGTCCTCAATTGGCTCTTTTTTTTCTATTTATTTTTTAACGTGTATAAAAATATCAAATTAAATAAATTTGACTTATGAAGATTTATTTGAACTGTTACGAAAAAAGTACCATTAAATTCAACTACTAATGAATCTAGGAAATATTTAGTTGTATATATAAAATAATATACAGGGTGATTTTTTATCATGAACCAGTAATTATGTCAGAAGATTTTAGTTAAATTTTATTTCTCTTTTTTAACCATTATGGAATCGTTTAAGCTTTATTTTTAATTTTTTCGTTTTTAATTTTTTCGTTTTTAATTTTTTACCCCTACTCCTTATACTTTACTAAATAAGTACATTCTTATGATTTTTTAAAAGTAAACCCCCCCTTTTGAATATAAATTTGAATACAAAATATTTGTCTAGATTTTTGATATGCATAACACTAATATTAGATTTGCCTTTTATGAGTTATAATAGTTTAAAGTGAAGCTTTAAAATAAAGTTTAAACGATTCCATAATGATTAGAAAAAACAGAAATCCCCTGTAATAATTGCTGATTCATGTTAAAGTAAAGCTTTAAAATAAAGTTTAAAAAAATTAAAATTAGTGTAATGTTGTATTATTGGTATTTTTTTTTTATAAGTTTTAAAATCAAACCTTGACGAAAATCGTAAATATTGCGTCCTTTCAAAAAATGTTTAAGCGAACTTCCCTCCAAGTCGTTTTTCGATAGAAATGGTTTATCGTTGGTTATAAGTATAATAAATAACTTTATGTTTCCTACGTTCCCGACTATCCATCTACAACAGTGGCTCGCCCATCCCCGACACCTATCAGTTTTTTTTTATTGTTATTATTTTTTTTTTTACACGAATATTATATCGTATTCTATTATTATAAATGTATACAAGTCCGTTTGCCACACGAATCAACAATAATAATTTCGCCTTTCTGAAAAGGAAAAAATCCGAGGTCGATTCGTACGTATATTATTAAAATGTCGCGGTTAGGCGCGTTTTGACGAAATCGCTCAAAGGACAATAACATTATATTATATATAAGACGCGTTTTATAATAGTTGAGGTATACGACCGGCTAGCTGGCCGATTTATCCTCGGTCACGGGCGAGTTCAACGGTCATCCAGCCGAGGCCTTGCGCGTTTTACTGGGTAAACCGCAGAAGACGGACGATAGGCGTATATTATGCGCTTAGCGACAGCCATCGCGTGAATATAATATAATAATATTGAAGAAAATATCCGCGATGTATTGTTGTTATTGTTGTTATTGTTATTATTATTATTATTATTGTTATTGTTATTGTTATTGTTATTGTTATTGTTATTGTTATTGTTATTATTATTATTATTATTATTGTTATTGTTGCGGTGCAATACGCCCCTGTGGCCTTTTATTAATACTGTAATAATAGGGGGGACTCTTTGATCGTTATCCGCTGTCTCGCCGCGGCGGTCGCCCGTTCGCGTGATGATAACGTAGTTTTGTTTTATATATTGTTTAACGACGACAGGGGGACTGCCGAGACAACGGCACGGCGTATAGGTCGCGGCGTCGCGTGACGGTTAGCGTGGTCGGCGGGCGGCCGCCGACGAGCGTGTAAGGGCGGCGCGTAGCTCGACCGGCGAGCTACAGCGCGCCGTTACCGCCTTCAGTGTCCGTCCAGCAAGCGCCGACGACGATCGGATAGAGTCCCCGGCGGTCAACGCGCTACGTATTTCGTATTCTCGTTTTTTTCCCTCCAATTTTGGTAGCCGCTCATCGCGCCCGTATCATGCGATAGCGTTAAGTCGCCCGACCGCCGCTGCATCCGTCACACTCGTCCGCAGCTCCCCCGCCGTCAACGCCATGACGTGCGATCCCGGTTAAACGGACCATTTACTATAGGTAACCGTGGTGACCATGCACGCCGCCGCGGTCCACGTGTCGCACCATCCAAAGTGAAACCCCAGTGAATGGGACTATGGGAATTTGTCTGGACACAGGTAAGCGCAGTAATGTCGAGTGCGAAGTTCTGATATAATAATTACGGTTTTGTCCGATTTATGTCGATTTGTCGATAAGTGGACGTGGGCGAGAATCCACGGGACGATCGTTTCGATTTAGGTAAAATAATAACTTATGATCCGTAAGAAAGTATAAATATAGGAAACGTATTTTTCTTAGTTTGTGATTTTATTTGACAAATAAAACCAAGTCCAATAAACACAATACACGTTCCTACATTATTACATTTTATCCTATACCTGCACATTAGATATGGGGATTTTTGTTTTGGCTTGTACTATGTGTATTTCTTTTTCCCGAGGGCGTCCTAGAACATTTAATATTATAAGGTGCATTATACAGTTTGTTGGGTTAGGTCAGATTCGGACGAAACTGATCCGGCTGGCATTCAAACGTATGCAATATGTATCATGGTTGAAATATGCAAAGCTATTGCATATATAATATTTGATGATAAAAACAAAAATACAAGCGTAAAGAGAGCCAATAATAATCAAACACTTACCATACACACGGTATTTTGAATCTGTTAAAACTATTATTTTATACGTAAACTAGGTTATGTACAAAATTGTATTATTTATAGTAATATTACAATAATTCATAATATTATAATAAAATATAACGTGTAATAAATACCTACTATACTAAATAAACACTATTATTATAACAAGCTATACATTTATAGGTACAACTAGGAGGGTGCTGGGCGGTCTTGACTACCCCCAAATTTAAAATTAGACGATGGGAGCCATAATTTTAGCACCCCCGAAATCTGTGGTCTATTTGCACCTATGGCTATAATATCTATTCCATATTTAAACGAGCCACAAGTACGAATTTTTATGCCAACGTATTTTTCATGATAAGAAAAATTGATATTTGTTACAGCCTTTTGTAACCATTTTGTGGATTGAACCATTTATGCAATAACCTGCATCTGTCAACCATGATATATACCTATAACAACTGTAATTAAGTGTTCGTGTTTACCGCTTTTGGAAAACTCTACTTAAAAAGCCCATATACGATCATTCAAGATTTTTAATTTATATGGTTGCCCGTTTATACATGGCGGAAGTGGCATAGCGTGAGTTTCTACTTAATGTATGCATAGAAAATATTAAATCCGTGAATTTGCGGAGGGCTCTGCTCACACACCCCGCGTTATGTTTTTGAAATGCATTATACGTTTTAATACATTATTCGGTATAACATGTCATTTTTTGTTTGAAAAATTCATCGGAATGAAAAATCATCAAGAAAAATCAATTCCTTGCGTACCATCATTTACTTTTATTACAAATCGTAAAATAATTTAATTGATTCGTCAAAATTAATTCCGCAAATAGCGGAATAATGTGCGGAACTGCCGTGAATCGCATGCAATATTGATCCCCGCATACACGAGTAGGTAGGTAGTAGGTAGTAGGTAGTATACACGACGAGATTATGTTTTGTTTAAAAATTATTATTAATAAAAAAATAATAAATATAAATAATGTATAATAAAAAAAAAAAAATTAAAATACAAATGTATGCCTGTACGCGCACACAATCGCCAACATGCATACTGCGTACGTATAAAAACTCGGTAGATACTACTTATAACATTATAACTGGGGACGGACCAGAACCACGTGTGAAAACCATGGGTTGATATAGAAATTAACCGATGTATTGGTTAAAAAACCCGATTTATTAATATTTTTTTTATAAATTCAAAGGCATACTAGTTAGGTTAGGTTTAAAAAAAAAAGACTGCCTAGGATAATGAAGACGAATGCAGCCACTGTTTTAGATAATTGAATGTACACCTGTACGCAACAATAAACAATGGCTTACGAAAAAAACGATTCTGAGTGAAGTTCAGTTGATAGTGATTTTTTAAAATTTTTATTTACTTTTAAAAATTGTAAAGTCTTTCCATGATGAATATTGATAACAATACTTAACACACCAATCAAATATATAATTCGATTATTAAATTAGGCAAATTAGGTTCAGGACATAAACACTGTACTAATAAAAAGATTACCTATATTATGATTTAACCATATTATGTTTTAACGGACTTTTCGTTTAGAATATATGTTTGGCAAATAATAATGCAGAATTTATTTAGTAACTTTAGACCTTGAGGAAACCATCGGCTAGATTTTGACTCTCGGATAGTAGGAATCTCTGTAAGTATAATTTTATAAGTTATAATATTTGTAATATTTCAGTTACGATTAAATAATATTCAAATAAAAGGAGAAAGGCCAACGCCTTAAGTCCTCAAAACGATACTGACTGATGAATATTTTGAAAGGAAAATACACGTTTATAAAGTTAGGTTTTTAAAAGAAATAATTACCTATATTGTTTTGCTTTTTTTTTTGTTTACGAAAAACTTATTTAGAAGTCATTTTTAATTATTTTACTCGTTCCTAAAACTAATCTCCTTCCATCTGTGTATTCTTAAGTATTTATTACGTATAATTATTTATTTGCACCTACGAAAATATCAATAATTATTAGTTTTCACATCTAAAACTATTTTATGTATTTATTTACTAGCACATGAAATAGTTGAACCGCATAAACTATACATTTTACTTTTCGATAGACAATTTATAATTGTCATATTCCTACACGCAAGACTATATTTAAAAAAAATGTTCGAGGGGGGGTTCCATTTTTTTTATAAATTAACTATTTTAAAAAAATAAACGCTTTTTTTACTATTGAAAAAAATTCAGGGAGAACGGGGCGATTGGTTTTTGGTTCCCTCCCTAAATACGGTCTTTTAAGTAAAGATATAAATGGAAGAAATTGTATTTAAATTATATGCGTAGAATGTAAATTAGTGGATAAAAATTCAAGGGAAAGCGGGAAACCCGAAATTCGTCGGATGGACGGAATTAACCTTTAAGCAAGCGCATGACTTTTTTTAACGTGCATAGTCCCGTGGGTAAAACATGTATAGGAAGTTAATTTTGTTTTAATTCAAAGACATAATAGGTTACCAAATGATATATAAATATGGATAACAATTTAATATTTAAAATAAAATAAATACAAAACTATGTATTATTAATTATATTTTTCGTAATATATTTATACGTTTTATTTTTGATGGAGTCAACCTCACGTGACTGCTCAAGGATTAAAGAAGATCTGGAGGAAATATCAACTAGGAATAATGCATTATTTATGTACATTTAGAAATAGAGACAAATGGAAGTAAGTTGCAGTGTCGCTAGCTAAGACTCTGGAAGAGTTATTAAGCTACGGAAATGAGAGAGAGAGAGAGTGAGACAAAGATCGAATACAAATAATTTAAATGATATTTGATTGGTCTGAAGCAATGTAAGAATATATGAGTTTTATACCCAAAATATTATTATAAATATTCGAATATATATATATAATTATTTTTGTTAATATTATATTTAAATTCCATGTGTAATAAACAAGTAACAATAGTCGTATGTATATTTTATTAATTGTGCCTATTGCTATATTTATTATGGTAATAAAAATAAGCGTATATTTTCATTTTATAGGAGCTAACTTCCATAGTATTATTATTAAGAGGCCGCTACACTCGCATCTCCTCTTTCAGTATAACTATCGGGTGACATAATAAAATTACTTAACTTAAAAAGCGAATTATGATAGTTAGGTTGAAATAGGAGTTTAGAATTCTATTGACTGCTGTAAAAATTACAATCTGATCTAGATAATTTCGACACCTGGTCTAATAATTTGGACCTTCAGTACCACCCCAGTTAAATTTTCTTTCAGAAAAAGTGCTACATTCGTAAATCGGAACAAGGTTTCTGGTAAAAAAGTTGTTTACAGATAAAAAAAAATAATACAAAACCAACATCATTTTGAAACCAATACATTCCTTGCTCCACTCAGAATCTAAAATTGATACATGTTTAATTGAATCAATGGATTAAACAATATTATATTTGTATTATTAATTTAAATTATGACTATTTTACCATACAAAAATTGTTATTTTTAATGAATCGGTGGGAAAGTAGTTCTACTTATTGTAACATAACATTGTCATGACATTATGTACCACATAAAATGTCGAACTTTCTACAACCACATTTTTTTGTGGTGCACTTTTTTTCGTAACCGTCTATACTCTTGCCCACCAATTGATGAATATGATTAATTTTAAAAATATAATATATTTTGAATATACGTAACAACGAAAAAATTTGAATTAACACATTTATCCACTGACCTCTCCAATTCTATTTTCAAAAACGTTTCATTGTTTCAAACGATTTTATATTACGTCATAATATTTACAAATAACAATGTTTGCATTGTTAAAGCAATTGGTTAATCGAATAATATATTTTTATATTTTTCTAAAGTTCACCTTTTTTTATTTTTTACATTTTAGGATTTCGTGTAATATATACCTACTTACATAATACATCAATCAAACTCGATTGCTATCAGGGTAAAAAATACAATAAAATATAAGCAGGTAGGTTTACGGGGTGAGAAAGACATGACACTCCTAAATAATAATCAAGCGTAGAGTAACTGGGTAAGTATATAAGACCTATACCTATAAATTTATATACTTATATTATATAGGTATATGTAACTCATTTTCATAATAAAAATGTCGAAAAATTACGCTATGCGTATAATAATATTTAATAGGCACGCGTAATAAAATGCAGTATAATAATAAGTATATACCTAGGCATTTTGAAAAAGATACATTTTTTTCGCAGTTGGGTTATTATAGGTTTTTCTCTTCATCTACGCATATTATAGTATTCTACATTTTCTAACCGAAAATATTATTGTCTGTACGATGACATAGTATATAATAATATAATAGTAGGTAATAAATGTATAATAATTTACAATTAAGGTAAACATAATATACATAAGATATACATAAGATGTAGATAGGAAGCGACTTTTTTCCGGTTCCGTATTGGCCGATGAAGTTTGCACAGTTCCCGCTCCCCGCCACCATGTACATGAAATATTCCATTATACTAACATACACTCAGAGTGCACACTATTTAATGTACACTCGATTTGACGTGAAAGTCGATGCACTTTGTAGTAGATATTACATCACACACAATACTTGAATAGGTATACCTATTCAACTTACGGAATTGTTAAACCGTGAACAAAATATTTTTGTTTTGGCTTTTAACCTTGAAACTATGAAATGTTTTGAAAAAATATTTTGAGATCCGTGATTTTTTATACGGGGTGATGTTTTTTCTTCACAATCCCACGATTATCTTTACGAAAATATTGAGTTTTGTTTTGAAAATCGATTTTAGATTTTTCTGCTATTATAATATTATAAGATCGTAACTCAGTATTGCATTCACAATTTTTATTATTTTTTCTTTACATTATAAACACATATTGACTTAATTTTCAAATAATTTAATATTATATTATCACTCAATACTCAATAAACATAATCGCTGGATCGTGATAAAAATGATCCTGTATACTCGGGAACGAGCTCCAGATTACAGCTTGTATTAAATGTCAACATAATATGATCCAGTAATTTACAGCACCGGCGGGAAGGTAGGACAGTTTGGACCTTTTTTGTCCAGAGTCTCGCGCTTTATGAAATCTGATTTATCATCCATATTACATAATCGAGACAATGTTGTATTATTATTTAACATTTTTACTTTAAATACACGTAGGTAAACTATTGCAGAGAACTATAAAAAATAGCTTCTAATATTGATTATCGAAATGCTTATTATAGATAACTTCGATTCAAAAAATCAAGAACAAACATAAATAATAAAATAGCTTTTATAAAGAAGATTTGTATTATTATTATTATTATACTTCTGCTATTTTAGATTAATCCATACACAGACACGTTTAATAACTTTGGCAATTCATTTGAAAATATGTAAACGTTTTCGTTCTTGATAGGTATTTAATTATTTTTTTACATGGTGTTACGTTTTAAATTCTGAGTGGAGCGAGAGAGAAGCTTATGGTTTTACAAAAAGTGTTTATTTTTTTTTCCACGCAACTATTTTACCAGAAATCATGCTTCGATTTTTAAGTGTAGCACATTTTCTTTTCTAAAAGGGAATCAGTGTAGGGAGGTACTTTAAGGAGGTCATTTTTTGATTTTCTTAAGAATTTTCTCATTAAATGTGAAAAACCGAAAAAGAACGGAGAAAAACGGCAAAATTTACGAAATATATTACTAAAATATAACGATTTATTTCCTGTGCACAACTTTCAACAGACATTTTCCTCCTACGATAGCATTTTTCTAAAAGGAAATTTCACTACTTTCCTAAATTAAAAAGTAATTTCACTGTTTACTGGAATAAATCTTCAATGGGTTGACGGAAATCAAAAATGTCAACAGCGAAATTTATTTAAACTAATGCTCCATATATTCATGGTATTTTCAGTATGGGTTGCCAATTGAAAATCAAAAATGGGTAGTGGTTTTAATCAAAAAAATAAGGGTGATCAAAAATATCATAAATGTAAAATTGTAGAGCTGTTTGTTTCTTAAATGTTCTTTAAAACAAATTCCAAAAAAGTTAATACTTTTTGAGATAATGAGTGTACTCACTTAAACGGAACATCCCGTTCCTGTATGTTAGGTTGGTCCAAAAATCTTATTTACGAAATTAAAAATGTATACTCAATATTTTAAGTGATTAGTATAAATAATTTTGTAAAAATGTTGACTTGCCCGCACCGGATAAGGGTTAATATACAACGACACTAATCGAAATACAAATATTATTATAATCAAACTAATATCGGTCTAAAATAGTATAGCTAAGTGTGTGTCTGCCTTTTCGGGTCGGTATCATACCATATGAATTGGACAACATTTTTGTCTGTCGTGGCTTGTGGTGTCGTGCCATACAAGTGCGAATCGAACCCTTCTCACGTATAATATAGACACATAATAATATACAGGCTATAGGTATCTAAATAAGCACATCACTATAATAGCCAACATATTGATACCCGACAGCATAATTTGTCAAGTATTATGAAATATTATGTTATTTCGTTCGACAAAAGCGTATAATAATATTGTATTATACTTATACACCTATCTAAACCTATATGTATAAAATATAGAAAAACGAAACTTTTCTCGGTATTACAATACAATAATATAGGTTCAGGTCGTATATATATATGGATAGGTAGGTATAACGTGTAGTTTTCATAGGTAAACTATGTTTTCTTATACAAATTTAATATTATTATTATTTTTATACTGATTTATAGGTTTTAATAACAACGATCATATAATAGCCAGGTAGACGTACCAAGTAAAAGTCGCTTGAATAACATACCGTTATGAATAACGCGTAAACAGTTGTTTGACGTGATGTTAGCGAGTTATATTATTTTTAACGTCAAAGTCAATATAATATGTGTGTAACAGTATATATATATAAGTTATTGAAAAAAATAAATTTTTTTTCAACATTTAGATATCAACTATTAGCATGTAGAGAGTAAAGTATAATACATGTTTGTTTTTTGTGTATTTTATTATATTTCATAAATCGAAGACGAATAAAAAAAAATCAAAAATTTTAAAAACTTTTAGAATGTCTATATAACCTTACCCATTTATTATTAATGGATCACAATACATAATACACGCTTTGTGTTCTTAAAAGCCGTGGCGTATTTAGTGGGGTATTAAAAAGATATATCCTGCAGTAGCGGGTCTAAAGATAATTTAAGAGAAGGATAAACTGAAAAAAATTTCGTAAGTCTATTTGTTTAAAATGTACTGCACCTACTTGCAGTTTAATGCATTTAATTTAGGTAGATTTATAATAAAATGGTTTTATTATAACGAGTACATGTGAATTTTGTTTGTATCTGTGAACAACTTTTCTACCAGAAATCTTGCACTAATGAAAAAACAACAATTGAAATTTTTTTTTTGTATAATTTTGGATTTATTTAGTACTTTGAGATTGTTTTCCAGTAGCCGATTTACGGAGGAGGGGGTCCAGATCCCTTGGACCCGCCCCCAGATGCTGATATATATACATATATTTATAATTTATGTAACGCACTATACACAGGGTTTGACTCAGAAGGTAATAAAGATAAATAATATATTTCAAATATAAGTAGGTTGATTATTAAGAATGTACTGAAATAATATATTCAAGATTGTAAACACAGGCTAATGATCAAGAAGTTAAAACCTTTATTCCTTAAAAAATATATATATATATATATATATATATATTAAATAATAATTATTTGACACTTTTCAACAATGTATACGAGTTTTATACCATCGTACCTATTTTTATAGTTTTGATAAAATCGTTCATCGTAGTTTTAATTCTCAATATTCAGTTATCTTTCGATAGTGAGTTTATCTGCGATTTTTCCACTATTTCTATGGGGGACAATATTGTCAATATAATAACACTATTCAAAAATTAAAATTCAGTAAACACTTGTTTTTATAAAAATAAAAATAATATATTTGAAAAACATTATTTTTTAAGACTCCTCCCCCCAGAAAAATTTTGAAAATCCTCCACTGCTGCGATCATTCAATGCGATCTTATTCTAAAAAAATGTAGTACTTATTTTAAAGTGTAATACAAACCGTCAGTGGTGAATCCAAGGAGAGGGCACAGGAGCACCTCCCCTCCCTGTCAATGGACTACAATTTTTATTTATGTATACTAATTTAATTTAATACACAATTTATAATTAATTTACCGAAAATATAAATAATGTGCTCTCCTTTTAAAAAATGTCTGTATCCGTCACTCCAAATCGTCAAGGTTCATATACGGCGATAAAACCTCCGCCGCCGCGTCGCCATGCCTTTTTATTAAAATTATATTTACGTCACACGACTGAGACCGTGTCGGATTTTATTTTTTTATTTTTTTTTTTTTTTGTAGCATGCAATAATAATTAAAAAAAAGAATTACACATTTCAAAAATTAATATGATTATCATATATAAACGCCCCCCCCCCACCGCCCATCTGAACTCGGATTCGCATATGTTAGAGGTCAGATATTGATTCTTCCTGTGTATATATAATATAATTTATGAACACGCGTACACATGTATACTGTCGTAAAAGTTTTCGCGAGGTTAGACAATGACCGTGACCTATTTATTTTTGTATTTATTTTTTTCGATAACAAGCTACTATCACTTCTATGCCTAATGCCTATACTGTATAATCAACCCATTTGCAGAATTCAAAAAAATCATAGCGCCAGCAATCAATCCTTCTTTTTCTTTTTACGTTTATTTACGTTTATTTGTGTACGAAATAAAAGTAGATTTTGTAAATGTAATCGTAATAAGGTTGTTATCACTGGATCGTTTATTCGGTGTGTATGGTGTTTGGACGATATAAACATTTGCACCTTGTACGCACTATAAAAATGAATCATTGACCTTAAAGGCGGGTCCACAGCAAACGCGCACCTGCGCTCAACGATCGACGTTGCTGTAACGTAAACGTACCGATTTACCGACAACTCGATTCGCCCACACATTCGCCGATCATTTTGCAGACTCCCGATTTGCCAATAAATTATTCAAGCCATTTGGTGCTGGAGGAAAACAGGCATTTGATATATGAATTTATTTTTTAAAACAATGGTCAAAACTAATCTGTTGGACTGTTTTTGAAACTTGATGGAACTTAAAAATGTAAAATAATCCTTTTTTCTATGATTATACGTAAGATAGAGTAAATTAGTCATGTACTTGGCACCAACAATTTCAAATTTAAATCACTTTTTAAATTTTCTCTAACAAATTCCAACAATATCTTACAATTCAAAGTAGAGATTTTTGGAACATTTTTTTATTACTTTGTGGCGCAAGCTTTACGCCAGCTGCGCAAATTAAATAAAATGGTATATAGGTAAAAAAAAAAAAACGGTCACTTTTAAGTTTTTTCATATAAAAAGACTTATACAAAAAATGGTTAATAATATCAACTTGGGAATACAAAAAACGTTTTTTTTTTTTTTTTTAAAAAAATACATACAATTTGACTATCCGCATGAACAACTTGGAACCAAATTATATTTTCGACGTTTAAGGGAGTCTAAACTACTTTAAAATGTTTTAAAATTAATTTATAATGTCCCAACAAATCACAAGTGCAACGTTTGTTGTTATACACAACTCACTTAAACCAAAAAAAAGACACGGATATACTTCACACAATGAGTGAGCCTATGTTTTAGGTGAGAATTTGGGAAGGTAGAAGGGAAATTTAATGTATATACGTACTTGACGATTAACCATTGCTAACGAAAAACAATTTTGATCGGAGTTCGGTTAATAGTGTTGCTTTATCAACAATATATATGTGATATTATGGTAAAATAATTACATTTGCATTATATATTTTCTTCAATATTTGTTTATTATTGTACTTATTTTTCTGTTCTTTTTATACGTTTTTTCCGGTTTTTCCCATGTTTTTTTTTCCATTTATCATGAAAACAGCTGGGGAAATCAAAAAATAACCAGTAAAGTATCATATATAAAGTATCACTTCAGTCTAATTATCTTTTAGAAAAAGTGCTATGATTAAAAATCGGAGGAAAATTGCTGGTAGAAAAGTTGTCCACAGAAAAAAAAACATCATTGCGTTAAACCAAGAATCCGCTCAGAATCTAAAAGCAAAAAGTAAACGGCGTACTTTTTGGAATACTCCTGTTCTAAAATGTAGAAAAATGTATAATAGTGCACAATTACAATTTACTGTTGCAATAACAATACGATACTGACGATTCTCGTCCGAACCAAAACAACACCGAACACTGCGTTTTTTGTTTCTCGCGAACAACCGCGCAATTTAGACGAACACGTTCGTCAGTTTGCGGACAAAATTCACGTTGCAAAACGTTTTACACATTTGGTGTGTACCCGGTTCAACAAATCGCCTAATCTAATCAATTACATGTATGCATATAATATATATGTATATTTGCTACTTGTTTTTATCACTTGATCGACATGAAGGTCGTGACTCAAATATATAAGGGGTGATACTCTCCTCGAGTGATACGGTCAATCGAGTGTGGCAAACAATCTAGTCATTTAATTATATGTTTTAATTCGCCAGGAATAGTGGTATCTTTTAGATTCTGAGTGGAGCGAAGAAGCTTATGGTTTTACAAAGATGTTTATTTTTTTTATTATCTGCGCGTAACTTTTTCACCAGAAATTTTGTTCCGATTTACAATGTTAGCACTTCTTCTAAAAGCAAATTTGACAGCGGAGTTTTTCACAAATGTTAAAAACCGAAAAATATGAAAGAAAAAGGGGAAAATATATTAGTTTTTCTGTGGATAACTTTTCTACCAGAAATTTTGCTTTGATTTACAACGTCACTGCCAATTAAATTTTATGAACGTGCACCTGTACTTTGTCTGACTTTGACGTTACTTCTGTAGCTTAAAAGAACACCAAGATTTCTTCATTAAATAACTTATAATATCCAGAAATACAGTATCTCCTACGAAGATATACTCATTGTAATATCTCCGAAGATAATAAAGATAATCAAATTCGAATAATTGTATATTACACGCAGGGATAAGGACTACAATCTACAAATATTTATATTTCAATTGGTTTCAAATGTTTTCGTAAAGAAACGTAAAAAAAACTTTTTATTTTATTATTTTTGAAAAATTTGAAGATAGCCAATTTATAGAGTTTATTATTTTGACCATTTCGATGTATCAAATTTTTATTTTCATTAAATTCGTGATTTTTAATAATTTTTTGAAGTTCCAAGAAAAATGTGTTCAGTCAAAATAATAATAATAATCAATTATCAAATGCGATTACAGCCTGCTTCTTTTCTTGAACTTTAATAAAATGACTAAAAATCACGAGTTTAATGAAGATAATAAGTTGAACAAAACTTTTATATAATTAAAACAAAATAAAACAAAATTTTGATTATTTTTATTATCTCAGGAGATATTGCATTGGGTATATCTTCGTCTATATTTCCGGTTAATTTCAGATATTCTGGTTTGTTGAACGGTTGCATATGAAACATTTTAGTTCACTTAATTTTATCTTATTTAATATTTTAATCACGTAAGCTGCAATAAGTTCGAGACTGTATCATGGTTTAATATGTTTTGGTCATATTAATAGGAACGTATTAACAAAAGAAAAGAATTACAATTGACCTTACATCTTTATTATAACAACAAATAAAACTAACTCAGTTACATTATATTATACTTATACTACTTTTAGTTAGCGGATGACAAACAAACAATGCCGTATGTATACCAAGAATAGTAATAATAATGATATAAATAAACAAAACTAACGTAACCAATACATTATACAATACAATGTTACTATATCAATGATAATGATTATCACAACAGATTGTTCAGTAATATTTGTAAGAATAAATGTCGACGTTCCTCTCAGGTCTTTCAGAAATCCTCGCCAATTTTTATATAGATTGTCACTGCCAAAATTGTAGTCTAAATGAACCGTTAAATGTAATATTACCATCCTGGAATCGTATAAAAATTATGATTATAATTTACAACTTTCATAATTATTATCTTTATTTTTTACAAAAATTAAATCTATAACTTAATAATGATCCATTGTAGTCATGATTTTCATTTGTTTTATATTGTATCGTGTTGAGTTGTGTTACATATTTTATCTTTTGTAAAAATATTACTGTAGGTAATGTTGATCCTCGGGGCGTTATTAGTTATAATTGTTATAAATAAATAAATGTCCAAAATTATTTTGGTCGTAATCGTTGCATATTTTATTTTTTTGGTACTAGGCTCTTCAGAAATTAATTTGTATCGTTCAACCTGCATGTCGTCTACGATAAGAGTAATAATTAATAATATAATATATTATTATATTTACTTGATGTGAAAAATCATTTATTATGAAATATTTTGTCAGAGTAACATTTACTGGAGTTATTTTTATCGGAGGTATTTCGACGTAGAACCTTCCATACGTGTATCTTCGAAAAGTGATTTCTAGTATTAAGTCCAGTTGTGGTCAAATGATTTTTTCATGGGAAGAAAGGGATATGGATAATTTATTAGAACTATTACAGTTATAATTAACTATTATAATATTTATAATTTGCATAATCTTTTTTTTTATAACTATTAAAATATAATATAATATACATGGCGATTTTTAATTAGGTTCACCCCGTTGTAATGGTTAAATTATGCATACATTCAAACTCTGATTTTTGGAATTCTTAATTCTAGTAAACGACAATATTTTCGTACGCTTAGATTTTTTACAACATTTAAGGAGTATCCTAGAGCGGCAACAACTTGAAAACTTTAAAATTAAACTCAATGATTTTTCAAAAATTTTAACTTATTGTAATTGAATTTTGAACAAAAAGTTGTTGAGCAATTTTTTGTCTAAGTTGTTACCGCCACAGGATACTCTATGAATTTTTCGAAAAATTTAAGTATTCGAAAATATAATTTTTCAATATACTTAATGGTTCCAAAAATTTGAATTTATGCATAATTTAATCATAAAAATTGGATGCTATAGTTAAAATAAACCCTGAAAATTATTGAAAACATTTAAGCAAAATGAGGTTATGAGGGAGATATACCACCCTAATCCCTTCCGTTTGACCGCCCCTAGTTGAGTCCAACGCTATTCGTGTATTGACCTAATATACAATAATATAAATGTTTACATTGTACAGAACAAATATGAATTCATATTATTAGATTCCACGTGTCACTCAAAGTATAAAACAAATTACCTTTACCTATATGTCTACAAAACTATTAGCCGCATTTGGACAAATAATTTTTATGATTCACCGTAAAATAAATTACAATATTCAATTGTCGATTAGTGTATTAAATATGCATTTTTCTATTTCTTAATAAAGTAATTATATTAAAAAAAAGCTGATTTTGGGGCTTTTGTTGTGGGTAAAAAAACAGGAAGGTAGGATACATAATATTTAATTTATACCTGTAACCAACTATGAACCATTTTAAATGAAAAACGATTCGGAATAAAGTTCGATTGCATAGGTTTTGATAGACCATTATAATTACGATTTTCGTCAAAAGTCTTTTATATTAAAAGATTCTTAAAAAAATGAGATAATGACTTATACCTTCTGTCAAATTTTCAAACCATTTTGTTTAGCCAAACAAATTTGTTCATATATTTTACCAAATAATAATTACGTAAAATGCTCACAAAATTAAAATATCTATAAATAGCTTAAAAATAACTCAAATGTTTTGAACATTTTACAACACATAGAAATTCCAAACATAATTTTTCTGTCAAAATTGCAATTCTCTATGAATATTTCTAACTGAATTACAACAAACAAACAAAAAGTATTTTTTAAAAGGGACGGAAGTAGGTGAGAAGTTGAAAAGATTGTATACATTAATCAATTTAATTTATATTTTTAAACAACAATAAACCATTGCTAACGAAAAAAAAATTCTGAGCAAAATACCAAATAGATAAAATTTCCTTTCAGAATAGATGCTACTTGATATATCAAAGCAAGATTTCTATTTTACATTTTTTACATAATATAAACAAAAAAAAAATATATCATTTTAAAACCAATACAGAGGTGGCCAAAAGTCACGCAACGCCTACCGTCTTGTATGGAACGTGCGTTACGGTACAGTTTCTCCCTCCATGTCATTTCCGTTACGTCATATTGCAACTTTGGTCTCGTTATCTTGTTTACGTACAACAACTGAAAGGTTTATAAAAAAAACAACATATTTAACATAAAACAGAACAGTTTTATAAAAACTGTGTTGCAAATTTGTTGCGTGACTTTTGGCTACCTCTGTACATTCGTGTCACTCTGCTCCGAATCCAGAATAAAAACAATAAAACTATTATTTTTATAAACTTTACAGTTCTGTTCGATTTTGCTCAATTATTAAAAAACTACAGGAAAAATAAAAAAACGAATTACTTACTCACCAACAAAATTCAAAATGTAACAATAAAAGTCTCCTATCGCTATTGGGTCAATATTTCAGTGGCGGTTATAAGAGGGGGAGTGCGATAAATGGATTGCCCTTCTCAGGTCCGTTTTTTGTTTATAATAAATAATTGAATGAGGATTAATCATGGAAATGCTTGTGAGCTGAACTTGAAAATATTAGAGAAAGGTTATGGGCTCTCCAAAATTATTGTCTATAATTTTTGTTAGTAATTTTTGTCCCCACTTTAAAGTCAGTTATAAGCGCCACTGTAATATTTCTGATAAAGTTTCTAGAAAAGTATTCATAGAGACTTGAAATGTTGATAGAATATATATGTCTATTCTGGACGTGGTCAATTTTTAAAAACATTTGAGCAATTTTTGATCTATTTATAGACATTTAATTTTTGTGAATTTTTATTTTGTAAGTAATATGTGAATATCATTGCTTGAACCAACAGAAATGCTTGAAAATTTAACAGAAGGTTCATTTTAAGTTGTATTAATGGTAAAATAATTAAAAGGAGAGTTTAATGTAGTCATATTTTAGATTCTGAGCGAAAGGAGGAATGTATTGGTTTTACAATGATGTTTATATTATCTTCTTAATTTTTTTTTTTTATCTATCTCGTATAAACATTTCTCCTAAAAATCTTGTTTTTATTTTAAAATATAATAACTTTTCTGAAAGGAAATTTTATCTGAGTGGTCCTTTAATGTGTTCTTTTTTGATTTTCTAAGCAGTTTTCATTATAATTGGGAAAAAACGAGAGAAAACTTAGGAAAACGAAAAAATTTAAGAAATGTAGTTTTTTAGATTCTGAGTATAGCGAAGAATGTATTGGTTTTACAAAGATGTAGATTCGGAGCGTAGCGAGTAAGCTATTGGTTTTACAATGCTGTTTATTTTTTCTTATTTGTTCTAGTCTATGGACACGTTTTTTCTTAGTAAACTTGCTCCAATTTTTACTTAAATTATATGCCAGACTTTGAACGCACACCCATCCATCAGCCAAAAATATTGTTACCCAGGTATGAACTCGGATTTTAATCGAAAATTAACACTCTTTTGTTAAGAAAACCATGTCAGATAGGTAAAAGGGGATCAAAATAGTTATTTGTAGTAGTTGAGATAGCTGAATTGTGACGTCTGTAGTTCATCATATACAAGTAGTCGAAATAACCAAATAGTACCAATATTTTTTTTGAATTCAGCTGGATGAATCTGGATGAAAAAGCTATGGATGAATCGAAATTGTTGATTCTAGGTTAAAATATTTTGCACCAACATGGCTCCATTATTCTCCACCTAACTAAATTTTAAAGTGGAATATCTCGTCAATAGGCTTACGGAAATAAAAAAATGTCAATACTAAAATGTATTAAAATTAAAACTTCATTTATTTACAGGATTTTCAATACATAAGTAGGTATTTGAAAATCCAAAGTACGTAGTGATTTCATCCCTGGAAGGAAAGGTGATGAAAAATAACAGCACTGTAATATTTTATAGAACTGCTTGATTATTAAATTATTAAATAAAAAAAAGTTAATATTTGTAAGGTTTGGTAATATTTGTATTATTTTAGATTCCGAGCATAATGAGGGAGCTACTGGTTTTACTAAGATATTTATTTTTTTTTTTCTTCTTTTAGTCTGTGAACACATTTTTTCCTAATATACTTGCTCCAATTTTTGCATGTCATAGTAACTTTTCTGAAAGCTTAAGGTGTCTACATGGTTTTATAAAGAAGTCGATTTTTAATTTCGACGCCATTTTTTAAATAAAAAGACTTCAGTGGGAAATAAACGTAGGAAAATGTACAACTCTACAATTTCATTATTTATAAAATCACGGACGACGTTTTCTACCAGAAAATATTACTTAGTTAAAAAATCGCAAGATACCTTTTTTGTTGCCTATTTGATGTACATGCTGGTGATATCATCGTCAAAACTTTTGAGCCACTTTTGAGCTTTTAAAGAATTAAAATTTGTTGAGTTTTTTTTTGTTGTAATTCGATTATAAATACATTTAGATACTTAAAACTTGGTAATTATACTAATTTTGGACTTACCTAAAAGTGGTAAAATTTCCAAATTATCGGACGAATTTATTTTTATGTATATAAGCGTTTTGAAATCAAATTTAAACGAAAATCGCAAAAAAATATTACATTAATGTTAATTGTTATTTATTTAGGTTATTTTTTTGATTTTCTAAACGGTTTTCATAATAATTGAGAAAAACCGGGAAAAAATGTCAGAAATTAGAAAATTTAAAAAAATAATGCTTTATAATTCAGTTAAAAATATTCGTAGTGACTTTAAATTTTATATTTGCCTTTTAAAGAAGTAGTTGAACTGTAAAAAGATTTGAGCCATTTTTGAACTACCTACTAATAAACATTTTACTTTTATAAGTAATTTTTATTTTGTAAGTACTCTGTGTATAAATTTGTTAGATTAAATAGAAAGAGTTTAAAATTTAAGAGGAGGTTATTTATAAGTTGTATTTCATGGACAAAAAAAAAAATTGAAATTGAATTTAATGTAGTATGTTGTTTTTATAAGAATTGAATTTAGTATCAAATTTCGATGATATTCGTAAATATTACGGACTAATTTGTACCTAATCTAACCCTAATAAACCTATCCGTATTCCACTGTATTCCACTCAAAATCGTTTTTCGTTAACAATATTTATGGTTAACCGTTATGTACAGATATTCATTTAATTTCTCTTCTACCTTCCCAACTTTTCATTTTACAATAATGCAATGTATGTTTGTCTGTACATTTTTTTTTTAAATTGACTCATGCGTCTTACTTTTATTTCTTAATACTTCTATCTTTACAAAGATATTTATTATTTTAAACTTTGTTTAAAAATTCTACGAGAAATCTTGCTCTGATGTATACGATGTAAACCCTTTTCTAAAAGAAAATTTTCCTGGGGAGGTACTTTAAGGAGGTCCTTAAACCAATGATACTATTTTTTTTTTCAAATTAAGGCACATCGATTATTATTATTTTATATTTTTTCTGCATACATAACTTAGAGAGAAAAGTTAAAAAAATCTAAATAAATTATGTAACGCTTAAAGAAAATAAAACTATTAGTGAAAGAGTCAAAATTAATTTTTAAAGTAATACAAATTTTACAAAATCCTTATAAATACATAATTTGTATTCGGTAGGTACTCTGTGGATAAAATTATTAAACTTAACAGAAATGTCGTACTTTTTTTGATGATTAAGGAATAAAAATAAAAATTTCTCTACATTTGTGTTCCCGTAATATAAAACCGAATTGAAAAAAAAAACAATTAATATTGACAAAGTTATTAGCATTCATAAAACACTGTAGGACACTCTGTATTATAATATTAAATACAATAACTTACTATAATTTCAAATAATTATGTAGACAAAATGCGCATTATTAATCGAATAATAAACCAGTCGAGTTTTATTTGCCGATGTATCTAATGCAATATTCACTATCTACAAATTTAAATTGCATGTATCTGATATTGTAAAATGATGGTTTGTAATAAAAAATGATATAAATATATGATGTATATACCTATTGAGTAATGTCGATAAAACGCAATATTGGGTTTGTTAGCGTGCTAAAACTACAGATATCGACACTACAATAATGCATATTTAATAACCTGATAAAACTACTATAATTTGTTTTTGGTGTTTCAAAGTCAATAGAAATTATGTTCAGTCTACCAATGAACTTGCAGAAAAGATTTTTTAGACACTAAAAATGATTAAATATTGCAATATTTAAATATAATACGCCGGCAAAATGTATTAAAAAATACATATTAGTACTATAGGTACATATATTTTACATATGCCAATATTAAAAAAATTACACATGTCCCGTGCAAAATTATAATGTTGCGACTTTTATTATACCTACCCTTTTGTTTTCGAATTTCAAGCAAATCAAATACGCTAATAAGTGGTAAAAAAACAATTAAGCTAGTGTGTGTGTGTGTGTGTGTGATTTATATGGAAGTTAACGCGAAAAAAAAAACTATTTGCAATATCAAATTGAAACTAACGAAACTCAATTCATTTTTATTTACATATTCAAAATAAAACGAAATTATTCCATTGAATGACATTTTTTCACATTTATAAGAAATCAAATAATAAATTGAATTTTATACTCAATCAAGGGTTACTCCAGTCTCCAGGAAACTCACTGAAATAGTGGAAGAAAAAGCTAAAATGTTTTTTCAAAGGTCAACAGTAAAATAATATAATTATCTAAGTAATCATATCTTATATAATTGGTATAGTAGTATTCTTATATTATAATATAGTGCAATGATGCTAATATATAGTTTTATTTAAACCAAGCCCGTATACGGGGGAACCCCGGTTAGGGGTTCAACCCTCCTCCCCGGAAATTATAAAGTGGGTATATATTTATAATATGACGAAAACCAGCGACAAACTTTATGTATAATAAACATATTTTAACACCACCACAAAAAAAAAAATTGATTCTGAATAATGAATACGTGCTTGCTTTAAAGTTTAAACAAATCTTAAATTTCATCCGACGCTGCTTTTTTTTTACTTAAAACCACACAGATATATATAGGTACATTTTTAAAATGGCTAAAACCCCTTAGCCCCTCACCCATTAATAAGTTCTAAGTCTGTACTTAACGCTACTGACAAAATTGAATAATAATTATTATGTTTTTTCCATTAAAGAGACTCGTCATTAAAATTTGTTTTCTCTGTCTATCTTGTGCGTAATGTACAACAACATTGACATCCTGCACTTCTACAAATACAACTCTGGTTAAATTTAGGATAAAGTGACCAAATACATTTTATAAAGTATAGTACTTATTATAGACCCTGAGAATAATTTTTTTAATAATTTCATTTTCATCAAGAATTGCGAATTTTAGTTTTCTCTTAGTTCAAAAACTCTTTTAATGGTTAAAACAATTAATAACTGAATAAGAAATTAAAATATCTTTTTAAAAATAATCCATAAGATCTATAGAAAATACACTCTTTCAAAAAATACGTGATAGGTTTTTCTGACCTAAAGTCAAACAAAGAGTAGTGATCACGTAAATACACAATGCTTTTATTATAATACGTGTGAGCAGATAAGAAAAAATAATTTTAGTGGCGAGACCATATTGAAGAATGGATAGGCCATGGCTATACCAACAAAATAGAGGGAAATATGCCAGAATGAAGAATAAAGAAAGATTGTTTTTCAAAATGACAAAAAACGAAAATTGATAAATTTATAGCATTAGCATTATTTTTATTTCTGTACGTATTTCTATATGTACGTGCAGCAGATTGGCGTCATTTAAGAAAAATGAGAAATATACGAAAGTAATGCTTTTATTATTTGTTGAAATTCAGTTAAAAATATTCGTTTGAACTTTATGGGTATACAATTTAAACACAAAACTTATACTTGATTTTTCTAGACGTGGTAAAATTTTAAATTTTGTATAGACATCTTAATTTTACGCGTAATTTTTATTTGGTAGGTACTCCGTTACAAAATTGTTAGACTAAACAGAAATGCTTGAAAATATAGTAAGAAGTTCTTAAAAAGTCGTACTTTTTAGTCTAAAATAAATTTGAGCACAATGTAGAATTTTTTTTTTATCAAATATTGATAAAAATCCTTTCAGTAAAAAATTATGTGGAACAAATCTAATTTTAAATTCTGATTGGAGCAAAGAAGCTTATGGTTTTACAAAGATGTTTATTTTTTATTCTATGCACATCTTTTTTACCAGATATCTTACTCCAATTTTTAAGTGTAGCACCTTTTCTGAAATGAAATCCGACTGGGAACTGGCTACTTTAAATAGGTAATTTTTCAATTTTCCCAAGAATTTTCCCAGCAAATGTAAGAATCCGGGAAAAAACATGGGAAAACCGAGAAAAACGAAGGAAAAGTTGAATATAGACCAGTTGATATAATTTATATACCAGCACGATATGGTGTTAGATTTCAATAATTTGCTTTCAGAAAAAATGCTATATACTTGAAATTAAAGAAAAACAGAAACGAAAATAATAAAATTGTTATTGCCATAATAACATGTCTGTTTTTCCTATTGTCCACAATCACTGTTCTCCAATAATCACAATCCTTGATCTTTTTCTCCCATTCTATCACTTCCAATACCTATAGTTTTTTCCACACTTCTACAAGCTTTCGTTCTACTGGTTCCCATTCGATTACGTTAATGTAAATGCGCTTTGTTTCTTACTTGTTTTCTCCTCATTCGGAGATGGCGTACACCAGCTACCATGAAGTCTATGTCCTTCACTTAACCTGTTATAAAGCACAGTATATAATAATCGGTATCCTACCAAAAATACTTTACAATTAATAACGAAATTTAATTACGCTACTTACGTAAAAGTTTATTTTATTAATTGAGCCACTTAAAAAAAAAAATACAAATGTGTAGCGAGGTCGTATTCTCTATTTATTTTACGAATCGATGTAACGTTTTTTCTTTTGTGCAACGGACAATAGAAATTATTTATATACGAATGAGCGATAAATATTTATGTTTTATATAGCTGGTACCAAAGGTGAATCTTTGAGGGGCTTGTCCTCCCCCCAGTTCAAATTTAGTTCCCCAATTTTAGATCATCCAAATTTCAAGAATATTACATTTAATACACAATCGATATAATACACTATCGATTGCATTATGCACTACCAATATTCAATATTGGTTATAGAGAGGAACTAATTTCTTCCAAAATTACATTATAATTGAAACTCTTCCTACTTTTCTAAGAAACTAACCTTGATTATGGGTAAACCAATTTCTTCCGCATCTTACGAAAGATAATTTTTATCAATGGGGCTGATAAATACATACATAAAATCTAGGATAATTCAAAACTGCTATTTTTCTTTGGCCATATTAAATTTAAAAAGACGGACATACATCGCACGTGGGTGGACCTAAACATGTAAAACGGAACTTTACTCAGAACCATTTGTTATTATCAATGGTTTATCGTCGGTTACAGGTAAAAATTAAATATTTTTATGTATCCAACTTTCCCCACTACTCACCTACAACAGTAGCCGCAGACGTCCCATATATTAGCTCTTATTTTTATTTATTTTTAATGATTATCATTAACATAAATTGTTGAAATGAGGGGGGTAGTGAGTCAAAAATTCTACGCCTAGAAAGGGAAATTAAAAGTTTTCTGTCAAAATTTCAAATCTCTACGAATATTTTTAAATAAATCACAACAAATATACCAAAATTGAAAAAAACAATATTTTCGTAAATTTCCCGTTTTTCTTACGTTTTATCCTGGTTTTTTCCCAAATATTATGAAAATTGCTTAGAAAATTAAAAAACGTCATTCTTAAAGTACAATCAAGACAATATTTTCTTTCAGAAATAGTGTCACACGTATATATATCGGAGAAAGATTTCTGGTAGCATTTTTGTACAGAGTATAAAAAAAAAAGAGCTGATGCTAAGGACGGGAGCGGCCACTGTTGTAGTTCAGGAATTTGAAAGTTAAGATGCATAAAGTTATTTAATTTGTATCGATTAGCAACGATAAACCATTGATTGACAAAAGAAGACAATTCTGATTGCAGTTCGGTAATACATAATTTAAAGTGCCGTAATTTTTTTTTGCGATTTTCGTTTAAATTTGAAACGCTTATTAAAAAATCGTCCAATGATTTTGAAAATTTTACCACATCTAGGTAAGTCTAATATTAGTATTTTTTACCAAGCTTGAAGTCTCTACGTGCATTTATAACCCAATTACAGCAAAAAAAACTCCTAAAAATTAAAATTCCTTAAAAGCTTAAAAGTAGGTCGAATGTTTTAGTGATGATACCTTAAAAAGTAAATCAAAAAGGCTACAAAATGGTTTGTTATGATTTTTCTGGTAGAAAACGTCGTCCGTGTTTTTATAAAATAATAAAATCGTAAAATTGTACGTTTTTCTGCGTTTTTTCGACTTAAGTGCTTTTATTTAAAAATGACGTCGAAATGATTTGAATATCTGTTATCATACTTCTGCTAATAATCTATGTATATTATTTTACATAATGAATCTTTTTTTTAGTTTACTCTCTAAAATACAATTCTAGACAATTTGAGCTATCAAAAAAGTTGCTACACGTAAAAATCGGAGCCAGTTTACAAGGAAAAAAACGTGTCCACGGACTATAAGAAAGCAAAATGAGAGAAAGATAGAAAGAAAGAAAGAGAGAAAGAGAGAAAGAAAGAAAGAAAAAAAGAAAGAAAGAAAGAAACATCTCAGTGAAACCAATAGCTTCCTCGCTATGCTCGGAATCTAAAAATGTACGGATATACTTCGTACATGAGTGCAACCACTGCTGTAGGTAGGAAGTTATGGGTAAGTTGTAGGTAGGATACAGATGGAAATTGAATGTATATCTATTAGCAACAATAAACCAAACGAAAAGGCGATTATGAACAGAGTTCAGTTGATAGTGTTGCTTTATCAACAATTTATATTTCATATTATGGTAAAATGATTACAACAATGTGTGTTTCCAAGACAACAATAATTGTTTAAAAAATATTAAAATAATAAAAACTTAATAATAACAAAAAATAAATAAAAACGGTAACCAATGGCAACCTTATTTTTAATTTTTCAATCTTTTTAACCTAAAGAACCCGGTTTTTCTCATTATCTCAAATATTATTGAGAATTTCAAAAATTCCCATTTCTAAAATACAACGCAGAGATCATTTGCTTTCAGAAAAATTTATATACTTGGTAATCGGAGTAAGTTATCTAATAGAAAAAGTATTCACATAAAAAAATAAATTTTGAAAAATAAACATCTTTGTGAAACCACTACATTCTTCGCTCCACTCAGAATCTAAAACACACATCATAGTCAAACCAACAGATCCCTTACTACACTCTGAATCTAAAAGGCTGTAATAATTAATAATACATTTCGTACATTTTCTCGTTTTACCTTGGTTTTTTCCCAGTTTTCTCTATTTATTGGGAAAACTCTTAAGAAAATCAATAAATGACTTCCTCAAATTACCACTTAAGTCAAATTTTTTTTTAGAAAAATTGCTACATTTGAAGATCGGAGCAAAATTCACGGTAGAAAAGTTGTTCACAGAGATAAATAAATATATAAATAAATAAATATCATTGTAAATCATTGCATTCCTCATTTCGCTTTGAATCAAAAAGTGAATGGCAGTACGATTTCATTATTTTAAATGTTTACACTGTCCGTTTTCTATTAATAATATTGTTCCTCATAGAAAAACAACTGAGATTTGTTTTTTATTGAATTTTTAATCTAGTCTATGTTTTTTGATTTTCTCTGTAGTTTGAATTATAATTGAATATAAGCTAAAAAAAAATGTGTAGAAAAACCAGAAAATTTACGATGATATTTCTATTATAATTTAAAATTTTGTTTTTTAAATTTAATTAAAGGTTAATAATATTCATAGAGGCTTAAAATGATGACAGAAAACTTATATTTATTTTTTCGAATCGTGGTAAGACTTTCAGAAAATTTGAGCAGTTTTTGAGTTATTCATAGACGATTTTTGTAAACTTTTTACGTAATTTTTATTTAGTAGATACTCTGTGGATGAAATTGTTACGACTAAACAGAAATTCTTGAAAATTAGAAGCAACCCTTATTGCATTATTATAAAAATGTTCAAAATGTGCTTGAAATAAAAACTTTAAAAGATTTTAAAAAAAAATTGATAAAGTAATTGAAATCATAAATGCATTCAAAATCTTCGTACTGATAATCTCTGGTTCTTGTGTTCAACCACTCGGTATATTTTCAATTTTAACCAATAGGGTTCCCAATTATTTTTGATATTCAAACAATTGTCATTATCAGTGATAGTGTCTATCTGTGATAAAAATTGAATATAAAATAAATTATTTCTTTAATGTAATGAAATTAGCCTTAAGTAAAATGTGCTATCGTTAGTTTCATACAACGCGTTGTACTAATTAATTTCTATATTTCTCCAATTTCATTATTTATTAAATAGGTACTATTAAGCATTTTATCAATGATATTAACCATTATTAAGTTATAATTTGTTTGATAATTAATTATCACAGCTATGGATGATCATAAAAATGATCGATAAAACTTACCTATATTACCTACTAGTAAACCGATAATAATCGGTTCCTGATAATTTTTAACAAATTCATTAGCAGCAGTTAATTTAATTTCACCATTATCGTATCGAAAGCGATGTATTAAATCAACTTTTTGTTGCGAGGTCAGTGTATACCGCGTCCAATGACCTCGCTGTGACGTTTTTCGGACGTCTGAATGCGTTAATGCATCCCTACAGGCCATAATCAAATCGGTCAAAGTCACGAATTGTTTTGTGTTAAAATAGTTAAATGCTTTTTTAATCGAACAACGTTTTTTATCGACCATAAAACAGAACACATAATTTTATTGTTGTCTATTTAAAAAATAACAGCCAATCAATTCAACGATAATTTAATTTTAAAATCGACAAAATTAATAATTTTTTTTTTTGGTATTTTATTGCGTAATTATCGTTATATTATTATCGTGTATAAAATGTATTATAATATATCACCATTTATCAAAAGATAAAAAAAATGAGGGTAAAAGCATTTTTGAAAGCCAACAGATTTTTTACTTGACTATGGAGATTATTTAATACTTTAATCACATTCCCTCCGTCACTTTTCGTTAAGGACTACGGCTCTGATAACATTGCCTTTTGCTAATAAAAAAAAACCCTCAACTTCAAATTTATCCCTCATACATAAATTCAAATTAAAAAATCAAATTTGAGTTATATTCGTGGAAAAATTTTTTGAATCTGTTTTGTGAATGAACATCGACATATCTATCCAATGGGGAGGGGAGGTAATTCAGGAAATTAATTTTCCCCTGCTCAAACATTGTCTACCATAGCTAGATTAGCTTTAGTATGCATTATTTATTTTTTTTAATTACATAACACCCCCCCCTCCATTCCCTAGATATATGTTTGGAGAAACCCATATGGATATGGTACCAAACGATTTTATTTCTTCTTACCTTTTTAAGATTATAAAATGTGTGTGGTTTTATGGGAAGTAATAATATAGGAAATTGAATAAATAGTTTCTAAATGTTTATTTTAAATTGGATAATTTAAAAATAATAAATAGCTATTGGATAATTATTGAAAAGGGGCAGTAGAGCATACACGAGTCACTATTAAGAAATAGAGTTCACCTTCCATTGAAGTTATAAATTACTAGTAAGTACATAAATTAGCACTCGCCACGACCGAGCAATCAAAATTGAATAATTTTTGTTGTAATAATTTTTATTCCGTTTGGTTCATAAAAAAATTAAAAAATTGAATACTAAGTTTGAAAACTAATTTGATTTGAATCATGCAGAGTGTAATGATAAATTATCGTTAACATCATATGATTCTTATATGGTGGGGCTCGGTTAAATATTGTTTACTAAATTAATTAATTTCTTACAAAATACAATTCAGAATTTATTGTTCGTGATTTTTAGAAAATTTCGCCGAAATAATTGTAATAGGTTGCCTCGTGTAGACCTTATTATTTACGCTATAACACCTGTTCGCTTTGCTCCTGGCATTCACTTCATTGTATATTTAAACATTTTCGTAACCCGCCTTAACACGTTGATTAATTGCCACGCAATTTTTCCATGCATTGCCCTGAGGGCCATAAGTACATTTTTGTGTACATGCTAGAAATTTTTATATTTGCTTCTTATTATATTAATATAAATTACGAGTATATCTTTTTGACACGGTCAAAATTATGCATTTTTTTATATATTTAAAAAAATACAATAAAAACAAAACAGATGTTTAATTATTAAATATTGTTTTCTTTTTACATTTTGACAAACATAGAAAAAAAACTTACCCAGGAAGGGCAAGTTTTCAGTGCACAAATAAATTTATTCATAAACAGTCAACGTGTTTAGCCCACCCTTAAGTACACGAATCATTCGATACATTAATACTTATCATACGAATATTTTAAAATGTTTCATATTTAATTAAAAAGTCACTACATGTTACCTTAAATATTATATAATTATAAAATAGGTATACCTATAATTAGTAGTCAGGGGCGTATCCAAAAGGGGTATTGTAACCCCTCTGAAAATTGTTGAATAATAAAAAAATTGTCATTAATAAATCATTTTCAGATAAAATTTATAAGCCATTCAAATTATAAACAATTTTATTATACAAATTATAAACAATAAACCAAATCTAAAAATAACCAGAATAACATGATGGTATGATACAAAATACAGATAATATATAATAATAACACTAATTGTCGATTGGCGGCGATTGTGATTGCGAAATCGATATCTTGCAATCCCCAATATAATTTTAGATTTTTAGTGCCTTTTTTGAATTTCATAATAGTATTGCCCGTGAAATGTCTAAGTAGCCAGTCTATACTCTGTAGTAATTGCATCGATCGCAGAACGACTGTTGCAGGGTCTATTTTTGTGTGTAATACCAAATCTGTTGTGTAGTACGAAATTATTAAATGTATAGTACGGAATTATAAAATGTTTAATGTTAGTATTTTTTAATTGTTTAACAAATTTAGAATAAGTATATCAAAGAGATTTGATCAAATACAAAGTAGTTTAAAATTTGTTATTTATTATTATAATGTTTTAATACTTGTTATCTTAATGCTTGTTATAATTAGTTATTTGTTGAAAGAATAATGTTCAAATAAAGTACAAACTAGTTTAATTTTTTGTTTTATGTTTACTTCTTACAATAGGTACCCATTAATTTCCCCTTGATAATGTTAAACTTGGAAATATTTAAAAAAAATAATTGCAAACAACTATAAATGGTAAAAAAATTAGTGAAATAACTGTATTTAAGGGTATGGGAGCAAATTTTATTTTGTGACCATAAATTTATAGTCTAAACTAAAAAGTGTATATTACGAAATATGAAGAAAAATAGACCTTGGACTTTTGTACTTGCTATTTGTATTAGCGTTTATTTAATACCGTAATGAGCAATGAATCAAAGAACGACTTTTGAAATACTTTGTCTCAACTTCCTCAACATTTTCGCAAGTTATTAAAAACCAAAACTTTCACTCCATGACAACGATGTTCAAAATAATGAAATTTTCTTACTGTCGACCATATCCCAAATTCCGGCTTCCGATTTATTGGATAACACAAACAATTTAGTTACTACTTTTGAAACACGAAAGAAAATACCTTTTATAATTTTCTATATCAACTGAACGATAGATTTATATCACACAGAATTGTTTTGAATAATTTTGTTTGTATTTTATCTAAGATAAAAATGAAAATATCTGAAGATATTAAAGGTAAATTCAAATAATTAATAGAAACATATCAAACATATAATTAATGTAAGTACCGATTCAAATCTAAATGATCATATATCAAACGGAGAATTAGATTTGCGATACACTAAATATTTAATTGGAGTATACTTCCTAACCTATCCAGATGTTTATCCAATAATTCTAACAATCTAAACTTCTTCAAATATTCATAACATTTTCAGTGTCTACTGCCACGAGAAAACGATCGTTGTCAACACTCTGTCGTTTGAAAACTTATTTGAGACATTCTTCTGGATAAATACGTTTAAATTGCTTAGCCTCACTAAATATTAATCGCGATATCATCATAGATATCAATAATGTTATCAATAAACTTGCTAAAACATTAAAACGAAAAATGAATGTACGTTTATAAATTTTTAAAAAAGATAAATATTTACATATTAAACTTTTATAATGAACGTTGTAAAATATTAATAAAATGTTTAATGTATGCTTTAAAAAAACCCACACAATTCAAAACAATTTCATTTGTTACATTTTTTTTTCAACCTTGCCCCCCTCCCCAAAAAAAAAAATTCTGGATACGCCACTTCCTATACTATGATTTATCATTCATAATATAAGTTTCATACCATTTTATGGTTATATCGATCGAAGGCTTTATGTGTTTTCTTGTTTCGATTTTACGCTCTGCGAGGAATGTATAAGTTTAAGATTATTTTTATATTTTTATTTTATTTTAAATTTATAAAACCAAAACTAACAATTGTGGTATCTTAAAGCTTAACATAGTTAACTTAAAACTAATCTAGGCTTAAGTGGGAAGAGGTACAATAGAGGAGTTACTTACAGGGTTATTAAATGGAATGGGTTTTAGTAGCCTAAATTAAACAGCATTGAGGAAAGGCAGAGAACACTGTAGGGGGTGATAAAGCCCATAAAAGGTGTGTTGGTGAAGGTTCAAGTAGAAAAGAATAAAGGATCTAACGGAACAGGAGGAAATATGAAAAGAAATGACTGATAAAATAAAAAGCCTGGAGCATTGATGATGTAAAAAAATTCGATGAGAATAAAAAATAGATATGTCAAGAGTAGATCAAATGAGTGAATAGTCGTGCTTCGAAAGGAATAAAAAGACGTCCTAGGATAATGGGGACGGGAGCAGCCACTGTTTATAGGTAATTTATTGTATACGTGTAAGCAACGATAAACCATTGCTTACGAACATCGATTCTGAACAGAGTTCAGTTGTAATGATACTTTGTCAACAATATATTTGTCATATTATAGTAAAATAATTAAATGGTCTCTATATATTTTCGTTAATAACATGTGATTAATGTTGTACCGATTTTCTCGGTTTCTCTGCGTTTTTCCTGATTTTCCCATATTTTTTACCAATTTTTCACACTTGCTGAAAAAACTCCGGAGAAAATCGAAAAAAGGATCTTTCTAAAGTACCTCCCCCGTAAAATTTCCATTTATAAAAATTGCTATCATTAAAAGTTGAAACTACATTGCTGGTAGAAAAGTTGTCCATAGAAAATAAGAAGGTTATAATATTTTTAGCTAATGCCTACATTTCTTAAATTTTTCCGTTCTTTTTCGGTTTTTCGAATTTATTGAGAAAACTCCGGAGAAAATTTAAGTATGACCTCTCTTATCTCTTATGCGATCTAACTATCGAAAAAACTAGATTAGTTGAAAGTAATGAACGCTAGAAGTTTAAAAACATGTTTTTCTCAAATTGTAAAAAAAATGACTATTGGTTTTTTCCCTGTAGGTATCCCTTCATATATATTATTTACATATTACATTTTATCTATATTATTCCAGACAGAATTCCCGATGAAAAGAATTACAAAAATGGTTCAAAAGATAGACATTCCTGGGATGCGGACGATAACAACGAAACATATGGAAACAATGGTGGCACGTATTCACACGAACACGGGCATGTCAAATTTGACACTCCGAAAGTTCCCGTAATTTTCGTTCTAGGTAAGAAATGATTTAATTCTAAAAGAGGTCGTCGTATCGAATGTTGTAACCGAAATTATTTGATTATGCAGGTGGACCTGGAAGTGGCAAGGTCACGCATTGTGACAATTTAATGATAGAAAAGAGAGGTATTGTTCACATCAATATGACCGATTTACTACAACAGTATACCGTTGGAAATGGTAAGCAATTGGTCATATATATTATTTTGTAATATTGAAAACCATAAATATTAATCTAAAAATATTACGACTGAAAGTTCAACACTACATAATAGACCCGTCCATGATTTCAGCGAATATGATATAACTCGAATTTTATATTAATATCTACTAAATTATGTTTCGATATAAACCTTTACATAGTTATAAAATAGAAGATTATTTTTATATATTTAAACTTTTACATTTGTATTAATAACACATTTTTCTATGAGTTCTCGGTCAGATTTTTTTTCGACCAGACGGATTTTTTTGAATTATTTAGTTATTTAACATTTTTGAAAATTTGTTTAATTTTATGTGGATGAAATTCTGATGGTTCATTTAAATAATGAAAAATTTGGAACAAGATTCAAAATAAAGTTGTACCTAGTAGTAAATCATAAAGTTGAGTGTTATGTCGTAATTTATTTTTATATTTTTATTTTATATGTATTTTAAGTTTAATAGGTTCAACTTGTAAGCATATTTTTTATTCAGCCAAACAATTTAAATCGATATTAAACCAAATAAAAACTCTAAAAACTTGAAATTGTCAAATGTATAACACAAAAATCACAAAAATGTTTAGAAAAATCGAACATAAATATTCTATGCAAATTTTAAGTATTGAAAAGCAAAATTAAAAAGAATAAAATAGTTAATCTCGTAAACTTTCCCGTTTTTTTTTTTTTAAATTTTTTTAGGCTTTCCTTATTATTAAGAAAACTACTTAAAATAACTTTCTTTTAGGTTCCAATTTAATAAAATTATCCTTTAAATCTGATGTTTTTCTTGAAATTCGGATTAAGGTTACTCCAAGAAAAATAAAATTGAAAATATCAAAAATATTAAAACTAAGTTAATCCGTTTATCCTGAAAAATCAGAAGATAATCTTAATGTATTAACTAGATCCAAAATGCTATAAAAAAGCTTTTCTTGTCATTTTTTGATTAATCAATTTATCTTGTTGTCCGGGTTAACTAACCGAAGGTTAACAATGGAATCAATATATTTTTTAAATGGTCATACTGCAAAACAATTAATTGTTGTTATTATCAGTTAATATTATTGCATGTATTTTACATTCATATAAACGGATTACCATTTGCAAAAATTAATTTATTAACTTTGATTTACAATCATTTATAACATAACAACATACAAATTGTACCTATAAATATTGTGTATCATTATATATAAATTACATATATATATATATAATATATGTAATTATTATGTACATTGAAATATTGATATATGTAAATTACCAAAAAGGGTAAGAAAATTTTTAAGAAACAACACATCATTCGAAAATTCCTCATACACGATCCGTTTTATTTCAACAGTCCAAAGTACCGATACGTCCTATTGTGTTTGTACCTAAAATTAATAGAAAATCTAATTCTAGCTATAGCAAGTATAATGATAGTCTGTTCTTTAGTGTTAAAAACTACTGAAAAAACTGTGGCAATAGGCTGTAATCACATATTTTCAGTTAAGCAAATTTCTAGTTTTGAACTAGACTTTAGTTGATTGTTCCATTTCGGGGTTTGCATTTTGCAGAAATTAAAATGCTTAAGTAAAAAAGTGAAGTGATGAGAGAAGATAGGATAAGCAACGAATACATAAAAAAATAGCTCAGGTGTAGTTTCGATAGTAAACAAAATGAGAGAAAATAGACTGAGAATGTTTGGGCAAATCATGAAAAGGGAGGAATCATTAGCAGTAAAAACTATTTTGAAAATAAACATTGTTATCATTATAAATTAAAGCAAAATTACTGGTAGAAAAGTTGTCTGCAAGAAAAAAAACGCCGTAATATTTTAAACTAATACCTACATTTCTTACATTTTCACGTTTTTCCTCAGTTTTTTTGACGGTTTTTCATGTTTGATGAGCAAACTCTTGAGAAAATAGAAAAATTTCATCGCAAATACCTCTCCACATCGATTTACTTTCAAAAAAGGTGCTACACGTAAAAATTTGAGCAAGTTCTCTAGTAGAAAAGTACTCCTAAGAAAAAAAAACATAAAAATAAACATCTTTGTAAAACCATAAGCTCTTCGCTTCACTCAGAATTTAAAATGTAAAATAACAGAATTAGGTATAATGAAATACTTGCGTTTACTGAATATATGTATTTAATAGTTTCCTTTCACTTAAACAATTTGAATTACAGATATGACAAAGTGCTAGATAGAGTAGCAGATACAGTAGCAGTCTTGTAATGTATTTGAGTAAATGTATTTAAATACTTTTGTAGTATTTATATCACTTGTTAAATACTTTTTGAATTCAGTATTTGAAATTCTTTCCAAATACTGTCTTAAACCTATTTATATTTGCATTTCATATACTTTTATGTAAATACTTTTCTAAATTCAAAAGAATAGATTATTCATCGATTATATATTATATTAGATTGGTTTTTGAAAAATTTTGGGAACGCCCATTACAAATGTCTCGTTATAACTATAGATAGTAATACTGGTAATATGTACTTAAATATTTGAATTTTAGATTATAAATCTCAAAACTAATTTTGCAAACCTACTAATATAAACTATTAGGTATGTAAAATTAAAAAGTATTTAAATACATTCCAAGTACTTGGATTTTTTCTTAAATACCTTTTGAGTGGATGAATTTGTATTTGTATTTAAATACAGTTTTAAAGTATTTTTTACAAGACTGCTCAGTGGCTATTTTTCTGACTTTATTACATGAACTTGTAGTAGTGAACTAATTAGTTTTTGTTTAGTCAACATAAGCCTATTTTAAAAAACTTGAAGAGAGGGGGTTGAACCCCGAAAAATCCCAATATATGCGGGCTTGATCTAGATATTATAATACATTTTAACGAAACCGTAACACAAAAAAATATACGAAGTGATCAATCTATCATAAAACACACATTATTTCGGAAAGTGTTAACTTTTTTCGAAATTTGTTTTAAAGAAAATTTAAGAAACGAGCTGTTTGAAAATTTAACATTTACATTATTTTTTGTCATCCTAATTTTTTACTGTGAAACGACTACCTACTTTTTATTTTCAAATGGAAACATATATTAAATATTTTATAAATAGATGGAGTAATAGTTAAAATAAATATTGGTTTTTAAATTTTTGATTTTCGTCAATCAGTTGACGAGGTTTTTCTCTTTTAAGTTTGGGTCAGGGGAGAGTAGTGGAACATCATTTGTGTAGCGGCACAACGCACGACGTTTCAAGAACGTAAGAACGTACCACTACTCTTCCCTGATCAAAACTTAAAAGTTGAATACCTCGTCAACGGATTGACAGAAATAATAATAAAATAAAACACCAAAATGTATTTTAACTACTACTTCATATATTTATGGAAATTTTAATATGGGTCGCTATTTGAAAATCAAAAGTAAATAGTGCTTTTACCAGCAAAAATTAGGATGACAAAATATAACGTAAATATAAAATTTCAGAGCTGCTTGTTTCTTAAATTATCTATAAAATAAATGTCGAAAAAACCGTCGTATATAAGAATCAATTTTACTGTCCGTTAAATTTCAGTTTCAACCGCTGAGTACTAGTTAACACTAACCGAGCCTTAACTTGAGCTAACCAGACTTGGCTTAACCAAGAGTTGATAAACTACGGTCTAATTGGGGGATAGCGTTGACCGTCAGTTAAGTCCTGTTAACTGTCACTTATAAGCAATCGAAAACCCGACCCTTAAACTTGTTAAATTTAATAAATAATAAAAGTCTTTATCATTAATATAATAATTATAATATGTCCCTCCTAGATTAATCAAAATTCGTTTTTCGGCTACTAATTCACTCAAATATTACAAATGGGTAATTGGTGGCCAGAACCCTCCCACGTAAATAATCTATACCTGCGTCTCACCTCTGTGTGTACTTTTGGGTAGGTATATAATATTATTTACATATAATAATAATAATAATAATAAATGAATAGAATTGCAGTTATTATAGTACCATCAAATGTTATACGTTTCCTATACGTTTACAACGGCCAGTTATACCGCATTTACAGACCGCCTCGTCATGAATATAATGATGTCGGTGATGTGCGTGCCATTTGTCGTCCCTGACCTATTACATAGATAATACTAAAAAGTGAATTGAGAACAGCATTGGTATGCGTACAGCCTTGGTATGCGCTTAGCTAAATTGGCGGTAAATGAAACCCGCGTATTTATTTACCTGATACATATTATGTTTACCGTAGGTCTGCAACCCTTTTTTCATTCCGACCAAATATAATAACGTTTGAGCCTGGTTCCCGTATACCGAGTGATCTGTTTATAACAAACCATTGATTTTCTCGGAGAATTTTAAGTGAAATCCATTTCCGTTAAAAATATTTATTTTTTTCAATCATTTAAGCTTTATTTTAACACTGTTTTCAATTGTTTACCTCTACTCCTTATGCCTTAAATGAATATAGGCTTTGTTTTTTCAAATAGCCACCCTCTCTTCCCCTATCCGTTTTAAAAACAGATCGGAATAGATAATATTTGTCACTGCGTAACACTATTATCGAATTTCATGTTTAACAAGTTATAAAAGTTTAAAGTTCAGACCGGCGGAGAGTAGGGAAGGATTAATAGCGCGATTCAGTGGGGCACATCAAGGATTGTCCTGCTTCCATAGGTTTTTCTATACATATTAAAATATTTTAAATTATAATGCGATAATGTATAATAGAGGAACCTAAGACAAAATCCCGCAGCCAAAGTACCGCCGGTTGAAATCCCGCCAAAACGGAAAAAAGTATTAAACTATTTTGTACATATTTTTTTTCAAATTCCATAGTAACTTTTCCTTCACGCTTTACCAGGCTTAGGTCTGGCCAATAGTGAACTTTAAAAAGTTGTTTTGGAGGTTTACATTTTTTATTTTTACTATCTTATAGTTATTAATTTATTATCACAGTTCCATATAATATGGCCCTTGTCATTTGACTAATTTACTAATTTTACTAATTTCTAACACTATTTACTATTTCAAATATTAAATTGCAAATTATGAGCAATACCACGTAGGTAGTCGAGAGTTTGTGTCTCTTGGAATTTAAAACAAATAAACTCTGTTCTTGCATTTAAAAGTTGATAACGTTTCTTCTGAGACACATTTTCCTTCCTTTGAATAAAACCTTCTATCTTCACCCTCGTCAGATTTTCGTCTTATTTGAATGCATTAATTACTTTCTAAATAGAAGGATGCGTAGCATACAAGAGTGAGCATAAAGTATTGTGCCATCCTTCAACACCATTATTTGTTCGAGGGAGATCTGCAGATACATTAATGAGACAATTGTACATAAAAAAAGGAAACAAAGGACTGCGCCGTAGTCCATGCCTATCTAGTCGCCTCAGTCACGTGTTCTCAAAATAATTGAGAAGAGGAGCAAATTTTGACTCAGTATTTTCGTAAAATTCACTCTCAATCAAAGTTTTGAACGCTTTCTCCACATCCTACTCTGGAATAAACGCAAGAGCTGCTATTTGACAAATTCCCAGTGCAAATTCTGCGTCGTTCATATATCACTGTTGTAAATATGAAGATTGAATGTAACACCATATTGACTGGAAAAAATGAAAAAAACAGCCTCTTACCAGACATCCCGGAAAAACTTCATTGACAGATTTTTGAACTGCTTGCTCGAAGTCTATTATAAATATACTAGGTTTCAATGAATGTTGAATTTAGTATTTTCAATACTGTCGGAAATTTTATGTAAGTAGTCTAGGTTTTATCAGGCAGCAGTGCACAGATAAACAAGAGGTATGCAGATGGAAAATTTAGCTCCATGAGTAGTACAAATTTGTGAGAATAGTGGAGGGGAAGAGGAGAATATTCCGTCAACATACTAATGACCGTACGTCGCGAGGAGTTCTGAATTTGTTTTAGTAGATAAAATTAGTAATTTTTAAGAATCTTCCTTATACTATCATATAACATAAACGGCTTTTTGTCCACTGTGAGTAAACATTTTTCTGGTATTATTAAATCCTCCAGGGAAGACGGATTAGAGGGGGAAGATTCTAAGCATAACCTGTATCGTCGAGTATTGCGTTTTAAAGAACTGATGCTAGGCAATACACTAGACACTGCTGGTGTAATGTCTTGACAAACTTTTGTGACAACAGCATGAATTGATATATGATGATCATATATCCATAGATAACTGTTTGAGTTTAGAAATAATTTGCTTACCACTAATTTTGGCTAGATCCGGTGTGTGGGAATGCATATTTAAAACTTTCGTTATTTCTTTACCATTAGTGTAAACTCTCACACAACACTAATAGATAATACTAGACAATTATATTATACGAGCTTATAACGGTGCATTGAAAATTAAGATTAAATTATTTAAATTTTCGGTTTATTTAGTAACCGGTAATGGTATGAGGGGCGAAGAATGTTTGGACCAGGAACGTTTGGGCCACTAATAAAACTGCGATCCGTTTGGAACAGGATTTAGTGAATCCGTTTGGACCAATACTTTTAAATTTCTATAAAGGTTCACTAAACAAACGTTCAATTAAACTACGAAAACTTATTTTTAAATTAAGTAATAAGTCAATTATTTCGATACACATACAATTTCTGTGTATCAATTTAGTTTTAAAACATACCAAAAATCCAGTTATATTAAATATATACCTATATCTATTATCGTTATATAATAGATATCTGTGTATCAAGGTCTTATACACGATAAGACAACACAGATAAATTACTACTATTTAAAGGCTCGATAAATAAACGTTCAATTAAAAAATGCTGGTCTAAACGGGCTGTATAAAATTAGTATTATTTAGTCAAACGGGTTTTCAAAATTGGTCAAAACGGGTTGTGTTTCAGAAAAATTTATCCAAATGGGTCCTGCTCAAACAAACACGTTGGTTAGGTTAGGTATACAAAACGCGAAAGCGTATTTTTAAATTATCGTGCTGAATATTCTATCGTTTTAGATATGGAAGACTTCAGCAAACTATCCAGTGTAACAGTGACTGAAGTGTTGATGTTGGAAATTAAAATGTCACCGGCGGCCAAGACTTTTTTAATCTCGGGATACCCTCGAAATATGCGTGATGTGGTCGAATACACAACCAAGGTAAGGGTATTGTTATTATTGTTATTATAAATACCTACCAATATTTTCAAAAGGGTTCATTCCCATATCTAGTAGAAAAGTTGTCCACAGAAAAAAAAAACATCTTTGTAAAACCATAAGCTTCTTCGCTCCACTCAGAATCTAAAAACATCATTTTACAAACTTAAGCTTCTTCGTTCCATTCAGAATCTAAAATATAACTTTCAATAAAATGTTTTTTAATTGTATCTAATTATAAATCGATGTATATAATATCAATTGTATAACCAGTGGCAGCCTAAAATGTAGATAAGCAAAAAAAAAGAAAGGTCACCAAAAAAAAGTACTATATTTTAGTAATATCTCCCTCCCCAGAAAAATTGTCTGAATTCAACGCTGAGTGGTTTATGGTAGCTATATTTTTAGTCGAATTACAGGTGGTAGCGCGCCTAATTAATAAGTTAAAGTCTGGAAATTAAAATTATTACGCGTTATAGTAATTTGTTTTCTTTTTAACTACCGTCAAGAAATATGTGTTTTAAAATTGTGAAAACAAAATTTGGTGTCTTCGTTCCGCTATTTATAATTATATATTTAAGCAATCTATACAATGTAATAACAATATTATGATGTTATAAGTTATAACGTCAAATAAATAATTAGGTATTAGTGTAATACTCACCAGAACATAATAATTCGTGACTACTAGTAAGATGTAGGATAATATAATATTACTAACGCAATATTAAATAATATCAATAAAAATTGAGAACATTTATCTAACGACATTTATACAGATCAAAGTTGTAAACGGAGTCATTCTTATATCGTGGAACCAGAATGTATTGGAACGTCAAATCGATTACGGTGCCAAATTGGGACACGTTGTCTTAAGCCTAGCTAGAATGGAGTTGAATAATTTCTACAAAAATGTAACACCTGTATCGGACTTCTATGACCAGAGATCGATGCTTATATCGGTTAGTGATGATTTTTTTTTTTATAATTATATACAAAAGTATATATACAGGGTATACCAAAAAAGACTGCCTAATTCTAAAATTGAATATTTTATGTGTAGCTATAAGAATAGGTTTTTTGGTTTTTTTGCTGTTAAAACTTTGGTCTTATTGGTTTTATTTGTAAAATACCCATACAAAATAAAAAAAAAACCATAGCATAGAATTTCTTACAAACATTTTTTTACAAAATAAGGGGACTTGGTTTTTTCCAAAAATAATTATTATCACCGCTATTTTTGGCTTATCGTGTCCAAAATCGTAATTTAACCGCATTAGTTATTCACTCACTAAGCTGATCCCGACTAGTCATGTCTCGATCATAAACTTGCTCCTTCATTTACCCCCATAGAAAAAAGTCACACGGGTTGAAGTCAGGACTTCGAGGTGACCATATTATATCTGGATGAATTATAGCATTATTGATCGTACTTCTTCCAATAATACGACTGGGAAATATATAATGGAGTTGCTCTCTGACCGCTATCTTGAGATGAGGTGGGACACCATCTAACATAAACCACATTTTCATATGCTCCTGTTCTTGCTGAAATACACCGACAGCTAGTTTCGAGATCTGCATGAAAAAGATTAAGAACTCTCTCCTCATTTCGGACATCACGAGCACGTCCGTCGTCTTCCTCCCTCCCATTAGGATTTACTGGTACAACTGACCCGACATCAAACAACAAAATAATTTGAGTTGCAATTAAATTATAATGTTGGAGTAAGACAATGCACACATTATGAATTATATATTATAACTTCATTACTGTTTGGATAAATTTAAAAAAAATAACGTACCTCTTTCTCTTAATCTTTGAAATACATCAGTGAAGGTTTTTCGATTAGGTTGCTGACGGTTTGTAAAACTTTCAGCCCATAATCAAATTGCCTCAGCACCAATGCCATAAGCTGCATTTAATAATAGATGTAGGTATTCAGAATGACATAACATTTTTGTATTTTTTGAAATAAAACCCATATCGGCGTATTCAACAAACGTGTACACCATTATTAAATAAAAATGTGGGAAAAAAATTAAACTCACAAGTAGCTTATTGGCGTACCATTTAACATAACGTACCAATCGATATGTGTTCAGTGTGGAGTCTCAAACTTAAATACCATAATCAATAAGATAAAAATAACAACTAATAATAACAATGATAAAGTAGTACACACAGATTTAATATAGAATACTATTACTATTTGATGACGGAAATTTTGTAGATAGTGGATTTTCATTTTTGTAGTATTATTGGCATTGTTATTATAACAATTTGTATGTCATCGAAAATGTTAGAAGGTCATTCCATAAACAACTTCTAAAATGTATTGAATTTGACGGAAGTCACGTTGAACAGTTACAGTAAATAATTTGTTTATTATTACCTAATAATAATTAATAATAAAAAAACGGAATTTATGTATTTTTTTTTTTATGTTTTTTTACAGTCAAATTAGTCGTATTTTTCTGTTAGGATCATTAGATCAACACTTAAATATAAAATAATTTATTCCATTTAAATCCCTGGCGAATGAACATACAAATTCATGTGCCACACCAAAATTACGATTTTGGTCATTATAAGCCAAAAAAATTGATGATAATATAGTAACTCCTTATTTTTTAAAAAAATTCTACAACAAATTCTATGGTATGGTTTATTTTTATTTTGTATGAGTATTTTACAAATAAAACCTGTAAAATTAAAGTTTTGACAATAAAAAACAAATTCCAAAAAAACTTATTGTTATAGCCACATAATATAGAGTAACAAACCGGAGAGTTGGCCAGTCTTTTCTAGTCAACCTATATAATAAAATTATGCCTAGTGTACACTCTGATCGTGTTAGCATAGGTCAAGCGATATTTCCGAATGATCAAATAACTATAACAGTTTTTATGTTTGTAAAATATATGCCTAGTGTACCTACTTATAATTCATTGTACAAAGTTATTAACAGTAGATCAATAATTATGATCCGTTTATTTTTTTTACCACAAACACTCTTATAATAATTATATATCAGTGTTATATAGGTGGGGAGGGTCGGTTAAGTATAAGACATACATTTAACCGATCGTAATGATAAATCATTGAAAATATAATACTGCTATTTTGAGTTCTGATTTACTAAAATTGTGTTTAATTCAATTTATTTTTCAACTAAGTAGTTAAATACTCTATACGAATAAAAGGCATTGTTTGTCTGTCTGTCTGTTCACGACCAACAGCTAAATCTATCACAGAAATCTGAAAATTTACGTACGAAAGCTGATGAAAGAGTCCGTGTTCATTTCAAAGCCAAATTTCCGAAATTTAACCCCTAAAAGAATTCATCCACACAGTGTTTTTGTAATTTTTAGAACAAACATCTAATTATTATTGTTGACTCATGAATAACAATAACACGGATAAACGATGACACTTGATGGCACGGATGAACAAAAAAAAGAAAAATTGATAATGCTAATGACTGTGTCATTGTTTTTAGTAGGGAAGTTATAAGGGAGAACATATAGAGTAATTTAATTTATATCTGTGTGCAACGACAAACTTTGCTATCGAAAAACGATTCCGAGCACGTAAAGTTTTATTGGTTGTATTTTCTTTGTTGTTAATAAGATACCTAATCCAGAAATCGACAAAACTTATACAAAAAAATTGCCAGTTTTTCCGATTTATTAAGAATTATACGGAAAAATCGAGTTGCCTACCCAATATACCAACCAAATCAAAAACGCTACAAGAAAATGTCCATTGTTTTATTGGCAAACGTTTTCTGGAAAAAATGTATTTACCGACACAAAAAAAAAAACCAATTCATTCCTCGTTAGTTCATAATCCAAAACATTTATTATAAAGAAGACACGAAAAAACACGAGAAGACACATTTTTAACTTTTTTTTTTTTCGTTGGACCATCATTAGTAACATAACTTAAGGTCGGTTAAATTATAAATAGTATTTAATAATGGTTTAAAGGTGAAGGAAATAATTAGACATGTTTATTAATATAATTAAAGATAGAGAAAATACAGTAAAACTAGTATTAACTAATTAGATCGTGTAGACGACCGTGTTTTAGGCGTCTTTGTGGTGGCAGATGTATATGTAAGTTGAAGTGAAGTGAGCCTGTTGAGTTGTGAAGAGAGCTATGGAAACTTACAACCAGGGCACGTATTGTTAAGATTTGAAGGTTTTTATGAAGATTTACGTTCCTTATGAACCATGTTGCGTTTGTTATAATTCTTAATATTTTATTTTGGAAGATTTCGACTTTTTTGACATGTGACGTTGAACAGGTACCCCATATAGGACAAGCGTAAGTAAATATTGGTCATAGTAGTTGCTTGTAAATTAATATAGAACATTTGTTATGTATAACTGAATTTTTGTTTAGTATAGGAAATAACATAGAGAGGCACTGGTATGCTTATTGAAGTTTTGACGATATATGTGGTCACCAGGTAAGCATCTTGTCTAATGTAACACCAAGGTATTTGACGTACAATTGTACAATTATCAAATTTTAAAGGTAACGGAATGAAGTAACGACATAGGCTAAAAATTACGCCTACGGTTTTTGAAGCGTTGAATTGAATTTGCCAGTTTTTCACCATTTTGATATTATATTACGGTGGCCTTGAAGGTTGTAAAGTAATCGTAAAGATATTACGAGATTCATGATAGATTTTTGTATCATATGTGAAAAGGGCAATAATAGTACGTAGTGGCTCCGTTATAACAGATGTAAAAATATTGAATAAGATAGATCCCAGTTTAGAGCCTTAGGGTACGCCATCAGAGATAAATCGGAATTCAGAAGTATTGTAATTTATTTTAACCATTTAACCACCGAAAATTGTCTATTAGATAGAAAGGAGTTGATGATATTAAATAGGTATTTTGAAGTATTAATGGTTCTTAACTTGTATAAAAGGCCTTCGTGCCATACTCTGTCGAACGCTTTAGAAACGTCTATAAAAACAGCCCCTGCATAGCAGTGCTTTTCAAATAAAGTACTTCAAACGAAAAAGCTGTTGGACTGTCGAATGATTTATTCTAAACCTGAACTGAAATTTCGGTATAACATCTGTGCTATTTTAGTCATTTTTAGTTTCGTACGAATAACTTTTTTAAATATTTTCGATAAGGAGAATAATAGACTTATTGGTCTATATCAGGATTTTTTTTTACCCTTACCAGATTTTTATATTAGGACAACTGTTGCTTTTTTCCAATTGAGCGGTAAGCGTCCAAATCGTAACAAACAATTAAACAATGAAGTCATAAAGACGAGTTCTTTTACTGAAAGTTTCTTAAACATAAGATTCGTAATGACCGGAGCTTTTTCATTTTATTGATAAGAATTTGATAAATTTTTTAATTTCATTTGTGTTGATCCATACGTTTTTGGATCTAATAAACTGGTAGCTTTAATAAATTTAAAAGCCGTCGTTCGTTGTGTATATCAATAATTCAGTAATTTGGTTTGAAGAAAATGTATAGCATAACATTTCTGAAAAATCGTTACATTTGTCCTCGTCAATTATCGCTAGATTATTGGGTGTATGGAAGGGAGAAATTATGTTTATCTTTTGATTCAAAAGTCTTTTGGTCGCCTTCCATAAGTTTGAATCTCCCAGGTACATATTTACCAAGTAGTTATTATAGGACGGCACACGGTTGTTATATAAAGCTATTTTCACTTCTTTAGTAAATTTATTTAATATTTTTTTATTTGCCATAGTCCTTTAGTTTTGCCGAATGGGTCTAACGTGATGTTTACATTTAATTAAGGATATATTGTGGTAACATGCCGATGTATGAAGGATTATGAGGTGGTACAAGAGCACGCTCTCACGGCGTCTGCAATTACTACGATAAGGTGTTCGGACATTTATCGTTTTAGATTTGGTTTAAAACATTCAATACCGTGTGTCCGTGGAAACAAAGTCCACTTTACAACTCATTACCCTGTAAATATTTTTTAATTCTGTTTTCGGGACATTAAACTAGTGACTAATGAATCTTCAATAACTATGACTTACAATTTGTTTAACTCTGGAATTGTTAACGCAAAATTGGCTAAACTAAAATAAACCTAACCGAATACATTTGTTTCATCTAAACACCATGATGCAATCAAAATTATTAATAATTAGTTAAAGTAATTAATGAAGTATGATACTATAATTAGTTCAGTTAAAAAAAAATCAAATTTATACATTTTTTAAAAAAAATTACACTTATCTCTAGTTTAACAAATTTCGGGTTTAGAATACAGGTTGATAAGTGAAAATTTATTGAAAAAACCCATAAATCCGAAAATGTTATTCAAAATATGTGTTATCGGTTAAAAAAAAAATGAAGTTTTGTTGCGCATACGTAAAATACAATAGTTTGAAAAAATTCTAAGTCGTCAGAATTCAATATCTTTTAGTCTAATTTGGTATCCCGAAAACAGAATTTAAAAATATTTACAGGGTAATAAGTGTTGAAGTGGACCTTGTTTCCGCGGACACACGGTAAATAGATGCTTAAACATTCGGAAAAATGACACGGCCAACGATCAGTCTGTGCATTAACTTGTGCAACATAAAATTTACCTGTTTGCCCCTCCCCCCTCTTTTCTTAAGGTTAACGGTGAGCGAAATCCGACTGAAGTCTACAACGATTTTCGTTCTTCGGTGTTACAAATACTGAGTGCCCACCGGACACCCGTACCCGTCACGGTACCCAATGGCAACGCCGTGCCGGTGCCTCCCTTGAAGGGTGATGATGTCGAACACTTGGACGGCAGTGGTGTCGAACACTTGGACGACGACGGTGTTGAACACTTAGACGGCGACGGTGTCGAACGTCCAGGTGACGATGGCGCTGAACGGCGACCTGCCGACCGGGATGCCAAACGACAGCGCGCCGATAGGGATACCGAACCGCGGCCCGCCGACCGGGATGCTGAACGACGTCCCGCCGACCGCGGTGCCAAACGGCGGGCCGGGGACATGGCCGCAGTGCACACACCTGTCTCGAAAACTGGAGACAATGAGTCGCGGCCAACAAAATACCCGACCGTCGTTTGTGTAGTAGGTGAGTGCATTAAAAAATATATATTTTGATGTGAACGTTTAGCAGTACATTATACAATTACTTTACCTTTGGTATGTTATCCAGTAATCCAGAGCCGTAGCTTCTAGCCAGGAGGGTCACTGGGGACACTTGCCTTCAGTGCCTTCCGGAATTATTAGTTTTGGGTTATTTAGGTTATTTCGTCTTCGTCTTCGTCTTCTTCTTCAATGGCATTTAAAACTCTATTAGGGCCTTTTCCGCCATCACTACTGCCCTTAATTTCTCTCAATCCTAAACAATTTCCTTCTATTCTTGCATTCCCAGAGCTTTAAGATTCTCTTTTACTATGTCTAGCCACCTCTTCCTCATTCTGCCTCAAGGTCTATTCCCTTCCGGTTTCCATTCCATGAATGCTCCGATTGTTTCCTCTTCACTTCTTCTCATAATACGACCTCGCCACTGTATTATTCGCCCTTTTATATAAGTACTGACTGATACTAAGCTCAGATCTTTCTAAAGTTCCTTGTTTAACTTCCTTCTATGTTCATTATGACTTCCTTCCAACTACTTGGCATTTTCTGGATAAATACAATAAACGCGATTAGGTTAAATTATGAGACGTACAAGCCGATGAGACAAATGATTATAAAAATGATCCGTCATTATCCAGAGTATAATGTTCTCTTAAGACCTCTACTGGATTCTAACATGCGCCAGTCCTGTAAAGGCTAATAAATTCGAAATCACGATCTTAAACATCTACCTTCCGATTTCCGTATCTTAAAGTAAAACCGTTTCACTTTGTCCTATAGGCATATTTTATGATAATAACATAATAATAGCTAGGCTTTTTCTAAGACAAGGCTAAACTGTATGCTAAACCCCCAACCTATAGAGCCAGATCACACTGACCACCTAAGACCAGCGCGGGGCTATTGCAATGTACACTGTGTGCATTGGGCTATGGGCGTGCCACTCTCTCTCTGAGTCTAGGTCATTTCAATGTATTATGTTATCATGTAAAAAATTGTGGTAATAAACTTAATTGCACAATTCAGTAACATAAATATTGAATTCCTCAGTAATTATATCGTAAATATAAAATAAACACATTTAGTAAAATTAAAATCATACTAAATAATATAAGTCAATGAACGCGAAAGGATTGAAGAGACTGATAAGAACAATAGCATACAAACAATAGTTAAGATTAGATAGCAATATGTCAACACGGCGTGTTGTAACCAAGGGAGCTATATAACTACGTTTCCAGTTATGGTTTAACGATTTCTACACTGAGCCATAATATTTAAACGTATTTAAAGTGGAGCACTAAATATGTCAGAAAATAGACTCGGTATCCCAGTGGTTTAGCCATGGCTCATATAAATAAAAAAAGACGTTAATAAAACTATTGTAAGCAGTACCTTTGTTCAGTATCCACCTATAGGAAATTCTATGCAGTCATGCAGCTGTCAGAAGGGTATCATAATTATAGTTACAAGAATCCCCTAGTCCCTAGACATTATACATATTATATTCTCAGAAATACATATTATATTCATCAATTTTTTTTATAGTAGTACATTGGTGAAATCACTTTTCTCCATTTTTTGGGAATACAATCAACCCCCTAAAACCTCTACCTATGTCCATAATTCAAACAAAAACGTTCTCAGCAAACCCCCCCCCCCTCTTTTCCTAAATTCAAAATCCTAACCAATGCATCAACATATCATTCTAAACAAAAATAATAGTTATTATAATACAAATAATCAGTGCCCTTCTCCCCCTGTAAAAACCTTCAAATTTAGACGTGTTTTACCACCTAATATAATACAAATCAAGTTAATATTATTACAGGTGGTCCAGGTAGCAATAAGAGTTCATTGTGCCAAAAAGTACTTATGGCAAATACCAGTTGGGCACACGTGAGCATGGGGCCGATTCTCAGGTCACTGGCATCGTCTCAAGAAACGCTACAAGCAAAAATTAGCAGCGGACAGATCGTTGAAGAAGTAAGCGATAATATAATATGGCGTTTAAACTAAAGTCGGTATTGTGATTTTTTTTGATTTTTATTCATCAACAGTCAATAGTTCATGAAATATTAGACGCCGAAATGTTCAAATACAAAAACGCAGAAGGTATCTTAATGGACGGTTATCCAAGAACTGTTGGACAGCTCAACTATTTTGAAAAAAAGGTAAAAAATATAATGTATATTGTATACATTTTGACGGTTTTACATAATAATCCAAAAATTGATGAAAAAAAAAACCGAATATACTTCGTATGATGGATCGGCCACTTTTATAGACGAGAAGTTGAGAAAGTAGAAGATAAATTAAATGTATAATATCTGTACGGATTGAATTATCTATTGTATATCGGATTTAATTTGCTAACGAAAAACCATTCTGAACAGAGTTCAGTTATACATGTTTTAAAAGGCCGTAATATTTACGACTTAAAAATAATACATTTCATACATATTCCCGGTTTTTACCAATTATTATGAAAACTCTTGGGAAAATCGAAAAATGACTCCCCTTCTTAGTCAAATTTCCTTTCAGAAAAAGTGCTACACATGAAAATCAAAACAAAATTCCATGTAGAAAAGTTGTTTACAGAAAAAAAAATTAATTAAGTACTATTGTAAAACCAATACATTCTTCGTTCCACTTAGAATCTAAAAATTGGATAGGTAGGATGGTCAAAAAATACAACCATACAGGGTGATTAACTAAGTAATTACAATAAAAGGGATTAATTTAAAATTATTTAACTTTAGAATCATATAATGATTAACCATGATTGGTTTAGTGTTGCTTTGTCAACAATATATTTATCATTGTGTCAAATGTGAAAATAATTACATAATATGCATAATAGCAATATTTGATTAATATTGTATTATTTTTCCGTTTTTACCATACTTTTTACATTTATTAGGGAAAATCCCGGAAAATCAAAAAAATGACCTCCTTAAAGTACCATATGGACAAAATTTCATCCCAAAAAAGGTGCTACACTTAATACATCGGAACAAGATTTCTGGTACAAAAGTTTGCAAAACAAATTGAGGGGTATTTTTCAATTAAAATACACTGAGCGAGCGACGGCTTGGGTCTCTAGGTGCACCCAAAATGCAATTGCTATTTCCCTATTTAGGTAATAGGGATAAAATAGTTTTGGAGCTATTGACTAGAGCTAAGAGCTATTTTATTTTTAGTTTTACACAATAGTATCCCAAAATTAAGTTTATTAAAATGGATTACTTCAATAATATAATAATTTTAAATTTTAAAATTTAAATCACTCAAAAGTTATAAGATAATTTTACAGCTAAAGCATTAGTTATGTTCCAATTATATCTTAATTGAACTAACTATATAATGGGATATTAACAAATACGTGCCCAAGGCATAATGATTAGGCATAATCCGGCCCTAATGACTAAAACGTAACTGTACCCGTTTTCATAAAAACTATCCAATTATCACTCACGTTCACGTTGTGTAAATAATATCGCATTTTCGATTTGTTTATATTAGTATGCTCAACGGCCTAAGTTGATACTGTTGGATTGCTCAAAGTTACAGTTGGGTCGCGGAAGGCTGGACGATAGTGTGTCGGCGTTCCGCCGGCGTCTGGAAAGTTTCCGCGAACAAACCCTGCCGATGCTCAAGGCGCTAGACAGAGATCATCGATTAACAGTAGTAAGTATATAATTTATTTAACACTTACATAATATTAACGGTTTTGAAATTCGTATTTAGGCACTGAATGCTATACTTCAATTTTGAATCTGATAGGTTTGCAAAGTTATGCTCTTGGATTTAAACATCCATTTTGATGATCATAATTCAAACTAACAATAAATTGTGTATTGAATGTATACACATAAAAATAAAAGTATCAAAATAAGCACTGTACAATTATATACCTACCTAGATAGAACCTTAACCTTAACCTTTTCAAAATTACTATTATTTTAGTACTTTTGTAGTACCTAATTTTAGATTCTGGACAGAGCGAGAACACTATAAATATATGACACAGAATTTAAATAGTTAGATTAACTCTAAAGTCATTGGGCTATACTAGAAATTAGATTTTCATTAATCAATAAAAATGAAAATAATAGCCATAAATTATTTCATTAATAGTTTACATAAAAAGTATACATATATATAGAAACATTTATTGAATAGTATTATAACAGAACAGTACAAAATAGATAAAATACAAATTGCATACCTAATTGGATTAATTGAATTTTAAATTCTTTACAATTTTTAAAAGAATTTATGTTTAATCTGAATTCAATTTAGATCCTAACAAATACATCCATAATGTGATCCATAATCTCTAATTTACAGTTCTCAACCTAGGTAAAACTAAATTAATATTTTGTTGATATTATATTTTGGAGGATTAAAAAGAAATCTAATAGCAGGATATTTCTATACTGAAAATATAAATAAAACCACCCACCGAATAATTAATTAGTAGAAAAAATATTATGTAAAAATGGATATTGTATTGGTTAAATGGTTAAATTTAGGCTTTAACAGCTCACACAATAATTAGATAAATATATGTAATATTAAAAAATTAAATCAGTCACAGTCAGGATTTCTAGTCTTTTAGCAACAAATAAAACATTATAAGAAGAATTAACAAAGATTTTTGGTCAGATTTATATTTAGAAAACAAAAAATTCTTGGTGTTAAAAGAAAAATGGGTCAATATCAAAGTTATTAAAATACAGAGATATATAAGGAACTAGATAAAATTTCAAACTCACTAAAATTTGATTGCATTTTTGTAAGAACTGGAAGGCAAACAGAAACAAAAAATCATTAAAAAGTTTAATCATTATTATTACCATAGAAGACATTGGCTGCCCAAGATTGGACCAAATATGCAATGAAGTCACTCTGTCAAATTGTATTTTTCATATGAATTTAAACACAAAACAAAATGCATTTAATAAAGTTTATGCATTAAGAAAATGGTTTATAAATAATTTATGATCTATTTAATAAACAATTTAATAATTTTCTATTATATACAAATAGGTTGTTATTAATTGTCATAAAATACTAAAATCAAAACATTAAATAACATTAGATACAAATTTAACAAAAAACGAATATAGACAAATATCAAACATATATATATACACAAAAAAAAATATTCATATATTAAAACAAACTAAAATTGACATAATTTGTACATTTACAAAAAACAATATTTTACAAATTAATTAAATTTAATACAATGTTAACATCAGGAGCAGATAGACATGATCTGAAAAAAAAAAGAATCTAGCAGCTCACATAATCATATCCAAGATCTACCTTCAACCTTGAAATCCCGGGGGAGGGGGTGAGCTATCTGCTACTGGTTTACATATTACTTTCATTAAAGTCTTTAAGGTCCAACTCAAAGAAAAAATGTATGACTAGTAAATTAGTGACAAAATCATATTCATTATTTGAACATAACCAATTTTATAATTTATATGCGAAAATATTTGCACACAATCTTGTAGTATATATCCCTCATCATCATTGTTGGTAAATACAAATTTATTTAATTTGATTGTATTGGTCTAAAGTTTAAATGGGCCTATTAAGATTATAATTTCCTATCACTGAGCAAACATCTCTTATGGTTTTCAAACTTCATGTGGTTTTTAACCACATGGTCCTTGATTACTTTCACTTTAATTTTTTCTTCGTCTTTTATCTTATAAGCGTGTAAAATAGAACTGGTGCACAATTCAGACAACTCAGTGATTGTCTGGCCAACTATTTCATCTGAAAATAACCTCCAGTATCTTTTTTCAATAAGTATGGATGGTCTCTCGGAAGGTTTGTGTTTATACATTTCAAACAGCCCACATTTGTTCAGCAGATTAACATAGAAATCTTCTGTATGAATATAATACACCAATGAATCTAAAAAAAAAAAAAATAATAATAATAATAAGAAAACTACCAATAATTTTAATATTCACCTATATCAGTATACATGAGGTTTTCTGGAGTCTTTCAAATGCTTTCTTATGACATAGTGGTAGTATTATATCTTAGTTTTTGAAATATTCAGCACAGCAAAGCCTGAAAACATAAAATTCAACATTATGAACAACTTTTTTTAAACAATACTTGTTTTATATGTAACAGTTACCTACATAAATTAGTTTGCAAAAATAGATTTTTTTGTTTTCCAAAGAGACAGCACATAGAAACTCTATCCCCTACTGGATGACAGTTCAATGTCAATTCTTCATATCATCTAAAATAATATTATAATAATGGTCAAATTAGAATAATAAATTACCAAATACAGCATTGTTTAACAAATCATAGAAGTTTTTCTGAAAAACGTTAACTGTTTTTTTCCTTGTCTAAGTAATTAAATAACAGTAGTTAAATTTATGTGTACATGTATTTATGTACACTCTATAACAATAACATAAACAATACATAATATAATAAATAAATAAAATAATTACTTCAGCCCTTAGCTATTACTTGCTTCAGATTTCTGTAATGAATGATGAAACTATTTTTTTCCTTCATTCATTCAACATTAACTACTTTGGATCCCTGTGGTACTTTATTGACAGGACGGACAAGTCATTATGCACATTATGTAAATTTTCTAAATAAGAGATATCTACTACATCCAATGGGTCTATTAGCTTGTCTAATCCCATAATAATAACAGGTTACCCACTTAAATGTTCGCACATCATATATTTACCCACTCAAAGCTATTATATAATATGGAATGGCCATCTATACAACCATTACCTATTAAAAAAAATTAATTAGTTAATAGAAATATACATTATAAATTAAATAATTCATAATCATTTAATCAACTGTTGAAAAAAAATCAATTCCAAAGCTATTACTATCAATAAATCAAATTATTGTAAGCACATGTCACCCATTTTCAGTTGATGTAGCAAATATGTTATTGTAAATACAGCATATAATAACTTTAATTATTTTAAACTTTAATCATTTTAATATAAAACGTTAATATCAATTAATTTTTGTTAATTAAATAATTATCAATATTATTTATGTTAATAGTTGATACAGAATAACCTATATTCAATGTTCAAACAATTTTGAAATATTTCAAAATAAAACTTATTTTAATTTAGAAATAAAAATCAAGTTATTATTATTAATATCTTTTTTAAATCATTTATTAGGAAAATTAAGATTTAGAAAATAAAATCCTTGATTGGTGAACAAACATTATCATAGTGTCCCCGAGTCCTCATTGACTGATCTTGTCGCCAGAATCTCTGATGATAATATTAGTCTAGTCAAGGCTCTATATCCTCTTTCTTTATTTCTGCCTGATGACTACAAAGTTCTAAGACTTGACAAAGTAACCAGTGGTTTTTCTCGCCCTCTCAAAAATTATTTTCCAAAATAAAGATGCCTCTCTGAGTATCAAACTTATTTGTGATGAGACAAGGATGGAATGGGAGCTGTTGAAATCTTGTTTCTTGAAATGGATTAGTGTGTGAAGTCAGGCAAGTCTAGCCTCACCATTGCCTTCATGAATGAATTGCCCTCTGTTATCAATACATTGGCAAAAAATGACAAGCACTAAATCAGGAGTCAATATCAAACCTTCTACTTATCTCTCTCCACCACTAACTATTTATCAAATTATCCTCTTAGCCGTCTATTGCATCTGTAACTTAGATATTGTTTTTCACATGACTTGTTCTTCTATGTTTGGGTAATCCAACCCATTTTCTTATTAAAATAAAATATTTTTTTATAAATACCTTGTGAATTCATGATTCTGTCAATTATGCTCCTAAGAAAAAAAGCATTTTCTTTTTCTTCTTTTGGAATATAGTCTCCCATATTGCCTTCTTTATTGTACTATAGTATTACACAACACACTTGACTACTGATACTGAGTGGGCTGGTGAAATATCTAAAAATTAAATAAAATAAATTATATGTTTAATATCCACTCACTAGAATAAATAAAAAAAAAATTAATTAATCATTAAAAATACCATGAATTAATTTCAAATAATGTGTGTGATCATACTTGCGTGTGAATAACTTATTAAATAGGTACACTACAAGAAAAATGACACATTATGCTTCATTGTAACATGTCTTTACATATTCTATTGAAAAATGAAGTGCATAGATTACAATGAAACATTATGAATATTTTGAAAACAAGTCTGAATAAAATAATAAATACAAAAGATACTTATAGTGAGATTAAATATGTACTGACTGACTGTCTAGAATGATTTAAACTTATATGGCAGTCAGATATAATTCACAAATTTTGTGGAAAAAAAGTTGGTGCAACAAAGAAAATATAGTAGTTCCCAACTTATTATTTATTAAATTTTGAAGTAAAATAATGAAAATAGGTATTTTTGAGATATACTTAAAAATGAAGTATGCGCAGGAGAACTGTAATAGTAAATTCAACTAACAAAGCGTATGTGCTGACTGCAAGTGGCATCATATGTAAGCATCTTATGTGGCCGGCACCCATACACCAATATACCAAAAATATTTTCTTTTAACTGAAAAAACAAACCATTATCCCTTAACCAGTGGTTATCAATCAGTATATCACCAAAAAAAAATTGTTTTTTATGGTGATAGATTATGGCCACAAATAGGAAAACTAAGAAATTAGCATTGTGTAGGTAGGTCCTCGGAGCGTTGTGTATGTCATTTTAATTTCATCAATTGTTTTAAATGTGTCATCATTTGTATGGATCTAAATTAGGGTATTAATAATTAAAATAATGATCGTTTTTTTATTTTAGACATAAATTAATCCAGTTATATATACAGTGTATGGTATATACAATATACATTCAGATAAAATGGAAGGTGAAAACTATATTATAATGCAAGTTAAGATAATTAAAGTATATATATACATAGTATATATAAAGTATATATATATGTATATATTCCTTATACTACAGCTGTTGTCACACGTTTCCGCTGGTTGATTTCTGTCTCTACTCGGCGTTTCTCCAACAGCAAAGCCTCCCTTTCTGAGGAATATGAGTTATTGTGTAATTTTGATAAACGTCGGTTCATTAGTTTGAAATAAACCAGCAATAACTTATTACGCAGAAGATGCAGGTTTCTGGCCGGGGAATTGAATCTCCACGACCTCGGTGTCACTCGCACACATGGTTTCACAGCAGTCTAAAATTAAAAAAAATATATGAGAAATTCTCTTACAAACAGAAAGCATTGAACGGGTTAAAGTAATGAACGAGATTGATCCAAATCACCAAATAAAAGATCCGGATCACTAATACCAAATTTTTTTAAACTGGATTTTTGAACTGGATCTTCTTGTTGACCTGATTCAAATGAATTGGATTACTTATATGAACCATAATTATCATCTCTAAGAGAATAATCGGGATTAAGAATAATACTCATAGGAGTCATAGCATTTCTCCATTTCATCGCTAGAATAGAATAGAAACTTGTCGGTAGAAGCCTATCCAAACAGCAGGTGGAGACTATATTATAATGGAAATGTAGATAGGTAATTAAAATAAAAAATAGACATACTTCACATAATGGGTGAACCACTACTGTAGATGAAAAGTTAAGAAAGTATAAAGAGAAATTTAATATATATTTATATATTTAAGCAAAGATTAATCATTGCTAACAAAAAAAGATTCTGAGTGGAGCATTGTGCAATGAACATTCTGTTAAATTTTCAAGCATTTCTGTTTGGCCAAACAATTTTATCCACATAGTACCTACCGAAAATTAAAATATCTATAAATAGCTTAAAAATATCTCAAATGTTTTGAAAATTTTACCATTTTACCAATTTTACAAATTTTAAGACTTTACAAATATGTTTAACTGAATTACAATAAATAACAAAATGGACAATAATAATCAAAAAGGCATTATTTTCATAAATTTCTTATTTTTCTTACGTTTTATCCCGGGTTTTTCAAGGTATGATCAAAACCGCTTCGAAATTCAAAAAATGATTTCCTTAAAGTACATCTAGAGAATATGTCCTTTCAGAAATATTGTCGCATGTATATATCGGGGCCAAATTTCTGGTAGAATTTTTGTATACAATATAAAAAAAGAAAAAAGAAAAATTGTAAAACCAATACATTCCTCGCTTCACACAAAATATTTAATATTATGTATACATAGAAAGTCCAAGTCAACCAATCAGTCAAAATACAAATTTGCATTGCAATGGCAACTCTGTTGTTAAATAATTACATTGCTTGAAATAGTGATAAACTTGTAAAGCTATTTTTATCAATTTCATACAGGTTTCAAGCGTTTTTAAATAATACTTCTTTATTTTCAAATATAAAATCTTTTTTTGATGAAATAATTTCTTAAATTTTTAAACAAATGAAGAGCATCAAATTCAGTAAACACATTTCTACCATTAACTAGCACGTATGGCTAATCTTTTGAAATTCTTTAAAAATTTGTATGCCGATGATGATTTTTAAAAAATATTTAATGCATATTATTGTTCATTTGAGACTATGGTTTTGTTGATAAACAATTATGTAACCTTATAAATATTCCAACCAATGTTTTTTAAATTTTTAGAAGGAAATTTAAATAAATATATAAATTTAAAAGATTTATTATGTCTGTCTTACAATGTTGAAAAAATCTGTTATTTTTAAAAAATTGGATATTATTACCATTTTTGATACTAACAACTTTTTTTTGATATGCAACAATTTTTTTTAGCTTACATAAATTAATAAAATTATTATCGTTTAGAGTGGTTGTGAAAAATAATTGTTTTAATGAAAAATCAATTATTTGTTCATAATAGTTATAGTTTTTAATGTTACATCAGTAGTATTGAAATTGTAGGATATACCAGTTATAGTTGGCATGAATTATTACATGAATACATATACATGAATTATTTCAGTAAGACTAAGTGCCACAGTTAACAGAAAATTTCTATTGACTGTTAAAGCAAGTAATATTTTTCTCTTTTAAGTTACAACACATGGGCTTAATTGACAAATGTAATTGTTTTTGTTGGTATAGTAACACGTAAGAATGCATCATTTTCAATGAACAACTGGGGTACTAAATATTTTGTCTATCTTTATTTAATATAATTTGTGAAATCATTTTCTACAAAATAATGCTAATAAATGCTATGATTGTATTAATCATTCATGAAGTAGTAATAAATCAGTATTTCAAACAAAAAATATTAAAAATTATAACTAAGAGAATAATATTTGATTTATTGTCATATCTAACCAATAATTATATTATTTTATTAAATTAATTGCTTAGGAATTTTATTGAATGACAAATATAAAATCATAAATTTACAGAATATTATTATTATTATTATTTTAAAGTAATACTTTGATTGGGGTTTTGTAAATATATTATTTAATAGTATATCTAAATATTAAAACAATAAATATCATTAATTTAAAATACCTAACAATAATAACTAGTGTAGGTATTGTAAAGCCTGGTAAACTTATACCACTTATACCACAATTTATAAACGTACATTTGCTACCACATACTTCCATAACGCATGACATTTTGAATAATTAAAAACTTTAAAAAACAGTAATAATAATAAATTATTCAAATTTCAAACGTTGATCGTCACAATAAGTGATAAGTAACTATAGTAACAGCATAATGTCCCAGCCCCCCCGCCGTAAGTTTAATAATTTAATTGACCAGCCACGGCAGCATAGTCCCCGATAGTCGAGAACACTAGCGAACCTATTGGCACAGCACCCACACTACTATAAATTATACACCTATTTCACATTTTCCCTATTCAACGCGGATTTTATCATTACTTGGACTATCATTAATCAATGATATCAATATTATTGTTTATTATTACCATTGATGCCTCGTTAGAACAGCTTGGCGGTTCGGTCGACAAAGATGGCCATGGCATAATATATGATGGCTCGTCTTTCACCTTAGGTACTTTCACCATCCGTTCTGATAACTGCTTAGTTGCGAACATTTTAAACTGGTTGATAAAATTGATTTGACAGGCTGGTATAGATATTGAATCACTGGGCACACGTTTTATGTGCGATATTGTTTTTTCAGTGTTCGAAATGTCCACAAAATCGCTGTGTACTAACACATTTAAAAGCTTGTCGAATTGGGTAAGCAGATATGGACGTACGGTCGTAGTTTTGTGTGTGATAGAATCGTGTATAACGTGTTCGAGTTCTTGAAGTACAATCAAATCATCACGGTTAAGGAAGACGCGACATCCTTTATTTGTACAAGAATTTAAAATGAAAATATTTTCCAAGGGATACGATTTTACAGATATCGTAACAACTGTATCATTTAATAAAAGCGTTTCTTTGATTTGATTATGAGGCTCGAGTATTACTGAAAAAATATTGCCCATCATTGAATATAGACGGTTTAATAAATCAGGTTTAAGTGAAATGTGACTAGACGATGATATAATATGAATCATGACAACAAACTCGTCTTCTGGATCGAAACCAACGTGGACAAATTTTTGCTTGTTGTAGTCAATTACATAAACAGTCGAATCAATTAACGTATTCGGCGGTAGTGGTGGAGAATATTTATAACTCTTGACTGAATTGTTTTCAACCGGCGCAGCCATTATAACACTGATGAAAATTTTAAAAAACTTATTGAACACAGAAACTACGATTCGATGCAAGCGCGGACGAAGTCGAAACTGATTTTACTTTTTCGTACAGTACTCTGTAAAGGCGTGTCTCTCGAAATTCATCACCGAAGTAGGGATATTACTTATGCGCAAAAATCAATGTACGCCTACCTATAAATATAGCAGGGTGACCAACGTGTTGCATGCGGCATATGTCACATTATAGTACGTTTATACCTATGATGGCGTTAAAATTGTTTGAAATCAAATCGTTTTAAATACGAATTAAGATATACCCATAGACGTATAATACAATAGCTATTTTACGTATAATACATTGAAGCTAACATACGACCGAGAGACAGACTGTGTTGCGATTTTATCAGTGACTTTATATAAAAATTTTAAAAATACTTTGGTTTCGCTTTAGATAATACTACTGATAAGAAAACATAAACACTAATAAATATTATGATTTTTGATATTTTAAATTTCAATTAAATTATTATAATTCAAGATATATTATATATTACTATATTAATTTAAATTAAATTACTATTGTTGTTTTCAATGTAATGTAGGTTAACGACAGGTATATAATCTGCATTTATTAATACTCTGGAAACAAGATTGATATTACAAAGATTTTTCGGTAAAACCATATAAACTAACTTAGTAACCAAAGTTAAAATGTATTTATTGTACAACTAATCGTATATGTGTGTGTATTTTACTTGATAAAAATATATATCAAAAGACTCATTAAAAATTAAAAACAATGGAAATAGTCATTACAAACAAGGATGAAAAAAAAAAACATTACATTTAATTTTGTAAAATAATTTAAAAAATACTATTCCTAGTGTTTAAATAAAATTAATTTTGTGTAGTATAACCTGATTTTATCATCTATTTCATTAGTACTTTTGATGATGTGATGAAGACGGATCGTAATATAATAATTTAGAATACACTTGGTATAACTGGTATAAACATACAAAAAGACAAAACATAATATCATATGATCATAGATACTAAATATGTTTAATCTCCACGAACACTCATTACATCTCGATGGGCGACCGCCAACCAGTATATCTTTAATCGTGTAATATCTATGATTTTGATTTATTTAATTATCAATTGTCTACGGCTATAACGCATTATTACTATCTAATTTCTATATAATCTCTCGAGTAAACACAAAGTTTAAAAACTAAAAGAGCTATCCTTATTTTTAGTTATAACTTCATAAAGTACCAAGTAGGTACCCACCCACGTATAAAAACTTAGGTGGAGCTAAAGCCCAATCAGCCCTACCCGTGCGCACGCCCATGCTGCAGTGTCTTAGTTGAATTAAATTATCTACTTGTCACAAATTACATAATGTGACAAATATATAATTGTATCAGTTTCTACCTTTAATATAAGTACTTTGGACCGTGATTTTTTAAAAAATCAAAACAATTTAAAATTAATATAATGTATAATAATTATAGTCTAGAGAATGAGAGAATTGTTACAATTATAATTTTGCCTCCTCGTGAATGAATATAATGCACATAATAATATTAAACTAGGTATTCTATTTAATTTTGTTAATTTAAGTTCTTTTTTTTCAAGCATAATACTCATTTGTCACTTTAATCTGTTTTATCTCAACCTTTCTGATAGAACAGCTAGGTACCTAGGCTAATCCATTTATTTCAATAAATACACAGCACATATTTTTCCTTAAATAGTTTAAAATTTTAAATAAATATTTATAACATATTTTGGTACTTATTCATATTATTTCTGAAGATTAAGATATAACTTTATTATTTTTATTTTTTATTAAACTTGAAAATGATTATGTTTAGGGTAAGAGTTACTTTTTACCAAATGTTCTTATTTCGACGCCTCTTTTTGTTTAACCTTTTTATATAAGAATATCTTTAAACATTTTGGAAATAAATCTTAATTTTAGAGTGGGAGTAAAATACCTCGATTTTATTCAATTTCACCGAATATTTCGGAAACGTAATGACTAACGTGATAATAAAAAAAAGTTTTCAAAGGCACATTCTGTTTTTTTTCTCTGTCGTATAATAGGTTGATGGTAATACTGACGAGAAGAACGTACAAGAGAAATTCATGGACACCCTGAAGGAGACGATGAAAGGTGACAACATTCCGGTCTACCGAGAGGATGACGCCGTTCTCCCGCATGGCCCAGAAAGGACCGTAGAACAGGCTGTGATTGCCCGGCCGGCAGTCCCGCGGCAAAACGGTTTCATACCGAACAGCGCGAACGACAACAATCGGGTGCCGCATTTACGTTACAACGTACGGGACATGTACGCTCAAATAGGACCAAACGACTCCGTGTTGTAAACGCAATAACTACACCATAATAATATATAGGTACCTACTTACTTAGGTTTGGTTTGGTCTGACCAAAACTAATCTAACCTGGGCTACAAGTACCAACAATGTATATAATGCGACGAAAACATATAACACGAAATATCTCGGCTAGTGTATATAGGTACAGCTAAAATAAAATAAAATAGCGGGAAACCGCGTAATTTTATTTATTTATTTTTTTTATTCAATTGTGGACTTTAAAATTGTGCCCACGGACCCTTTGACTCTTGTCGTGTCTACTGAATAAACCAACCCGTTTTTTCTCATTCCTTTGAATGCGAAATTTATTTTTTTGTTTTTTTAACCCTACCTTCAAAACGTCCATTTTCAAAATAGTTACCTAGGTACCTAAACACATAAGAGTATAATATAATAATAATACCTGTATATGTGTGTATTTTTTTTCGCCTAATTTTTTTTAGGTACCAACTTTTTTGGTTTAAGCGAATGTAATGAAATTGAATTAACACTGACATTAATAATAATGCCATTATGATCATTAGTCATCAAATCTCGTGAAGATTTATAATTTTTTACATTATGTTTTATTGTTAAAAATCATTATAATAAACTAAAGTATAATTAAATAAACTTTTCATTTTTTTCGACTTTCATGTTTCTAGCCTAGCCCTACACAGTGGCGTGCCCAGGGTGGAGGTTAGGGGTTGACCCCCGCCATCGAATCAAGTGAATTATATAAAAGTATTTTATGTTGAATGTCGTTATCACTTATCTTATCATTCAATATTTTATAATAATTATTATCACATTCGTAGGTAACTCCAACTCAGTTAATATCATAGACCAGAGGTTCCCAAACTGTGCGCCACGACGTCCTGGTGCGCCGTGGTGTGTTGTCAGGGGAGCCGCGGTTGTGACTCGCTGCCGACTATGCTATCTGGTCTAAAAATAAACAACGATATTTTACGATAACGAACGATGATAAACGTGTCTGGTGAAATTCGTTTCTGCGTTAGTACCTCTTTATTACCTATACATTTTGGTATCAGTCTCGGTGTGTTATAATATTTTGTTCAAGTTTCTTAAGAATATATATTTAGTAAGTTCTGTGATTTTCTTTAAGTTGTAACTTTGTTCAGCGTTTAATTATTATGGATCGATTTTTATTAAACAATCGTAAACGTACGAGTACATGTGAAGAAGAAATTTTACCATTAACTACTAGTCGCGGTGGAACAGTAAAAAAGCGAAAATGGCGTAAGTATGATGATAGGTATTTGGATTTTGGTTTTACGTCAACAGAAATTAACGGTGAAGAGAGACCACTATGTGTAGTATGTATGAAAGTTTTGGCACCAGAATGCATGTTGCCGAGTAAATTGAAGCGCCATTTAGAAGCAAACCACAAGTATATGATTGACAAACCTTGAGATTATTTTATTAGAAAGTTAAAAGAACTAAAACAGGAAAAAAGTACGTTTTTCAAGAATACATCAATACCAACCAATGCTTTGATTGCATCTTATAAAGTGTCCTACAGAATTGCGAAATGTAAAAAGCCCCATACCATTGTAGAACAGCTTATCTTACCGGCTGCTATAGATATGGTAAATATTATGGTTGGTGAATCTGCATGGAAATTACTCTCAAAAGTGCCTTTGTCCAATAATACGGTTAGCCGCAAAATTCACCATATGGCGGAGGACCTCAATGATCAATTGATAGAAAAAAATCAAAGAAAGGGAATTTGGGTTGCAGCTGGACGAGGCTACGGATACTAATAAGGATGCTTATTTGATATGCTACGTTAGGTTTATAGATGGTGATGACATGGTAGAAGACCTACTATTTTGTAAAAATATTACAGCAAGCGCTAAGGCTCAGGACTTATTTGATATTCTTAATAATTTTATGTCAGAAAATATGTTGGATTGGACTAAATGCGTCGGTGTTTGTACTGATGGCCCTCGTTCCATGTCTGGCANGAAGCAAAGCCCCTGATGCACTGTGGACCCATTGCATTATCCATAGAGAAGCACTTGCGGCAAAATATCTGAGTCCCGCGCTGAACCAAGTATTAGAATGTGTAGTGAATGTAGTCAATTTTATAAAAGCCTCCACTGAAAGTAAGATTTTTCAAAAAATTATGTGACGATATGGGAGCTGAACACTCAAGTTTGTTGTACTACAGCTGCGCACGATGGCTTTCTCGTGGTAATGTTTTATCACGTACGTATGAACTACGGCAAGAAATTTATATATTCCTTTAAGAAGAAGGGCACAAATATGCCAATGAATTTTCTGACGAAAATTTTTTAATAAAATTGGCATACTTGTGTGACATTTTTGAAAAACTGAATGCATTGAACACCTATCACAGCTAGTGATATGGTTTGAGAAATATTTTAAAAATGAAGACACTGATAAATTTGCATGGATTCAAGATCCATTTACCTCCATTGTTCCATCAGAATTTATTTCTACTGAAGAAGAAAGTCTAATTGAGTTGTCTTGCGACAGTAGTTTGAAATCAAAATTTACCAATATGGAATTGACCAAATTTTGGATTTCAATAAAAAATGAATATCTCCTTGTATGTGAAAAAGCTCTACGTGTTTTGATTCCGTTTTCTACTTCATATTTATGTGAAGCTGGGTTTTCGGCGGTCGCTGTGATAAAAAGCAAATATCGGTCAAAAATCAATGTGGAGAAGGAAATGAGATTAGCAGTATCAAGTTTGATCCCAAGATTTGAAAAACTATGCAGTGATGTCCAGGCTCATCCATCTCACTAATTCAATTGTTTTCTACAAATAAACTATGTCTAATTTACTTTACCAAATAAAATTAAAATTATACATGTTTGTTATTTTATCTATTTTATTTAAAAAAAGGTCGTAAATTTTATTAAGGGCGCCATGAGCAAACTTCAGTTCTAAAAGGGCGCCCGAGTAGGAAAAGTTTGAGAATCTTTGTCATAGACATTATTACTATACTATTTTTCAAGTAACATCATTGTCCATGATTTAGTGATTTAGACGATTTAGTTGGTGTTTGCTATAATAGTTAAAATGAGTGAACCTACAAAAAGATTACTTTTAAATTACTTTAAAGTGGAACCTAAAAGATTTATTTTTTAGACAGTTTTTTAACACAACTTTATGACACATTCTTATATCACACAAATGTAATAAAAAACTTTAGTTTTTTTCTACCAAAGAAACTAAGTTCATCGATTTTAAATGATAAACATAGGACATATATGATTGATATTAAAACTAGTGAACTTAAAGCTATAGGGGATTTGTAATTATGGAAAAAATATTGTACAAATCTCAAAAGTGAGAATGTAATAGAAATATTTCTTCAGTATGGTGAAATTGTTTTCCTCACAGGTCATAAGCTATTAAAATACCTTATTACCCTTTCTGTAACTACATCATCTGGAGAAAGATCATTCTCTACTTTAAAGCGTTTAATAACCTACCTTAGAAACACAACATCGAAAAATAGATCAAATGGTTTTGGCGTTTCTAAATATACATCAGGAAATTAAAGTTACACCTGACAATATTTTGTACTTATTATCATCTAATGCTGAAGTCTAACATTTTTTTTCAATCAATACCTTGTGATGCGTTTAAGTGAGTACATTCACTATCTCAGAAAGTATTAACTCTTTCTAGATTTTGTTTTCTAGAAAATTTAAGAAACAAGCAGTTTTACAATTTTATATTTATGTTATTTTTTGTCACCTTTATTTTTGGGGGTAAAACCAATATCTACTTTTGATTTTCAAATGGCAATCTATATTAAAAAGTCCATAAATAGATTAAGTATTAGTTAAAATATATTTTAGTGTTGAAATTTTTTATTTCTGTTGATCCATTAATGAGATTTTCCACTTTTAAGTTTTGGTTGGAGTAGAGTAGTAGAGTATCATTTGTTTATTAATATTGTACCACTACTCTTCTCAAACCCAAACTTAACAAATGGAATATCTGGTCAATGGTTTGACAGAAATCAAAAATTTCAACGCTAAATGATTTTAGTCCTAAAAATAATGGTGACGAAAAATAATAAAAATATAATATTGCAGAGCAGCATGTTTCTTATATGTTCTAGCAAAACAAATTCCCAAAAAGTTAATACTTTCCAAGATATTGAATGTACCCACTTAAATGAATCACCTAGTCTTACTTTTTTTTTAATCATTATTGTTATTTGTTATATAGAATTAACTAGTCATTAGTTATTCTTATTTATTTACTTATTGTTTATAAGTTCAATTTTTTAAAATTATCAATTAATTGATGCATATTATTTTCACAACTTCATAATGTACTTGTTTTGTGCTTTATTAATAGTAATTAATAGGTAATCTTTTCTGATTACCTTTTTTTTGGGGGGAGGGGAGGATAATCCGGATCTTCTTTGACCCCCCCCCCATATTAAAATCTTGGGCTCACTTCTGTCCTTATAAATGATTTACGGTGAAATAACAGTAATTGCAGTTCTAATCAAAAAATAAAGACAGTAGGTATAATAGATACTTAACATTAGACAGAGCTAAAAGTATAGCTTTAAGCATATATTTTCTATTCAGAAAGCTTATTTTCAAAATGTTTAAATCTGCATTTATTCACACCCAAGACAGCAAAAATTACAGAATCTATTATTTAGGTATTAATCTAGATATTATGATATTATCTATCTTAATAAAATGAAAAGTCAAGATTTTGTATGTAAGAAGTTAACTCAAAAAGTAAGGTAAGTACTGATTTTGATTGATTTCAATATTATTTAAATAATTGCAAGAATCAAATGCCCGTAGTATTTAGAATTTATTCTTTCAAAATTATTTACCATGAAGCACGTGAACAATATAATGAGGTACAATACAATAATAAAATAATAGCACAATAATTAAATACCCACACATAATAAATTACACACATTCTAATTAATTTTTGATAAATAATAAAAAATCGAAACAATCAATATAATTATTTACAAATTAAAGAGAACCATTGAACAAACAAAATCAAAAATAACATAAATAGTTATTTTGTAAATATTTCAGTTTTTCCCAATTATTAGGAAATTTGTAAAAACATAAAATAATGGAATGTATCAATTAGACCAGTGTTTTTCAACCTGGGGGTCACTAATTATTAAATAACATACACAGATAAAAATTATCACTGAAGTTAATGATTGGAGCAAAATTGCTAGTAGAAAAGTTGCACAGACAAAAAGTAAAAAAAAAACATTTAAAATCAAATAAAATTCTTATATCCTATAAGGATATGTTTCTTGTTCTGACTAGTAGTTATTTCCATGGCTAAATATGTTAGTATATGATCACAACTTAGCGATACCTAGATATAATGTCCACCACTAAAAATGATTCCCTTCTTATTTCAATCTAGTTAATAATAAATATCACTGCCAGCTGAGTTTTCTCTACATGAAAAGCTATGGAATAACAGTCTAAAATGTTTTGGTACTTGCTATTTTGGCACTGGCCTTTTTGATTAACAAATTATTTGTTTAACAAATTATTTGTTTATACAAAATCGCAATATAAAATAATATTACTATATTATTATTATTAAATATTAATAATAAAATGATTACATTAAGATATAATAATTATATTGAAAATTGTTATCCTAACAAAATTTTGTTTGCAATTCTTCTTAAAAACAATATAACTCTATTTTTATTATAATTAGAGACCAACTTAAGAATTCTTATATCATTAATAATTTCATGCATTATTATAATATGTTTTTTATTTTAAATTTTAAGTTTTATAAAACTATGTAATGAACTACTGTTATTACTTTAACCTTGTGCACTTCACTAGAGTGTTTGTAAACTGTAGAAAATAATAACACTCAACAATCGGGTGAATTCAACTTATCATCATAATAAAACCAAAAATAATATGATAAACAAGAACTTAATATTATTAATATATTTTATTGACTACCATGTTTTTGTCATAGATTCTTAGGTCAAAATATTCCAACTATATATTATTATTATTATTTTTTTTTTGTGAATGTACTTCACAATAATTTTTTTTTCAGATTTTAATTTATAACCTTATATAATTATGTAAATTGTTGTCAAAATGTAAATAGGTATAGTAAATTGACTTTTATTCGTGATGGTGTCAAAATGGAACTGTCTGATGGAATAAACAGTTGTGATCATACCTATATATTTAGCTATGGTTGTTTATTAAATATAATATTTAAATTTTAAAAGCTATTATTACATTAAGTACATAATTCTTGTTTGTGTTTGTTTGCTTGTTTTTTTTTTTTTTTTATTTATGTTGACATAAATATTTCATGTTCAAATATGCTCAGTATTTCTTCGTGTATCTTGTCAAATTCAATGCAGATCCTATGTTCAACTGGTTCCTATAGGACATAAATAAAATAAAATAATAATTATTTAAATTATTTTGACTTTAATAGTTAATTTTTTTTTACCTTAAACTTCATAGAAGATAACCTATGAAGTATACCATCTAATTTTTTGCTTATTAAAGACCATGTTACTGGGTTTGTAAATGTATCAGTTTCATCAATAGCATGGCTTGACAGATCATAAATAGTGGTAATACTTCGTAATATTCCAATCGTTTTATAAAACGGACAATATTCATTACTAACAGAAAATATTTCAAATTATAATCACAACTATCTGATAATTATATTAACTAAGTTACCTAGGTTGCTGTAAAAATTCTTTTCTTAATAGTTGAGCAATGCTTAATGTCATTTTGTCATATTCAGCCAGCATATCAACACTAATCAATGGGCTTACCTCTAATATCACACTTTCGTCTTGTAAAATGTTTTTGAGTTTGTCTATCATAGACGTAAAGTCAGAGTAATTTGAGTCATAAAAGCCATTCAAAGAGTCAATACATTGACTAAAATCAAATGTATTATTAAGTTATTTTAATATACTATATTAAGCTGCGTCCACACCTAACAAACAATTAAAAAATTTGGTGTTTGCCGAACACCAAAAATACCTAGCAAACATTTGTCAAACTTTTGATGAATGTTTATGCTTGATGTAGATGTGTTTTTAATCCAATTAGTTTGTACTTGTATTCTGATATACCTTTATTGAAGTAATTACAAACTCAGTTATATATATATAAATATATTATATTATATATTATTATTTATTTCAGTTATATATAATATTATAAATAATTAAAATAGTTTTAAATGATAATATTTGTTAAAAATATATTTGAATATGACAAATAATAATATGATATACAATAGTATCAATACGTGACAGACTATAAACAATACACTATTTTATTTTAAAATTATGTGTAGTTTCCCAAACTACATAGATAGATAATGACATAATATCCTGTTTATAAATACATATTTCATTATAACTTATGTATAATTTCTATAAATTCAAATCAGTCTGCGCATAGCACCACACACGGAAATGAGGTGGTATTTTTTATTTATATAGTTTTAAATAATGTACCAAATACCGAGTCACAAAATGAGTGAAAAGTGGTCCAAAGAAAAAATAATTAATTTAATTGAATTATATTAGAATGCCAGTTGCTATGGGACACAAAATCTTCGGGTTATAAAAATAAAATAAAACGTTTCATTTTTTTTTTAATGTTTTATTACGCATTATAACAAATGCAGTAGCACCAATGCAAGCATGTGACTTGTTCTAGATCTGATATTTTCACGACTGTTGGCAAACATATAGCAAACAAATAAATTATGAACAACCATTTGTTGTCATGATAAAATGTTCGGCAAACATTTGACAAACAATGTTACCCCAAACGTTTTTTTAGGTGTGGACACGCCTTTAAAGAGCAAAAGATAAGTTATAATATTATTCCAATAAGGTATCTACAACATTTATTTTATATAATCTTACGGTCAGGAATTATGATATAACTGTAGTGTAAAAAAAATGTGTGTACTTTTTGTATAAAAATACAAAAAAACTTCTTTGCTCCACTGAAAATCTAAAATGGAATTTAAAAAGTAATAGTATTATAATATAAATCATGTGTGACAAAGTATCTGGAAGTTTAAATACATTGTCTTTAATCTACAAATTTCACAATTTACTAAGTGGAGTAAGGAATCTATGTTGTGAGAGGTAATTTATGGTTATTTATTTAATAACAAATAGATCATCATTTTTTTTACATTACAATATACTAATAGTATTAGCAGCAGGAAAACTAGGATGTAAAAATTTAAAAAAGTGACTTGATGTACTAAAAAGTAAATTTGAGTGGTGACTATTTTAATTTATCTATGTATTATAGTACAGTGTATTCTACTGTTTTCCTAATGCTAATATTTTTGATAACAATTTTTTTTTATAATTTTACATTTATACGGGTGATTATTTTATCACGAACCAGTAATTTTCTCAGAGAATTTTAAGTCAATTTGATTTTTGTTAATTTATTTTAAATTCAATTTTCAAGTAGGAACCCAGATTCAAATAGAGAATATTTTTCAAAAAGTGTTAAAACGTATAACATTAATATTGGATTTATTATTTATGAGTTATAAAGAGTTAAAAGTTTAAAAATAAGAAAAGTGAATGAATTTCATATCCATTTTTAGATGATAAATCCATATTATATTACATCCAATAGTTTCTTAGTAATAGAAGATTTAATTTCTAAAGAAGGCATATGAAATAATATTTTATAAGTTATTATTTAAAAATAAATCTCAATAAAAGCATTTGAATAAAACCAATAGAAGTATAATAAAGAAGTAATTAATACCTCTACACATAGGCACCCACTACAATGTAACAATATATTAACATGTATAATATTAATTTCTTGATGTTCGGATACTATGTACTGGCTTTTTATTTGTCAGCTTTTATACAAATATAATTATACTATTATTGATGAATTTTTTTTTTTTGTTGCTTATCAGCTTTTATATATTTTTGGGCATCCTATAGAATTGGAAAAACTTGTAGTCAATGCCTCTTTTAGAAACTAAAACAGCTAATAATAAGCATGTTGATATGATATGTATATATGATACATTCAATGTTTTAGAATAGTATCTATTATCTATTATTTTTTGTGGCTATGTTGAAAATTTCAAATTTAAAAAAATGTTAACAAATAATAAAATTATTTCTTTTCTGGTCATTAAAGGGAGAAAATTAAAAACTAACAAAATTGGGAAAACACATTTTAAAATTTGTAATTGTAAGTACAGTAAAACTTTGATTATCCAAATTAATAATATCAAAGACAGATAAGCAAATATCCATAGAATCAAAATATAGTACATCAAAAGTTATATGTATTGTATGTATAAAGTGTATTCAACCACCATGTTCAATTGATTTTTCTAGCACTGCTGTTAATATTTAATTTATTTACTTTAGAAAATTGTCAAAGTAGCCATTTTGTAAACAATATATTATTTACCTACTATTGAATATTAATTGTTTCCATACTTATTTTCTAGAAATTAAAACTGCTATAATTAAGAAACTGTTAATCGGATATGAATGTATATATGGTGCAATATGATACATTAAAATTTTTAGAATAATATTTTTTACAAAATGGCTATTTTAAAATTTTTCTTAAGTAAATAAGTAAAAAGTTATTTGTATTTTGTGTTTAAGAGAAGAAAATAAATATTTAATTTTTCTCCAAATTAATGTTCCCCTTGAAGACAAACCTAATGAAAAAAAAAAATTGCAAAAATAGAATATTATGATGGTACACGTTGTATAATATTATATTATATTTTTAGTACATATTATGTACTGGATCAGTGGTTCCCTTAAATAAAAAAAATTGTTCACACCTCCCGAAATGAATATTTAATAAAATAGGTTAACAATTATTTAATATTTATTAGTTAACAGTAAACTTATTATTTTATTTTATACAAAATAATTAATGCGAACAATGTGCTTGTTTTTCGTTTATTAATTTTTCAAAATTGGGTATTAACATAGTTACTGCAACACGCATTTCTTTTTCCATGTTGAGTCTGGACCGATATTTTGATTTTAATACGGTTACTACTGAAAATCTTGTTTCACACAAATACGATGTGGCAAATGATATTAATATACTTAAAGCTATGTTGCTAACTTCAGGATATTAATGTTTAATACTATTCCAAAATTCTGTAAGTGAATATGAAGAAAATTGCATTCATAGTGAAGAATCGGATGGATAAGATAATCGTGTCCATAAAATTGTTATCAGACATATAAATAATCTAAAAATAACTATATCTACAAAATTCTAACCAAGCACCGCTTCCCTTGTTAAGTGCTTGCGCCTCTTTTGGGTGGCGTGCCACACAGTTTGGGAACCGCTGTACTAGACGATTCACTCAAGTTCGAATTTTCTAATAATTTGTCAAGGCCATAAATGAAGAGAATACATTTTAAAATTTTTGTAAAAAAATTGTATTGAAAAATTTGAACACAAACACCAATAGTAATTTTATAGCAGAAATTCAAGTTTATAGAGCTTCTATTGAAATATTTCAAGAATTTTAACTTGAAGTTGAAGACAATTCAATACAAGTATTTATACTAGTTTTATGGATTTTAAACAGAAAATTAATTAACAAAAAATGTTTTATAAAAAAAAATATTTTAAAATTTTTTTTTTTATCTTGCTCATCTTAATGTTTGATTAGAGTTCAGATAATCAGTGTTCTACTGTAATTAAATAATTAAAAATAATGTATTAATAAAATGTAGAACAAATTTAAAACAAAGGTTTAATGTTAACATTACAATATTATGAAATTCAAACACACCAAAAATAATACGGAACTAATACCAAATTAATAACAAAAAAGTTACTGACTCGCAATATTGAACTTTAAAATATAGACGATAATTAATTATCATTTATTACAGAAATTACCTGAATGAATAATTCAAATCCACTAACGCATCATGTCCAATTAATTTTTTTTCCAAAGTCCAACCCACTTTTGCTATATTAAAACATGCTAATGTAACTGGATCAGCTGAACTGGGTGAATCACCTTTTTTATTTTTAGGTTTAATAGCTCCAATAATACTGACTGAACCTTCTCGTTCAGGATTACCACCCAAGCATTTTACTCGGCCTGCTCTCTCAAAAAATGAACTTAATTGAGTGTTTAACAAAGTTGAACAATCACTAAAATAAAATAAATAGTTAAATAATGCATTAAATTTGTTTTCTCTTGATACCTCTTTTCAGCAATGGTTTGTAATGCTTCAGCCCAATTAGATTTCGAATCCACTAACATGCATGCATTATATCCCATGTCTCTGAAGTACTCGGATAATGTAGCACCTAAAAATGTATAACATGTTTCCTTTAACAAAATTAAACATTTTAATTTAATCATTATTTATCATTAATAACTATAGAAGGTAATTATGAATGTTAATTAATAATGGAATATAATAAAAGGATGTACTGTGTAAGTATGTAGTATAGACAAATCTATGACACACATAGATTGGTAATTTTGAAAATGGGCACAGAGAACTAAAGCTGGAATTTCAGATTTAAAACAGTTATTCTACTGCATTTATATTAAGAAAATTTTTAAACCTTGTGATGTTTCCTTCTTACTAATACAAGACATAGCAAATTGACTTTCAGCAACACCAATTTTGTGCTCCTAGTTGTACTATTATAGAGTTAATTTGCCTATACTATGAAATTTAAAGGTATGAACATAATCTGTATAAGTCTATCAAATATTTTAATTTTTAAACAAGGATGAGGTGTAAATGAAATATTTCACTTAAAATTCAAAATATCTGGCATACTATCAAATATAATTTTCTTACATTTAAGTATATAAAAATAGAAAAACTAACAGTACAAAATTTGATCGCCCAAAAGTAAATTTTCTATGCCCTCATATCAAAATTAAGTTACTTAAAACATTTCATTAGAACATAAATTTAAAAAAAACTGCATACAGCCTTCAAAAACATTCTCCCCATTAAATTTTATTTCTGATTAAACTCCAATTTCAAGTCTAATACCACAATTTCAGTTTTTATAAACATTATTTTATTATGTTGCCAGTAAATGAGGGTGAAATGTCCTCTTAAATTGGTTTTCACTAGGAAAAGGCTGGTATAGGGCTCTGATTGTATCAATCATAATAGCAAACCCATACTCATTCCAAAAAATGAATATTTAATGACAGTGATACAACCAGTATACACTTTATAAAAATAAAGTTTAGTCTATATAATTAATATAATATTATCAATATAAATATTTAGTACCAGTATGCAAAGAAGCTATATGACAAGCTGCTGGCATACATAAAGAGTTAACAATTAATGCAGTTTTGTTTGCAAGATAACCAGGAACATTGCCAGCTTTAATGGGTGATTTTGACAATTCTTCCAATATCTACAAAGTAAATAACAAGTTTAGCAATTTAATTCTACAACCACTTCCAACTAAATTTTATTTTATAAATAATATTACCTCAGCATTTGTCTTATCACTATCTTCCCCACCAACATAAACAATAATATCAGATTTAGATTGTGGGTTTAAAGCTCGAGATAATACAGATTTTCTAGAACCTAATGATCCAGGTATGATAATTGATCCTCCTTGTGCACAACTAAAATAATACATGAATACAAAACATATTTGCATTTTTTGTTTGTAATTTTATAAACTTACGGTAATAAAGTGTCACATAATCGGTTTCCTGTGAAAAGTGGATAATTATAAGGTAAATGTTTAGAAATTGGACGAGGTTTACGTATGGGCCATACATGTGACATAGTATAAGATGTTTTTCTATCTTGATATTCTGTTTCCAATAAAATATCCTATAAAGATAAATAATAATTTTTTTGTTTCACTATAATTTAAAATATATTATAATTACATTAATGTGATAATTTCCAGGATTAGCTTTGAACACCACTGTTCCTTCAGCATTAGGAGGCAACATTATTTTATGTTTAAAAACAGTATTTTCGTGAACAATTCCAAAAATATCCCCTCCTCTTATATGGCTTCCTATATTGATAGAGGATGAACAGTCATAATCCCAACTAATATGATGGTCAAGAGCTGGAGAATATTGACAGCCATAGCCCCCAGTTATATCTCGCATTGGTCGTTGAACACCATCATAAATATTTCCCATTATGCCAGGTCCTAATTCTAAAGAAAGAAGATTTCTGGTTTTAACCACAGTTTCACCAACAACAATAGTAGAAAACTCGTCATAAACCTAGAACAATAAATAAGTTAACAAAACAAATTAATGCACCAACGTTTAATATTTGTTTTATTTACATGTATTGTAGCCACATCACCCTCTAAATGAATAATTTCACCGATCAATTCATTGAAGCCAATTTTAACCAATTCAAATTCAATTGAATCTGACATTTTATTAGCTTTAATAACTAAAATAATCAAAAAATAAATAAGAATAAATACAGTAAAAATAATTTACACGTAAACATTACATAAATTTACGAAACAGTTATAAATAAATAAGACTGACCTGATCCAGACACAGAGATCACATACCCATATGAAGATTCTAGTACTTCACCAAACATTGGGTGGGACTGACTTTGCCACCAAGTCATTTTAGTAAGATTTTCCTCTATATTAAAACAAAATTAAAGTACTATTATATTTACTAACATATTATTAATATACATTTAATTATATTTTTAAATATTATTTTTTAGATTTTTTAAGTGCAATTAAAATTGTCTATAACATAACTAAATCTTTTGAAATTTGGCTTTATTAGGGTGTATTTAATGTTAAATTTTAACTTACAGTATTGGAAAGAATTAGAAAAGAGATTGAATTTCTAGTATTTCATGAAGGAAAAAAAAATTGTTAAAATAAAATAAAGAATCACCATGGCCTATTAAATAAAACATCAAAAGAATGATTCTAGACAGATTGACCAAAAACCCAAATGTTTAACGTGAGAATTCATCTGAAATGGATAAGAAACTCCAAAAACACTAAGAATAAGTATTAAAATCAACAGTTACAATTAAATAAATATTTAATGGTCTTTAAGAATGAAAAACCAGTATTACAACAAACTCTGATCAACACTGTTACAGACTGTTATGTGCGGGTTACACTTATCAGCCAATATTAGCTGGTTATAAAATGTGACCGTGTTAATCCAATGATTGACTGTAATATTATCAAATACATCCATTTTAAAACCAATAGTAAGTAGGTACTTTTAAAATAATAAATACCTATCCAATACTTCAAAAATGACTAAATAGATAATCTATAAATCCTAATTTCAAATGTTTTTTTTATTAATTTTACATAATACATTATTATTTTCAATAAGAAATCAAAGTACTGATATTCATTATAAATTTGAGATTATATTATAACACTTCTTGTATTAATATTTTTAATAAATTGTTAAAAAATCTTGAACTCAGAATTAGAAGCATGAAAATTGTGTTAAGTAACTACTTAGTTACTGTATTGCATCATCAGCAGGTTACTGATATACATTGTTAGATGGTTGCATAAATATTTGAAACATAAATAACATAAATTTATCATTGTATATTAATAGTCATTTTAAAATGTTCAAAATATTTTTTAGTGGTGTGTATCGGCAAAAACCGAAATTGTATATCAACTGATATTGAGGATATCTGAAAAATAGTTTTTCAAAACCTATATTAGACCCAATATTTTTGAAATTATTATTATTTTTATTTTTTTAAAAAAACTTTATTTTCAATGAACATTAAACATCAAATTTTGATAAAAATATTACAATACAATAAAACAGTTTACTTTAATAATTAACATGAACAATATTGGTAAATATTGAGTATTAATTTTTTTAATTTATCAGTTAATATCAATATCAGCTCGCAGTTTTTGATTTCAAATATAGGTTAAGTTATCAATTTTATATCGGTAGCAAATATTTTAATATCCGGTATTAGAAAAGTCATATTGGCTCACCAATAGTATTTTTATTAAAAATTATGTTGTTTTTGTATGATAAGAATGAAGCAGAAACCAACAAAACAATTTAGTAAAATTTACACTACTTGTGATTTCCCTAGGCATACAAGACTTATTCGTGATCATTTTCATGTATGGAGAGATGATCAATTTTTGAAGAATTCACTTAAAAAAAAAAGATATAGAGAAGTTTATCGTTGATATGATAATAAATAAATTTGTTCTCTTTCGTCTACACTAAAATATTTGCTCTTTTGATTCATTAATATATTTCATAGTACATTTTGAAAATAAAGTGTATGAACAAAACGTATTATTAAATTATTATCACAAAGCAATAATATTATTATCAATCAAAACAGTGGTTACTGGAATTAACATGGACCGATAATGTGTTAACCCCAGTTAACTTAACCTAACCAGAGTTATAAACCATTTAATACCAGTCCTAAATATACATAGTTCTAAAAACAAAACCAAGACACAGAGTTTATGCACGTAATATAACAAAATATGTAAAATAATTTGGTTTTTTTCTTATCATTAATTAAATAAGTAAAAATGTTTAATAATTAGTGCAAAATAATTAATTTAATTTTTTTTTAGTTGAATAAATTTTAAAAGGGTTTTTTATTATTTTAAAATAAGTTAAATTTGATAGACAAATATATATCTTCACTATAAATTATTACTGAAAAAATAAAAATGTGATAGAGGATATATTCTAAGAATTAATGTCAACAACACAATTTTCAAAAATTCTATACATATTTGTATCCAATAGATACCTACATATGTATGTGTTATAGTGGTATTAATAATGTACATACATCTATTTTTAAAGTAATTTTTATAAGACGTGTTAAATCCTTAGTTTTAATTGATATTAGAATCTTACCTAACCGATATACCTAATCACATAAATAATAAATATTTAAACTATAAAGGCATGGTAAAATATATTTATATACATATATAAATATTGGGTAATTTAAAAATGATAATTTTTCTAACACTGGTAATATTAAATTTTTTCAATTTTTTTTTCAATCAGTTACATTTGGTTCAAACGCAGCAAGACACACTGTGTATATATATATATATATATATATATATATATATATATGAATAAAAAAATGTAGTAATTTATAATACTTATGGGACACAAAATACTAATAAATGTACTACATTTATTTATTGTATTTTGCACTTATTATTTTAATATTATAGGTAAATAATTTAAGCAGACAATTTATAATACATAAAATACTAATGTACCCACACAATTAAAGAGCAAATTAATATATAATTATAAAAACTGTTTAATTTAAAAATAATAAAGTTTATGGGGAAAATGTAAATTTAAAACTGTGAACTGAATAATGTATGATAACTACATAATTTATTTTTAATTAGTGCTTAACTAAAATAAAATACCTAAAACAATTTATTATTAAGCTCTTCCGTTGCTTTTTAATTATGTTAAAGTGTCTAAATTAACAAATATTATTTTAATACGATAAATACATATTATCGACCAATCTCCACTGAACATTTTAGTCAGCGGTAAATAAATAAATAAACTTCATCTTTTAAATGATTGACAAATTGACTATTTTAATTTTTAATCACCATTCTGTGTTTTGAAGAGAATGACCAATATGAAAAAATACAAAAGATAACAGGAAATTCATACCTTTTTATACCCATTGATGACCCAAAGAGAAAAGAATTGAATAAAGGTTATTGAATGATATAATTTAAATCTACGTGACATGCGTTTACTGGCCCATATTGTAGTTATGGATTATGAAATATTATTAGAGATGTGATGAACTGAAAATTGCAAATGATTGAACTGAACCGAATACCCAATAGTTCAGTTTGAAAATCATTTAATAACGATTCTACGTGCTCACCAAGGCGATATTCTGTGGTAGGATAGAGCGGTCTTAATACGAAAAAGAAAAATTTTATGTGGGTCTCATAATTGTAGACTGGTAAAGGTCGTAAATGTTAATCTAACCTAATCCTTATACTTTTTTAATGTTCGAGTTAGATAAAATACTTTAAAACTGTTCAGGTTCAAATAAAAATGTGTAGGTTTGGTTCGGTTCGATCTCAAAAGTCAAGATTCGTAACATTTCTAAACATTATACACATTATTTTTATTTGCAAATTGCCTATTGGTTATGATTATACTCTACAGCAGTGGTTTTCAACCTTTTTGTACTCACGACCCACATAAGGCATGCATAAAGAAAAACGTTTGCAGGAAAACAAAAAAAACAAAAATCTAAAATTACTTAATACTTTGTAGTAGTACTGTTATAACTAAATAAATAAAAATGAAAAAACTTTTTAACGGATACGTAAATATGACAAGAATAATAACGCAATTAACATTTATTCGTCACAGCGACAACATTGACAATGGTCGTAGACTATGGGACTTTTTAGCGACAATAATATAATGTATTTATTTTATTACTAGCCCGGTTTACTCGTAAATTATTATATTTAAAGTCATACTACGTAGAATCATACTAGTATATGAAACATATGCTGCGATTTTAAATCCATTATACTATTACATTTTTGAATATAAATTATATAATATAGTTTCTGTATAATATATTACATTTTCAAACTGTATTTTAATTTATTAATTTTCTAAGTTTAATAATTAAACAATTATTTGTATACTTTATATAATTGTATAAACTTAATTTTTATTTTAAAAAGAAAACTTATTGCAATTCAATTTTTAAGCTTACGCAACCCACCGGTTGAAGAAGACCACTGCTCTATAGTACCTATGATACATAATTTTCAAAAATTAATTCAACAATGTAAAATTGTTTTCAACATCGCAATCAGAGCCTTAAAAAAACACCTCGATGTGAAAATAAATAAATCATAAATTATTTCGTTATCTCACTTATTCTTATTTAAGATTGGTTTCAATGCATATTAGCAACTATAAAATATTATAAAGTTCCATCACATCAGAATGTTAATAAAAAATAATGAAATATGCAAAATAATGTAATAATAAAAATCTAGATAACATAAAATATTTTTATCAAACTAAATTTTAAATATACTATTTTACAAAACACTCTCATACAAATATGCATTAAATTCCGAGCCCTGTAAAAATCAATAGATAAGTCCTACAACAAAACGCATTCAATTTGTGTGTGAAATTATATCAGTAACTATCAATGATATTTGACAAAAATGTTGTATTGTATAGTTTTGTCATAAAACTATTCAAGCTATTTTTAATGTTTTACATTAACTAGTTATGAACAGCTGGAATTTGTTAACTTATTACTTGCATGTTATATTTATTTAAAGAATGGGCTTTTTGTTTCTAGGAAATTTATATTGTTCATACATTTTTAAAATAGTGTGTACCTACCTAATAATTAATGACTGCAATAAGGACCTAGTACGTGAAACTGAACAGCAAACTTCATAGAATTACTTCAAACTTCTAAACATTGTTTTGTAAATCCAATCAACGATGTAGTATTTCCGATCATTGGTCCAATATTGCAATGTTGATAACAATTCCACTAAAAACAAACAAATGTATGATTCTAAATAAATTTTTAGTTTTAAAAAGATATTTTTTTGTCACTCACAGGAGTAACCAACATCAACAACTAAAAGATCACATAAGATTATAAAATAATATTAAAAACTAAGTACCTACCTATGAATGAAACAAATACAAATTCCAATAGATACTCTTGACATCAATATTACGATGACTCGTTGGAGTGCATCTAACAATCAGTTGTCAGAAAGACAAAAGCGACTAACTTATTGTTTACGGCTTTTGGTTTTAAGCAATATTGGTAGTTGGTACAGGCTACCAAACAGCGTGGCCGTATGCTACATTAAATTTTAAAAAAATTTGTTCTGCTACAAGATAACACTGGGGTAGTGATAAAAAAACCATAAAATATGTCAATAATACTCTTAAGGTGAGTTCACACTACACCGTATCGTATAAAATAATTTTCTCTGATTGGCTGAATCACGTGGTTACATTCAAGTATACCATATGGTATATCGTTATTTTATCACACGATACCACAGTAACCAAACGATACCGCATAGTTGAATATAAACAACTTTTGACCGTTGTTTACATTTATTTGCAGAAAAATAATAACTGAAAAAAAAAATGGTAAAATGTTATCATCAGGTACAATTACTATTAGCTCGAAATAGCTATTATATATGGAATTCGGGAAACGATTGTAAGTGGATAATATTACACGGTTTTTTTTCTATTGAATCAAATATCCTATATTAATACTTTAATATTTTAAATTAATTAATTACTTTTCTTTTTTAGCATCAATATATTCGTCTGCAAGATTCGTTACTAATGACATGATGAAATTTTTCTTTGGTGTATTTTTTAATTATATTCATGTACATCATAGTTGTACTTATACCATTTTCGTTTGAGTGCTACTGACATTTTAATAATTAATCTATATACTAAATACGGATTTTATGTATTTAGATTACGAATTTACTAATGTTATTATTATTAAGTACAATTATTCGTATAATTGATAACCATCATTGGTATCATTAGTATTGTATATTTTGGAAAATGCGCGGCACAAACATATACGATTGTAAAAGCACACCTCACGACACGGTGTAGTGTGAACTCACCTTTAGTATTATTATACCACAGTTGTGCTGTTTCAAGGTTTCTATCATGAACACTGGAAAAAGGATGCCAATCTGTGCAAATAAATGTGGTCTAAAATTATCGCAAATCACTAGAATGTGCTTCGGTCACTAGTAATGTGGATTTTACATTTAAAGCATAGGGAATTTATTGGTTTTTTATTATTATAAAATCTAAATGATGAAACTAATGAATAATTATTATAAAACGTTTTTTTTAAAACAAAATTGTCCTCAACCGAATAGATGTATTTCCTAAGTATATACGACTTTTAGGCTAAGTGATATAATTTTTTTTTTAAATACTTTCGAATTTTTATATATCTACCTATATAGGTAGTACCTATAACCAATAATATAATATCAATAAATGCATGTTATCACGATTCACCTATCACAATTACAAGGCAAAGTACATCAAGAAAGTCGTTGATACTAACTGGTGAACCAATACATTTTGTACCGATTTACTAACACTTGATACCGATTATTTTACACCAGTCATAGATATTCGACGATGGAAATCGGTATATTTCTATTGTCCAAAATTAACAATCATAATACTATCAATTCAATATAAATAAATTATTTAAATTATTACCTATACTTCCCAATTCCCGTTTACGGCTTATTAAACATAAGTAGTAATTAGTAGGTACTTACGTCTATTGATCTAAATATTTAACAATCAAAAATACCTATCACATTTGAAAACAAACAAAATTAAAATAAAGCATCAAGGATTTCATAAATTCAATTGAAAGTCTGTTAAATTGTTGAGAGTTTAATAGATATTAATATCATTTCATGCCAAGTACACATTAATATTATTTATTTTGGAAATCTATTGATTATAAAATATTAATATTTGTAATTAATGTTAGTTATTTAAGGATGCCTACCAATGTTTGATAAATTACTTTAATAAAGTAATTAGGTAGGTAAGTTACTTTACTCGTTACTTAGAAATAAATGTAATGAAGTTACATTGCTCGTTTCACAAATAAAACTTTAATGATATTACTTTATTTTTCAATTAGAATATTAACTGGGTTGAATTTAGAACTGTGAGATTGCAGGTGTCAAGATTTCATAAAACGTTCAATTTTTGGGTAAAATTCTTCAATAACTTCATAATTGAAGAGGAGGCCTAGTGTGAAGCCGAAATAAAATGAGCGATTACAAATTGGTTTCGTTTCGTCTGAAAGGGCTTATAATATAGTAGATATCACAGGCTAAAAATTAAAATTAATTTGAATATTAACTGTTATCATTTATCTGTTCGTTTATTATTTTGTGATGGAAATATAAGGGGATGAAATCGGTGTAAATAGTGATGGTACGGAAAAATTAAACCGGTGTCGTTAATTTTAATACCGGTTACCTACTCCAAAAAATTTCTCAAATTCACATCGGTTTGTACCAACGAATTTCTTGCATAGGTATGATATTTGATCATCCGACGATTCTCAAAATGCATATCGACTCATCAAGTATTGAAGTCACGATCACAATTTAAGATAGTAATCTTCGATATAAGCGCAGTTTGGCTATACACGATTTTCGCAATTTTTTTTTTCCTGAATTAATGATGGTGCCAAAATAAATTTTCGCAAATCATCAGTTTTTGAATTATATTGATTTGAAATTTGAGTTTTTTCGATAGCTTGGTTAAATAGGTAATTTGGTATTACAGTTTCAATATACAGTGGACACCGCTTATAAGACTTACAGATATAAGGTTCAATCACATATTAGAGACTCAAAATCACCGGACATATCCAAATACATTGAATCCTTTCTCCAATTCGCCTATAAGATTCATTCGGACTCACTTTGTGCCAGTCTCAAAGTGAGTCTTATAAGCGGCGTCCACTGTATTTCATCTTCATGTGTGCCGCAGTGGTTGTAACGTGGGTTGGTTACGAGGGTATTCTGTGGTGAATTCTATCTGATGCAGAAATGTGCTGACTTTATTGCACTTTTTTTTTCGATTTTTCAAATTTTTAATTTTGAAAATATGACGCTAGTGAATGTATATAATTTATAATATTTTTATTTATTAAATTAGATACATTGTACACAATTTATATATATGTTACTAGAAATTTTGACAATCAAGAAATTATGACATTTCCTAATACGTTTAGGAAATGTTATCATTGCTTAAGAAATCATAACATGTCCTAACGATTGCAGGCAATGATACTTATATATTCACAGTATTACAGTAAAATTACATATTAATTTTATATTTAAATAGGTAAGTAAGTTTATATTTTTAATTTATAATTTTTATTATTAGTATTATTAATTGTTACCATTTTTATTTTCGCATAACAAACTTCCGTGATATTTAGAATATCAAAATTCTGGATGTTGATCTGCATAAACACCGGTTTTTATTACTTTTAATAAAATATAATAAATGCTACATGCTATAACTATATAGACTTTCTGTACCTATCATTATAAACAGTCGGTGCATGGACTTTTTATCAGTACAGATTACAGAATGCTGGAGTTTATACTTGTTCGGAATAAAAATTATATATCGATGAAATTGCCTAATAAACTACGGTAATGTCATCAAAAGTCAACTAAACTATTATTTCTTAAGGTTTTTATTTAGGCATTTTAGGTAATTTTTTGAAATTTCAACATTGACGATAACATATATACCTATATACATTATAATCATTTTTTCTCATCTTGTTACCTACCCGACGTAGTTTTGCACACTAACTCCAGTAAATGAAAAATTATTCAGTGTACCTTTATAATTTTGTCCGAAGTTAGCCCTCTGTATAAGATACTTATAGGTATAGGACATAGATGCCTACCTACTTATTAGGTATATAATGTATAAATTAAAAAGTGAAAAATTAGTGTTTCTCTAGTGTTATGGACTTGACCTAATTACTTAAACAATGTTTTGGAACGCACCAATATTTCAATAGGAATCTGAAAAAAAAGAAATTATCAGTGTTATAATAGTAATAATTTATTATTATTATTATATATGTGTACCTTTACAAAATGTGTCATGGCTCATAGATTAGGTACCTACTCATTTTACAATAAGAAATTAAGAAAAACCAATTTAAAAAGTAATAATAATTAATCTTTAAAATTCCAAATGTGTATATGATATACACACATTCGATATTTACATATTATGTATTGTATAAAATAATAATAATATTAATAATAAGTATCAAGTAAAAATATTATTATATATAGTTTGTTAAAAATGTTAAATAACTTACCTACTCTGGTAAATGTTGGAGCTTCATACATTCAATTCAATCAATCTCTTATCGTATAGGAACTTAATTCTGAAAATTTTCAAACATTTAGCGAAACCAAAATTATATACCATTATACAATATTATGCCGGGTCCTCTTCGAGACGACACAGAAACAAAACAAAAACTCAACTTTTAGATTCTGAATGGAGTGAAGAAGCTTTTATTTTTTTTTTCTGTGGACAACTTTTCTACCATCAATTTTGCTCCGACTTTTAATGATAGAATTTTTTCTAAAAGGAAATTTCACCAGGGTGGTATTTTAAAGGGAATATTTAAAATGCATATTTTGCATATTTAGTTAATTTTAGAGAAAACGTGCATATTTCATCGATTTTCATATATATTTATGCATATTATGCACACTTAATACTTGCTAAACAATTTTTTATTTCGTGCTTTTTTAGCTCCTATAACTTCCGAGCCCT